ATTTTCCCGATAAGCAAATTAAAGGTCATTTTAAAAAAATCATATCTCAGCCAACTTTCCACAGAATGCAACCATTAAACCTTGAAACTATTAATCAGAGTTAAAACTTTTGTGTGTAAAATAATCAGCTTATTCGGCTTTGTAAGGCAGGTTTGACAGAGCCCTAAAGTTTCACCAAAATCGCACCACTTCCGACGGCAAACTGGCTAGTTTTAGGTGACCGAGAAAATCTTCTTGTAATATAAAGAAAAAATTGAGTTGGTCCAAATAAATGTGATATTTCTTCATGGGATAGGATAGTTATCTTCCACTGGGAAAACCAGGGCAATCTGTGATAGAACGAAATTTGCCTTATCGGTTCTTACGCGGACAGCCTCTTAAGTGGTTAAGACATTTTGTACTTTTTTGGCTAAGAGATATTTAAGCATAAAAAATTAAAAGCCTACAAAATACAAAATTGCTATTCGCAAACATTGTAAATATTGCAATTTCAAAGAAAGCCTGGACGTGAAATATGGCAACGTTTCCATCGATTCCCTTGATACTCTCAAAGTTGGTAGCCTTTTGTTTGAAGGTGGGCGTGGTCATTTGATTCAGGTATTTGCTGGTGGAGGAGGGTTCGATTCTTCAGGGGAATTTCGAAGGTGTGGGATAGGAGGCTTGTGAATTTTCAGGTGAAAAGAAAGGAAAATTCACGACAGGTTTAGGAAATCTAAAGAATGATTTTTAGTCACCACAATTTCCAAATTTTGATTGTGATTATTTGTGTGAATAAGTTGGAGTCTTGTTTTTGAGGGTGTTCGTTTTTTGTTGGCTTTTGTTACATTTAGGGAATTTACTTTCAGACCTGGTTTCTCAGTTTGGGGGCATTGGTTGTAATTGTTGTTAGTTGACTTTCATTGCTTTAGAAGGTTCGTGTCTGTTATCGCAGGGCAAGCGTGGTACAGTTACCTTTCAAAAGTTCATTTGCTTTTCAAGAAAAGCTATCTCGTGGGATGTCAGAATGTAATTTTTTTGGTACACCGCTTGTACTTGTTTACTCGCAATAGTTTGTAGGGTTAGAGAATATAAAGGATCACAAACTATGTAGCCTTCAAAAATTTTTTCCTTAACTCACATTATTTCTCTTATTTCAAGATGGTTAATTGGATTGGAAAAAAGGCTGTCGTAGCCCTTTTGGGGATAAATCATCTGAGGGACATGACACATAGGTAAGGAAAGGAACGTTGCAAAAACGTTTTTCACACGGCGTGTAAGCCCCCTTAAAGGACATAACTGCTATACAGACTTTGTGCTTTGTGGGCCACAAAGAAAACTACTTGTCTACAAGTAATTTTGTTACCTCTGTAAAGTCACGGTTTTTTAAGTAAAAAATACCTTTTTTGGCAAACAATGACCGGCAAAGTCAAGCAAAAGTGTTATAAGACCTCTCACTGCTAAAATAAACTGCAAGATCACATTATCTTACCAGAATCTGCTCTCTGACTGCCTTTCTTGTCAACCTTGATCACGGGGTTTAAGGAATGATACCTGAGGTCTGTTTAAAAAGGATCATTTGTGAGTTATGCTCCCCAGGGCTAACGTAGTATTCTCTTATGAATCTTTGACTTTAGAATATTGGATATGATGTAATACTAGAATGACATCATCGTATCAGATCTGAACATGAAATCTATTATTAGCTGTTACTCGCTTGTCCAAGGCCATTTAATAAAAAAAGGTTTATCGTATTTTATAACAAGATTGTTCTAAAAGGGAGTCAAATGGTTTTTAATACGAACTTTCTCAAATCTTCCTTGCTTTTAAGTTTCTCTGGACGGATAGAACGGCTTGGTATAAAGCACAGAAAGAAAAAAAAAAGGAAAGAAAGTATAATGAAATAACGTAATTAATAATTACTGAAGGTGAAAATAGAAAAAATCAAAGTTTCTTTTGTAAAATTTAAAATCAATAGAAAAAGAATTCTTTTGGAAATTAAATAAAAGAGTGTTCCTAAAAATACATAAAAGTGCAAGAAAAAAAAAACAGTTTCACACTTTTTACAACTGAACCTCAGCATATGACCAGAAATAGTTTACCTGTCAAGGGGGGTTTCATCACATGCTTCTACAAGCACGAAATTCAGTCGCTCAATAGAAAGGTTGTCGCAATGAAGGGTATTACTAAATACTTCACTTTAAAACCGTGTTTATTTTTGTTTATACCCTATTGAAAAGTTCCAAAATGATACAGTGACCCTCGCGAAAAAAGGCTGGTTATTCTGAGAGTAACAAGTGTAACTTTCCCCTCTTTTTGGCACTTTACTGGTCTTTGCCCTTTTGATCGCAAGAACGCATTCTTCCCCTCAAAAGTAAAAAGGAAAAATAACTTTTCCCCTTTTTTGTATATTTAAAACTGATTATCGCAGAAACTAATGGGATCATTATCAGCAGCTGGCCAAATGGTGTTATATAAATTTAATAAATAAAAATACGTAACTACGTAAATTTAAGTAGCAGGTTAAAAAGTGATTATTGTTAAATTTTAGCGTATGTTTCCATTTTTTTAACTGTTAATATCTGAAAGAGACTGAATAATTGAAGGGAGCCATAAATTTAGTATTTTTCTAACCGAATCCAATGTTAAAAATCCAAAGACTCAGGAAATATACTACATCTATATAGCAACGAAGGAAGGATTGACCTTCAGCGCAAACTAAATATTTTTACTGTGATATTTTGACAAGCATTTACCTTCAATACAACACCAGATTCCGGTTGAAAACTCTCAACAGATGTTGTCAATCGCTTGTCCAAACACGCAATTTGCTGTCTTTTTTTTTTTTTACAATGTAATTTGAAAATTATATGCTGTGAGGTTTTTCACAAAATGTTTGGTGAAAGAATGGTAGAAAGTCCCGAAAGAAGGAAAAAATACTTTCATTGCAAAATAATTTCAAGTCTTAATTCTTGTAATTTTCTCTTAAAAAATGTAAAAGTGAAATGTTTTCTCTAAATAATGGAATAATATGTTTTATACGAACACCAGCAATAATTTACACAACAATTTACTATTGTGAGGAAAACGTCACGACATCCAAGAGTTGGAAACCCATAAGCCCATAACAAGATACTCGAAAATACGGAATACCCAAAAAACTGTAATTTCTTTTTAAAATTGAACGAGATGATTTAAATTAGCATTGTCGCGAGATACTGACAAATACCAAGGTGTCAATACGCGTTGCAACAACAAAAACCATGCATTACCAAAATGTTCCTGTTTATGACTGAAATGAGAGTATTTACATTCGTCTTTCGCCATAAACAAAGGCAAGGAAAAGGAGTTCAACTTCCTGGAGGTTAAACTGACAAATTTGTCTAACTTTTTCACTTTGTGACTTTGTGTCATAGTGTGTCGGACACATTGCTAAAATAACGTTCTTGTTTTTTTCCTTCGCCAAAGTTGAACAGACTTATGACAAGATTTTTTCGACAGCTGTGTATCAACTTGAACTCCGGATTCTGAATATACGGTACAACGATGACTTTGTAATTCAGTTTCAGTAACTTATTCACCATTTCCATGTTTAATAGAAATTTTAAAAACAATCTTTTTATACTTAGCTTTGTGAGCTTGTTGTCTGAGCTTTCGCGTACCCATAGCTTCGTTCTAATAACAAGTAAAAATACAGTTTAGATCTGTACAAAAAGTAACAAACCGTTTTAGAGTATCAACCTGTCTAAACACTGCCTGTTTTACAGGTTGTCATTTACAAGCGTAAACATGTGAAACATGTACAACAATCCGCGGGAAATTTAGGCAGCCAGAACGCGTGTCAAGCGTAGTGCTCCACCATAATGTACGCAAAAATTACCAAGAATTACGCCCCGGGAATTACCCATTAAAAGGCATAAGAACTATTTATAAGAGGAAAAAACAGGCGCGTCTATAACGTAAGATTATAATCAACTGAATCAGACCAAAAAAGCACTCGGAATTAGGTGGCCCGCGGGTGTTCAGTAATAAATTTTCTCCCGAACGAGACTAAATCAGTATATTTTACCATACAAATTTGTAATTTATTTGCTTAGTTCGTCGCACGCGAAGATCGATGTTTGTCCGGCGGAGACGACCTTACGACGTTCGATCCGTCTGAAGCAGACGGACCGAACGTGTTGGATGATCCAAAGTCATTCAGACGAACTTAAATAAGCCACACGTCGAACTTTTCAAGAACTTAATTCAGTAAGTATGGTTCGTCTCATGTAAAAGTAAGCAAGGACGCACCTCATATGCTCGTATAAATGGTATAGTTCGTGTGTCATTCATGATGCGTCTTATGCATCACTTTTCTTACTTTACCACTTTTCCCGTAATATCCACAGACCATAGCCTCGATTTTAAGACATTCCTTAACTCACTCTCTAATGAAGTACTCTTCAGCAAGTGCCAGTTGCCTCCTGCTATCTGCTCTGCGAGCAGTGGTTTCTCCAGCCCGGTCGGTACGTCCGGTCTGGAGAAACCATTGCTCGCAGGGTACCAGTAATCATAAATTACGTTTCTGTATCTCTACTCGAGTATGAAAGAAGAAGTTTTTAAAACAAAACAAAGATAAGGTCAACCAATGAAACAGCCTTTCTACTGACGATTTTTTCTCGATGCAGCGGCCGAGCGCGGAGCGCGAGAAAAGCGTCTATTTTCCCATTTACCCAACCCCACTCCCCTACGCGCCAGTGGTCAATAAATATCCCGCGGTTTATAGAGGGTCTGAGAACAGGCTAAAGAGAAAAAGTACTCTCACTGAAATGAGGTCTACTTAAATGAGAATGAGTTGGAAGAGGTCTTTGGCTGAGGTCTATGTCAGTGTTCAACTGCAAATCCATTTATTTGTAAAACACGCTTTAATTTGAGTGGAAGTTAAAGCAATACAATATTTTAATTTGTACATATACTTGCAAAACTTTTCGGCAAAAATTTCTTTGATTTTACAACGAAAGAAAAATTTGGTTTTCTTCTTTTCCTGTTTCTCGTTTAACCAAGTTCTTCTTCGTCCTCCTCGTCTACTTCTTCGTCCGGTGCGCACTAGTGACATAAAAAGAAAGTTAGGTCATTAGGTGTACTACGGTAACGCCAATAATCTCACCTTTTAGAACGATCAAAGTCGAATCACAAAGACTGGGTAAAGGTGTTTATAACTGGCAAACGAGAGCTTAAAAAGTTTTTCATTAAGGGCAAGCGAAACGGAAAAACCACTTTATTTAAAAGTCAATTTATTCAACACAAAAGTACTGATTGAGGACACGTCCCCTTATGAAGACGGGACCGCCATTATCATCACAATTATCATCATCATCATCATCATCATCATCATTATTGTTATTGTTATTATTATTATCATCATCATCATCTCCAACAATAATAATGTTCATCACTGTCACCGTCATCACCTTCACATCTTAAGGGTAAAAGAACTTTCATTTACCAACCTCGTACAGTCATACTTACCAGATATTCTACAAAACAGACCTGTCCATCTTCATTTATGATCATATATTGCAAAGAAAGGAATCCTCTGTTGTCCATTCTGATGGAAATTTTGCTGGAAAGTTGGAGTGCCTTGGTAGACGGCTTGAGAAGACTTATTTTATATCTTGCAAAAGAAAAAAGTTTTTATTTGCCAAAATTCTAACTGCTGACGATTTAAGGCATCTTGCCAGAAACTCTGAGTACAAGTATTTTTGGTAAGATGCAAGCTTTCATAAGCAGTCAAATTCTGTTCATTGCTGTTCATAACGGTAGTTACGACGGCTGTTTTGAGGTTTAATTTTATCCGTGGTTTAAATTTTATTTTCCTTTATTTCAAACTAATTATCATAGATTATCATACCTATGCCAAAGCAATGGAAAACAAAATATAAACCAAGGATAAAATTAAATCACAACAGCTACAGTGACACTTGTATTACGCGTAGGCCATATGTAGAGGATTCATGTATGCACCAGCTAGTACACTGAGCTTTTTTCCCTATACAGCACGACCTGTAGTGGACACGAACTGGATGTTACATGATATGATTTGTAACTACGATTTTTAGCGCAACGCTGTGTTACAACATTTATGTGACATTGATGCAAATGGTTGCAACATTGTTCCAACATTGCAGAGCTGTGATACGCTTAAACTTGTCATTTTTCGCCCCGTGTAACATCACCTTCACTTTTGTACATGTGTATATGCTTCCAAGGCTTAATACTAGGTTATCATAGGGTCTGATTACGTAATGCAGTATGCACTTTATTTTCTACAAAAATTAGTTAAGTATCCACTTTTTAAACATTGTACATATTCAAAGCTTAAATACTATTTTTTTTAAGTAAGTGTTTTGTTCCTGATAATTAAAGATTATTGACATACCTGTTTGTCTGCGTTTGTTGACACTCAAACGACTCCACCATATCAGAATCTTTTGGGAAATCTGACTATAATGCAAATGAAAATAAATTAACTAACTGTAAGACCATGACAATAAATATTAATTCTTAAACATGAGTGTTAAGGAGTAAAAAGTATCTGATACATGTATTTCTGAGAACAAGATTTGCCATTTTAGGTTTACTTCCCTTTGCTCCCTGTTTTGCTGTTTTTTTTTTTCACTTTCCTTGCTTATGTCAGTGTATTTCAACAGAGAACATGCTCTGATAGAAAACCACGAATGCAGACGTATTTTGAGTTGTTGCTTCTCTCCACCTTAAAAGTATTAAGTTACTTTTCCGCTTGTTGCAGGCTAACATTTGTGTGTAAACAAATTTTGCTTACAAACAAGTCCTGGTGCTGACATGCCTAACATACATGTTGGCCAATCTCTTCATTTATTTACTTTTATTGTTAGGTATTAATTCAAAAATTGGTAAAATTCCTAACAGCCTGCATACACAGACGCATTTTAACCAGATTTATCCTAGCTTGTGTTTGCAGGCAACAATATCCTAATCAACAGCTCAACAGAGGAACAAAAGCTTACGTGAGTACTTCCTGCATGGCCAAAGGTAGACAGTCTAAAGTAAGGGTTATCTGGTGACATAAGGATTTGTAGCACCTCACTTGTCATGTCTAGTTCACTGAAAGCTTCTTTCAAACATTCTGACTGCAATATGCAATGATAGATGTAAGGTGTTAATGACTCTTTAGTATCTACTTGATCGTATTAAGCAGTTCAATACTCGCAGTGATTGTAAGACTGTAACAATGACTCCAGGATAGTGTTTAACCCATTCACTTCTTGAAATTTTGCTGAAAATCAATTTTTGAAGCTAGTCAAGCTGTTTTCTGGTCACCTTCTTTATCATGGTTCATGAAGAAGTCACATATTTTAACACTGTTTCAGAAAGAAAGAAAGGGCATCATTAGCAACACTAAGATGTATGGCATGCCAAGATAAGTCCTAAAAATTAGTTAAGTTCAAGTTTATGTTGTTGGACCTGACGCAAACACCATGTTGCCTTTTAAAGTTAATCTGCAACTCAATTCATTATAATTCAACCTTGTCTGGAAGCTGTTTTCTTACTTTCATAATAATTTTGTTAAGAACATCGGCACTGCTGAAGTCAAAATCCAAAGTTTCATCAGGCTCCTGTGTTTGAATACTACAGTCTGTCAATACTCCTCCCTCCTCCAACCTGGGGATGAACAATACATGTAAAATATTTACCTTGGTTGGTATAACCAGAAAAGCAAACTTATGCCTGACTTGTCACAAGTTATCTCTTTTTGTCTCCTTATTAATATTACAAGGGAAGCATGTGAAAGATGTGTACATGGGGAGAAGGGAAGGAGAAAAAGTGGGAGATGACTGGCAGATCACATCTCCCGTCTCTTTCTTCTCTCTCTCCTTCACATCAGTCTCCCGCAACTGTTCCTTGACCACTTACAAATGATAGTAGTTCTGCTATTTCTTAATCATAAAAGGCATTAAATGTTCTGCCACTTTGTCTTCCTCCACCGAAGCAACACAGTGCCAGATCCAGACCTTGAAATAAGGGGGGAAGGCCCGGTCTTCCCCCCCAATTTTTTTTTGGCCCTTTGGGCCTCAGTTTGGTCCAAAAATAAGGGGGGCAGCCCCCCAGAACCCTCCCCTGGATCCACCACTGCAACACAACCTTGTCCCATTAAGGGCTTCTTGGTTGCCATCCTTTCTACTAGCAATTATTCTGTACTATTGATGTCATTTTCTAAATATCACAACTGTCTTACAAATTTGGTCAATGTTACGTGTAGCTTATTATGAAAAATTAGCTGAGGAATTTGTGCCAATCAGTCATGGAGAAATATTTTTAATGAAAGATGATAAATTTTACTTGAATGAATGAATGGATACCTTTATTTGGGTGTCAAACCAAGATAGCAGTAGAATAATCACCAAATGGGGACACTATAACTTGAATTACACGACCATTATAATAAAAAATACATGTAGAATTGATAAAACTATTTACATGTGTAGAATTATTATTGACTAGAAACCAAAGTGTAAGATTGATAAGATTGTCGTATGTGTCTGATTGCTAAAAAAAAGCCAAAGTGTGAAGATGTGAGTTAAAAAAAACTCTCTACAAGAGCATTTAAATGCATCAACTTGGAAATTTACATGAGTATAAGTGGAGAGCCATATCCTGCATAACACATCTTCAGAGCAGTGCAAGTTCCAGTATCTTTAGATGAACCAAAAATATTTAGACATTCCTGAAAAAAGAGGAAGAGAAAAAAGGCCATCCAAAATTTATTGCACAACAGTGGGAGAAGAATGCAGTTCATATATATGTCAAGGTTTATAATGCCTCTCTGTTTTAACCACTTTCACAAACAATTTTCCCGTTCCAAAAGTACCATAAAAGCAAATACAACTGTAATGTAATGATGACAACTTGCAGAAGGGCTACATATACAATGTACACCTGTTTCCACCGTTTTACAGAAATTGGTCAGATTTTTCATAAATTACTATACCCGTAGTTTTAATTAAAAAAAACTTTCCAAGTTGAAATCTGGAAAATGGTTTGGACAGTCAGTAGGTATCCTGTCTGAATGACTCAGAAGCCCAGGAAAGGGGACTTTGGGTAGTTAAAATCCAAAAAATTTCCTGGGGGAGCATGCCTCTGGACCCTCCTAGAAGCTTGCTCTTTCGCTGCTTGTTTAGGAAATTGGTCAGTATTTATTCTAGATCCGCAGCTGTCTTTCGTGATGGACTGATCTTTCTAAGTTTCTTAAAATACTGCAAATCCTCCATTAAGCCCACCTCACAAATAAGCCCTCTATTTTAAGGGGAAGAAAGTTAATAAGGCCCCCCTTTTTAAGCTCCCTCTCCCCTCCCTCTCATTATTGCTCACTAACAAATGGTAGACACTATTGATCAATCATGGCTGTAAAACTTTGTGTGGACTGATCCAGGATGGTTCATTAACCAGCTGGAAGTTCGGATTTGTTTTTGATCCCCAGCCGCATGACCTTTAACTTCTTACACTTGGGCTTTTCTACTTTTTATGGAGAACTGATACCACTGTCTTTGCTAAATTAATTAAGCCTCCCTCTAAAATAAGCCCCCCATCTCTATTAAGCCCCCTCTCAAATGTGTTGAAAATACATTAATAAGCTCCCCCGGGGGGTCTTAATAGAGGATCTACCGTAATAAAAACTATTTTATTGCAAGTAGGAAGTAGGTGCCAACAAAGATAATTTTTTCTCCATTTTTTGGCGCGTTTATTGACATTACTTTACCAGAAGAACATTCAGGTTGATTCGGAAGGTAGCACTCTCCTCTTTGAAAATGAACTCCTGGAAGATTCCACTCTGTACAAATGCATTGGCCTGCACACATTTAGCATCCTCAACTGTGACTTTGATTCCATTGCTACTCACAAAACATGTGGCTGACTAAATAAAATGACAGCAAATACTTTAAAAATAGAAATATGCAGTCCTATCTTGAAAATTGAATGTTTAATTTTTGTCTTCTCACTTATTCAAAACAATACACCTCAAATTTGTCTTTAAGACTTCAAAGAAATCTAGCACTCAATAAATCAATTAAACCCCCCCTTTCTCAGCATCAAGACTTTTAAGAACACAATAACTAAATTGTACAATAATGAGTTAGTAAATGTTTTTGACCCTGATAAACCTTGTTCATGCGGTCTAGCATGTAATTGAGGTTGCCATTGACAACAATGGTTTGATAAGCATTGCTTAACATTTTCTTTTTAAGAATGTTTTTTTTTTCTGTTTCACTTGAGAGGTGCCCTGCATGACCTGCATGGGACTTCAGGTCCCATTTGCACCTTACCTTTTGGTTTTTCTCTTTTCTTTTCTTTTTTCAGTTTATATCATTTATTAAGAGAGAGATTTAGACCAATAAAGCTGACATTGCCGGTTTAGCATAAACGCTATTGGCAATTACCTTGATTAAAGATAACAAAAAATAAATAAATAAAAAATAAAGTTTTGTTTGGGGAGGCTCTGTTCCGAGGTTCGATGCTTTTCATTTTTGAGAGAAAAGGCACCCCTTTCAGACCACTACATCCCTTTTTAACAGCTGTAATAAACTTTCTTTTGAATATGAATAAATCACTAAACCAAGGAGTTTTCTTGACTTCTTCTCAGTCAAAAATGTATTGGTTGGTCTTTTTGGTTCCTTTTACAGACCAAAATGGCAGATTTCCCTACCCCTTTATATACTTTAACTAGTGCAATCCCTACCGTTTAATATACCTACGGCCTGAAAAGGATACCCTTTTAATTCAGGGCGGAGCTTCCCTGCAAGAAGCTATCAAGGGAGTACCCGCTCCTTCCCCCACCGCACCCCCGGACTGAAGAGTAGACTGGTCTGATATCTCGTTCCTATTTTGTATCATATTTTGCCTTACATTGTTTTAGTGGATTTTAGGCTAGGGGGTCAATAGGAGGTCAGTTGACTAGGGATCAGTGAGTAGGGTTCTTAAATCTGAAGTTTTTTTACCTCTTTGAACTGGACAGCTTTCAGGATGCTGTGAAGATTGCGAGCGTTGTCCAGTTTGGCCACGAGAATGTATCGATTGTCATCACCACTTTGCTGAGTGAGTCTTGACATTTCATTCTACAATTATTGTCTCCGTTGTCAAAACTACGATCTGGAGCTTTTCCTAAACACAAATTCTTTGAAAACCCCGCGAAGATCCGCCATCTTGACTTGAAGTATGCGAAGGGACTGAAACTAGAAACTAGCTTGGTAGCCACGGCCTCAAATTGCCGTAACAGCTTAGCATCCTGGTCTTGATGAAGGCAACATGGCGGTTTGTTTTGGCTAATGGCTGTTTTGGTAATGGCCGCACTGTCCCTAAATTTTAGACAACAATTGGGCCTCAGTTTGATTCTGTTATGAAGCTTTTGCGCTGAGCAATGATATAACTGCGATATAAAGCCGCAAGGAAGCTGACCATGGTATGTTATCATTGATAAAGGCGTCCGTGCCGCGCTGTATTGAATTAATGTTGTTTTTTTGTTCAGTAAAGCCAATTTCCAATCTATGCAGCAAGTCATAATGCACTAATATTTGGACATACTTTTAAGATTCGCCTTTGCGCGTTGAACGATGATTCAAGTGAGGAAAGCGAGCCTGAACCCACTCAGGAAAGTCTCAAGCAAGCCAAGGTATGTAGGTTGTCACGTGTTAACTGTTTCATTCCGGGGGTATTCCCATATAAAGTGACAGGATGCTCGTGGTCTCACTTAGGGTGTTCGGAAGGGAATGCCATTGTTTTTAGCTGTAAAGGTATCACTTATAAACATGTCACTGGCCTCCCTCCACGGGGTGGGACCCTGGGCCAACAAGGGGGATGGTAAAATGGGTGATGCAAAGTTGACAACCCCCTGAAGAAGTTGGAAACATGATTAGTCAACGTTTTCTCATACATGTACATCTCCATTTGTCTTGTTTTATTAAATTGGGAGCAAAAATATTAATTTACTGTTATTGCTTTGTGTAGAGACGAAGTTTACACTTAGATAGGTGGGCGATAAAGAAAATGTGGTAGAAGGTTCTTGTTTATTGCAGGAATCTGAAGCTTTGGAACTTTACAACAAAGGACTTGCCTTGCAACAAAGAGGGGATTATTCAGCAGCCGAAGAGGCTTATGATAAGTTGTTGAACTCTGCTTTGGTCAAAGAGGTAACACACAGCTGCATCAATGCTCTTTTGTCCTTTTATTTACGGCATCTACTGTATACATCCAGGGTCTGAAATTTCGCCTTCCTGGTCGCCAATGCGACCAAAAATTCAGTTCTAGCGACCAGAATTTCATAGTTGGTCGCCAGCTGGCGACTCGTAAAGCTGGTTGTCGTTGTAGACTTTCACGTTTGGAGAAAATGATTAAGAATTGAAACCTTGAAGCTGTTTTGCCAACAGGTGTCTTACTTTTCGTCCTGCGGATATTTTTTTAATTTAAAAGTGAAATGAATCTGCTTGTTAATACACCTCCACAACAGCTATGATCAATACGAGTTGAACGTTTCCGAGCCGCCAAGGGAAATTTTTGGTGACCACAATTTGCCCCCTGGCGACCAAAAATTTATACTTGCTCACCAGCTGGCGCCCATATTAAAAAATTAATTTCGGACCCTGACATCATGCAGCCTGTACATGTAAGTTCTCAATTGTGTTGATTTGAATCAACTATGCCGGTATTTTAAAATTGAAAGATGACCATTATGCACAAATTGTGTTAATATTGGGACTTATTCATTAAGAATAAAGATAATTCATTGAGAATAAAGATACTGATAATGATATTATGTGGTTCCATTGTATTCATATCCACCTCATGGAAGGTCATTGGAAATTCAGACTGTAGGGGGGTCTTGTGGGTCTTAATTTATAAATGAAAGTCTAAAACTACTGTAAACTGTAGATGGGGATTTCTTGAGGGGTGGTTGGGGAGGAACAATTTGAAACAACCCGCCATGGGATTACAAGTTGCAGTATGGATGTTTTCCAGAACAACACTTTTTCATACAACAGGCTCCACCTCCAGATGAAGAATCAGGTGTGGTTGAGCCTGGCCATGTATTAAAATATTCTGCATACAAAAACTTGGCTTCACTGGCAGAGAAAAGAGGTCAATGGGAGAAATCCATTGATGCTTATCTTCAGGTGGGTGCATGTGCATTTAAACATGTACAGTCAACTCCCTTTATAGCGGACACTGTAGGGACCTTAAGTTAGTGTCCTCTGTAGCGAGAGTCCGTAATAGCGGGTGTTTATTTCAGTCAAACGTCTGTAATTTATTTTTGCCTGGAATTTATCTGCTGTTCGTATTATCGGGGTGTCCGTTATAGCGGGGTGTCCACAAGGCGAGAGTTGACTGTACATGTAAACTGTACAATATAAACCATATAATGGATCTGGTTTTATTATAAACTTTGTTCACCTTATTAATGCAAATTTAGAAAATTTACGTTAATTTGAGTCACATTAATTTTTGTAATTGTTTTTTTTCTGTGCCATTAATTAAGTGGAGTGTTAATTAAGTGTCACCTTCATTTCCATTATTTTGGCCCCAAATTCTTGATACACTTTTGATATTCTTGACATCTAAGAAAGAGGAGTTAATTCATTAACATATCTGAAAATTTATTATGAACTGCAATAGAATAAAAATTATTACATGTATATTGAAAAGCCAAAAAGGCAAGATTATACTGATAATAATAAGAGAATATACTGGCAACAGGATTTTTGTTTAGTTACACTTTACTAGGCTGTATGTTCTTGGATGCCCTGTCTGTTATATGGGTTAGGGTCGAGTCAGCTTTACTTGTTATTCCACCCAACTACAAGTCTGTTTAAATCAAATATTTCTCATAAGTACCTGACCATATGGTGTTAACATTTGGTCATGCCATTTTGCAGGCTGTAGCACTGGATGATTCTGACGTGACTGTGTGGTATCATCTTGGAGTAGTAGCAATGAAAACCTTTGATCTCTGTTTGGCCCGACATTCATTTGAGGAGGTCTGACAGAATATGTAGTTTGCTAATTAGGATAACTATTGCGAGCCTCTAAAGTATTACTTTCTCTCTCGCACTATACACAATGCGTGCAATATACAACATGTACATTGTTTGTTCCTTTCATGTAACACTTGTTCCTACAGCTCTAGTGCAAACTTGGGGCTAGCCGGATTTAATATTTTGTGAATAACAGCTTCAACATTTATTCTGGTCTTTGTTCATTCTATGCTGCTCATGTACAATGTACAAGTACATTTGCAAATTCCTAGTACTGTAATGTATTCTATACTGTGCTGGGATAATAATGAATTGTTTTCTTCAGGGTTTGAAATGCAATTCCAAGCACTGGCCTTGTTTGGATCTTCTCTGCACTGTGTTGTATGCTGTTGGAGATTACTACAGTAAGTGTAGACTGACAGGAACCCTCCACTTTTTTTACCCTTAAGATATAAAAATGGCCAACTTTTAAATAATTTCTCTTCTTCTTGATATAAATTGCAATTTATTGACTGTCTAAGATTCATTTAAAAGGCCTAGACTGTTCAACAAATTCTCCTCTTTAGCATGTAAAATGTACTGATATTGTTAAAAGATATTTCTTTTGATATTATAGTAGGTCAAAGCATTGAAAACATCTTTTTTGGTAGTTTCCATTGCAGTTGCATTTATTTTTACCTTACAGCATGCCTTGTGATGATATCAAAGGCCTTTGATAGAGATGAAGAGTATCCAAAAGGTACAGTGTAATATTAACTGCATTGAGGTCATAGATTGTGTGTTTGAGGTGGGGGGGATTAAGGACATTTAAAGGAAAGTACAGTCAACTTCCCGGTAACTCGAACCCTCTATAACTCGAACCTCCCGTTAACTCGAAGTAATTTCATTTCCCTTCAGATCATTTTCCATATAATTTTACCCTAGATAGCAGGAACTCCCGCTAACTTGAACTTTTTTCTATTTCCCTTGAAGGTTCCGACTGTACAGGTATAAACCAGTGTTTGTGTAGGGGGCGGAGGAAAGAGTAATAAAATTTTCTGTAGAAGCTATACACATTTGGATAATAAATGAGACAACATAAATGCTTTATGAATTTAAATTCCTTTCTAACTGCTTTTATTTATTTTTGTCAGGACTGGCCTTAAAGAATCAAATCTTTTCTGAGGAACCTGCCCTTAGGAGAGAAACACAACACTTAAGGTAGCAACTACAGAAGAGTGCAATGGACTTGGTTCAAAAAGGGTTGGATGACAAATTCTCCTTTAAAATTAAAATTTCAGCGGTAGTTTAATTGAGTTCACTTTGGTATACACGGAGGGTGTTGATTTTTTAATGCAGTTACCAGTATTTGAAATCGAGGTAATGACACACAAACCAGGGGAAATGTTTTGAGCAATTTTTTTGTAATGTGCACATTTATTTGGTAACCTTGCGGCACTTTTAAAAATGTAAATCAATTAAAATAAATCAACCGGGGTAATTTTTGCCTTGAGGTCTTTATGTAAATAGTTTCATTGAACTTATATAGTACAGATGTACTTCATTACAAAAAAAAGACATTTAGTAACATTTAGTAACATTTTTAACATTTTCATATATCTTTGGGATTGCCCATTTCTTTTGATAGAGTCCCATTAATGTTGAGTTTGTTTGTACAGGAGCTTGTTTATGTGCAGTTTGATGAATGATGAGGAGGATCAGAGGGAAGAAATAAAGGTAGTGAAAGAGTGATTATAAAGATGATGATATTAACAGTAATGATAATGATAATGATTACAATGATGTTAACAGTGGGAAGGATATTAATGTTCCTTATGTCATGACACCATGCAGATGGACATTCCGCGGAAAGACACAATGCGAAGACTATTGTAGGTCCATACCCAAGATTATCCGCAAGTCTCTTGGATGCTGTACAAATCTCCCAATGCATGTTATTTGGGGACTGGGTTGATCTTTGATTATGTGGTGGTGGGGATGGGGGTGGGTGGGGACATTGGTGTTGGAGGAGGGTACTGGAAAAGAGATTGTCTTTAGAATATTTAGATCTCCATGGGTTAGCATGTCTGTGGACCAGCTCCTTTGGAAAGCAAATCAGGCAGTTTTTTTAGTGAAAAGTATAGTGTAGAGTGTAGTTATACATAAGTGTACTAAAAGCGTACTCTTTCTCTCAGTGTTATGAGCTCAATGTGACTTCAGTTCAAGTTAATGAAAACTGTGACTTGAAAGATTCTATCATCTTACTGATAAGCTTGCAAATTATCTTATTTTTTCTATCAAACAGTTTGTGAAAGAAGCGCTTCATCTGAGAGAGGAGAGGCTAAAGCTTGTTGAGGCAGACAGAGCCATGCCTCCTTCCTATTCACCTGTCAAACCCCTAACATCACATACGTAAGAGCTTAGTTTTGGATGACCTTGTACACAATCTTTGAGGCAAAAAAAATTCTGCACTGTATACTGTTAAAAGAGGCACCAAAGAGTGAACATGCATCAAATAGTTAACACTCACATTGTATTTTAAGATGGTTTTTTCCTGGCACCATTGGGTTATTCTCTAATAAATGGTAGCCCTTTGTAAAGACATCACAGGAAGTGAATGACGTACTTGAAATGTGTTCTGATTTTCTTTTCTTTTCTGTGTCTTTTTTGTTACTTCCTGAAAGATGGGCAAGCCTTGGTGAATGCTTCATTGCTCTGTATGATCACCTCACATCCCAGGATAATCCCCAGGTAAAAGCTTGTTTTGTTGAGTGACTGTTAAGTGACTTGTGTCTTGGTAACGTACATTAAAATACATGAAAAGTTTAGATGTTTATGTGACAGGTCAAAACTATATTTGACAAGGTCAAAATGTTTTAACCTAGGTTGACTCTCAATTTCTTTTGTCTCTTAGACCTAATTCATGAATAAATAAGGCTAGGCGAAAAAGAGAATTGAGAATAAATTTAGGTTAAAAAATTTTAACCAGAATTTAATTTTGACCTGTAGCATTTACATTGAATAAAATTAATGTAGCACTCCAAATATAAAGAAAGCTAAATTCAATCTCACAGCTCTTCAGCGGGTTTTTCAAAGCTGGGTTAAGATAACCCAGGGGTACATTACTTGTCCTTTCAGATACATTATGTATAAATGCTTAACAAACAAATTCAGTTTAATTCTTTTTGTCTACAATTTAATGATTGGATTCTTTAAAAAGATTAGAGGCAATTATCTGAGAAAATTCTTTTGAACAAAAGGAAGTGAAACCCAGGTTAAAATTTAACACTTTCAGTTGCACACTACTTGAAAATTATCTCAATAACATTTTAAGATCAATGTAAATTATTATTTGTCTCCCTCATTAGGTGAAGGGGCTACGCATGCATGTATATCCTGACTTTTGTACATGTAGGTTGTAATGAAGAAGTTTTGTTTTCATTTAATTATTGGTGTTCTTTTACAGCCACTAGGCCGAAGAGTTGATTTGGAAGAATACTACAAAGCCATTGTCACACCAGGTATATGTGTGTACTACGTACATGTATTTCAAATCAATTCAAAGAGGACAGAGAGCAAATTGTTGTTGCTCCTCGATAATGAAATTGCACACATTATTGAATCTGTTCAAAATGTAAGCTGTTTTTCAGAAGTTTTTTTAAGAGAGCAGTGGAAATTGGGCCTATTGAAAATGTTGTAGTACTTAAATTTACATACGTGAAGCATGCCAGAGGCACAGTATAGGCTGTGCATTGTTTGTACTTTATATTTTGTACGTAAACGTTCATGATATTGCAGTATAATAATTATTATACCGGTAGTCATCAGTCTCAATGCAGTAATTGGGAGACTTTCAAGCTCATGAAATTCATTGGAAGTGGGTTCTGATTTTGTTTAACTGTTTCCAAAGGGTTATGACATTTTTTCCCAATATTAAACAGTCATAAGTAATTAATTTTATAATACTCATCAGTTGTAGAGTTTGTCATTTAAAAAAATGAAAGTTCCCAGAAGTGGCATCAGCTACATTTAGTAAAATGTAAAGCAAGAATGTGTTTTTTTAGCAGGATGTGCATTTATTCCTTGATCTGAAGGTGGCTCGAAAGAGGTTTTCAGGGTCACTACCTCCCAAGTTTGAGTATAAACCATGTCGCCATTAACAAAGATTTGGAAAAATTACCTGAAAAACCCTATTGAGCCACCTTAAAAGGTTGAAGAAATGAGGATTAAATTTTATGTAATGAAATTTCACAAGAGGATGATTCTCTTTTCTTTTTCAGACATGTCCATGTCCTACAGAGCTTCTGTTGTGAAAGTTCCCGATTATTCCAGCTCAAGTTTTTCTACTGAAGGCTTTTCAGTGTACAAGAACACTCAATCAGGTAAATGGATACTGATAAGTTTCCGTTCTTGTGCTAACTTAAATAATAATCTTTATGATAAGCCTGGTCATCATATGCCCAGGGTTCGCAAAAAGTCGTGGGCCAAGTTGTTCAAAAGGTGGATAACGCTATCCACCGGATAAATCTCTCTACCCAGTGGAAAACGCGATTGATTTCCCTAATACTCATCCACTGGATAGCTATTTATCTGGCCCCGGTTCCTGGAAAGCCGATTAAACTATCCTCCGATTAGCATCAGATCCACGATTAATTTTCTTATTCCTCAGATAACTAATCGTGGGTTAAAAAGGAGTTCCTGAAAGCGAAATAAACCCACGATTAACTAATCCAAGATTAGTGTTAAAATAAACCGGTTTAACCAGTTTTTGGGATGATTGCTTTTAAATAATATGACGCGAAAAATGTTTAGGCACGGGTGAAGTAAAGGAAAATGGCAGAAAATGAAGTGGTCTAGGTTGAACCAAAGGAAAAGAAGAGGAAACCGAAATTCTTCATCTACCTAGAAATAATTGGCCCAGTTTTTGTAACATAGTCCTTATATTCAATCCGCAGTCCACAGTCCATGTTTTATAATGACCAAATTTATTACATGAAGTAGTAACCACCCTGGCAACTGCTTATGTTTTCTCCTCGTCTTTCTCTGGAGGTCGTTCTTGAGGATTTCTACCAAATATTGAATTGACTCTCGGCCAAACCTGTTTTTACTGCAAAGCTCTTCATCAGTGAATTGGTCAAGATTAAATTCTTGCTGTCGGAACTTTTTTTCACGTATTTGAGGCAGCGGTAAGTCCGCCATTTTGTTTGTTTTACAAACGTTTTCACCCGATTAGTGACTTAATCGACCTCGCTAGGTGGGTTAAAATTAACACTTAGTTTATTCCTAGATTAAGGTTAATCATGTTTTCAGGAACAGGATCTAATCGTGGGACAAAATGTATTCCGAGATTAGCGAGATTTAATCCTCGATTAGCGTTAATCGTCTTTCTAGGAACCCGGTCCTGGTGGATAGCATTATCCAATGTTTGAACAACTGGAGCTTGTCCGGTAGTCTTACCCAATGCAAAAGAGAACTAGTCCTGGAAAGTCATCCTCTAATAAAGTCATTAACGAAGACAAGCAAGAAGTGGCCCCAGGCAAGCAAAATATGAGAGTTGCTTGCTTAAACTACAAGCTGGAATTCAAGTTTTTTTGAGCCCTGATGCCACTGACCCACCTGCGACATAGCCGCTGGTACTGCCTAGGATGCTGCTGAAACCATATGCTGCTCCAACAATTAACCCCACAGGTCTTTACTGCCAACATATCGGTGAATATGAACTTGAGTCAACTTCCCAGGTATACTAGGGGTTAGGACTAGAATGGCCTTTGTTGCCAGCAGCTTCTCATATCGGCCAGCTCAGTGTCCCAGGCAATACCAGTGGCTATATTAAATGTAGATGGGTGGCATACGAGAACCTAGCCTCCCTCACAGGCGTTTTTAGGGGAGGTTGTATTTCGTCCCTCCCCACAAATGCCTGCTCAACCGAGAACAACATTCCTTTCCCATTGTTATATTTGCATGATAAGTGACCAATCAACAGTTTTGAAATAAAGTGTTGACAGGCTAAACACGACTCATAAGCTTGTGATAGTGCAAAAACATGTCCCAGAATGTGACCCTAGAGTTAGCTTTTCCTTCTTTTCTTTCCTTCGTTAAGGTTATGCCCCTGGGGGTTATGCAGTGTGCGGAGAATTCTAAAATCTGGCTGAGTAACATTTATTAGAGGTCATGAAGCTTTCTCAAAGTTTCATGCAGATCGTGTAATTTTATCGGGTTACCCTGCGGCCAAGGTCAACTTTAAATAATTTGGAAAGTACAATGTGATTGGCTAAGTGTGGGAAAGGAATGTTGTTCTCGGTTGAGCAGGCGTTTTTGGAGAGGGACGAAATTAGAGCTCCCCTAAAAAGGCCGGCGTGGGAGGCTAATGAGAACCAGGCTAAGTTTCACGTGGTTTTTTACAGGTGACAGTGATGAAAAAAGTAAGAAAGGAACAAAAAGAAAGAAACCACCTCCAGCTGCCATTGAAAATGACTTTCTACCCAAGAGACGATCAGCAAGGGTAAGAAATGGCAAATGTTTATGTAACCTCAGTGGTTACGTAATTTATAACAGAACCCTACCATACAAATACCCTATCAACAGGACTTAACAGGACTTAACTTTCTCTGGTCTTAGCAGAAGCTCAATAATTGGTCAATACAGGAGCCAACTTGCTCTTGGTCGGCTCCTGGTCAGCTCCTGGTCAATAATTGGACCAGATATTGATGCCCTTCATGAGGTTGTATTGATATGGTTTTGTCCTTTTAACTAATACTCATTTATAAAACCTGTAAGTATTTTGTAACTATCTTGAAACCTCCACCTAACTATGTAAAAGAAAAACAAGTTGATATCCATGCTTGTACAATGAATGTTAAAAAAACTGTGAGAGAACTTAGATAAATTACATATGTACCATCAAACCTAATTGTATTTTAAACACCTGCTTTTAGTTGAATAAAAATAGATGTTTTTGGTCTTTCTACTGATAATAACACATCTTGTAAATAATATTATTATTTTAATGTGTGCACTTGTTGTCTGAAAAATTAAGGTGAGAACAAACAAAAAGAAGGAGGAGGAAATAAACTACCAAGAATTGATCATGTCATTTGCACCTTCCCTGCTTAGGTAAGTTTTCCATGAGTGACATAATTTATATTTTACAGCATGCAAAGAAAGTCGTGTCTGATAGCCAGGGGCTAGTGGATTTTGCTATTTTGCTAGTGTTTTTTGTTCTTACAGCTGTAACTTGCCCAGTGGGAAAGCGCTGTTTTTTGGGGAAATTCAAATTACAGAAGGATTGTTATCAATCCTGCTAATCAAAAAGGGTTTTGGGGCTAGTTGAAATGACGTGTGGGCTAGTGCATGCTATCTACAGCTGGCCCGAATGGCAGGCTGTGAAACTGACTTTCTTTGCACCCTATTTTATGTCCATGATTCAGCAAATGATCTCTCCAATGAGCATACAACACTCTCATTGCCTACAGTGTACAACTTTCAATAATTTTCTGGGCAGGAAGAATGCCATCGCAACTCTCATGGTGTATTATTCATCATTAAAAAGGAGAGGGTAAACTAATTGGCGAATAAATATTATTGTGACTGCATTTTTATAGTGTTGAAATATTCTGTAAACTGTTCTTTTTTGATGTACGATTTTTAAGTGGTAGGCCTGCCATGACTAAGGACAGTGTCTATCTAAAGTGAAACACTGATATGACCAGGGCTGTAACTTAAATTTCAAGTTGCCACGAATATGGCTGTGCAGTTCATTTAGTTGACCAGGATTTCTACTGCTAGGAATTTCTTTTGCTTCTGTTTTCCTTTTTTGTCCTATTAGAGTAGCCAGGGATCATGCTCATGACAACTGGAGAAAATCCGCGGCTCCTGGCCCTTAATGACAGCCTGTATAATGAACTCCTATATAATGAAGACCTTTGGGTGCTTTCCATTTGTCAGAACTGACAGGCCAGACCATTCCCGCCACGAAAAGAATTTCACTGTTAGTAAAAACTATCCAGCCACATTAGTCAAATCCTAAAGAGCATGGTTGAAGGAGATGGTTTTTCAGCAAAAGCTCTTGGAAAAAGCCCATTGCTTTGTCAAAATGACTGGTCCAGCCATAGTCCGTCCAGCCAGTTCTGACTTTCAGAAAGCACCCTTAGTTTAACAAATGATATTCTTGGCCGCAGAATTAAGTTGAATATAATGCTGAGCTTACTTTCTACCTGTCTCATTTTTCTCTAGACCCAGTGTGAGTGTTGATGATGAGAGTAGCCAAGATAGCCTTGGGGAAGGATCTCAGTTAAGTCAAAAGTATGAATTTTTCAGTCCTAAATATTGCAGGCAAAAATGTGCTGTTTGTTTTTGAAGTCCCACCCCTCCCCTGCAGTGAAGATGATTTCTGGGAGACCTGCAAGCAATGGGTCATTTCATAACCCTTTAAACCCTAAGATCAAAATTGAGATTCTCATTTACTGTCCTTAAACTTTTTTAATAGAAGTAGTGGGGAGAATTTGTTAAAATATCGATTAGACTCATCTTCCCTGATCATGTACTCAATTCTCATGACTACTCTGTTTTCTAAAGCATTGATATTATAAGGAGAAATTTCATGCTGATCACTCTTAGGGTTTAAAGGGTTAGTTGCCCCAAGCCTCTGTCTCAATGCGAGGGTAAATGGGAAGTCATTGTTATGAAAAGGAGGTTTTCTCCCCTGCCAATAAACTTTTTTTAACATGTATGCTTCTGCTGGATCATCATACGTGTCTGCAAAACTGTCCACCTACCCCTCCCCTAAGCCAACATTTTGCCCTTTGTGAGAAGTAAGTGTTAATATTGGCTTAGGGGAGGGGTAGGTAGGCAGTTTCCCAGAAATGTATAATGATTCCTTCTGCCTTGATTTTAAAGTGAGAGGTTTTGGAACTGGTTAATGGGCAACAGAATCCACTTGTCATCCGGCTAAGCTGTGGTGCACAAGTCAGAGGGGTAGACACTTTTCAAACCATAAAAGCGTCTTGGGGTGTGATGTTCAATCTTTCACTTTTGCTCCACTCATAACTACACAAAGACACAAGTTAGGGTTTAAGCCACTAGGAATCAAACACAATACGATCTGCTGAATATAATGGGTTTAGTTTCTACAGAAACAGTAGTGCTTGGGAAATTAGGTGGAAATGATTTGGCGACTGAATCAATGATAAAGCTTTTGTGCTTTCTGGAACCAGGGTTTGGAATTGGGAGGGTGTGTTTTTATCATTTGTCTCAACTGAAATAGTGCTGAAGAATCCCACCCAAATTACCTGTAAGTACCTGTTCCAGGTAAAACTGAACTTTGTTTGGATTCAGTGAGAAATGCTATCTATTATTATTATTATTATTATTATTGTTGTTATAATATTTTTTTTTAATTTGTAGAGGTGGCCAGTTGCAGACGTCAGATGGAAAAATAAGTGAAGGTATAATCTCCGGTTAACTTTACACCATTTTGTTATACAGAAGTGTAAATGGTCATGTCATAAGTGGGTGGAATATGATTGTCTGGGTGAGTGTAGTCCTGTATATGACTTTTGTTGTTGATAGTGACTGATGCTTTGACAACTGGTGCAATAAAACATTTTTAGAGTCAAATTGAAATGTATATCGTCAGTTGATGGTACTATACTCTGGTTATTGCGAACAATACTAGAAGATTTACCGTGATTCAAATGTGTTCCTTTCGTTTAAAAGGTAATAGAAATGCATACGATGAAGTAATCTCAGGTCAAGCAGAAACTCTGGACATTCTCACATTTGTCAAGGAAAACATGGAAAATGGGTAGAAATAATTTTGAATAACTGTCAATCAGTTACTTGAATAGACCTTACTCACGACGAGGATTGATAAGACGAAAGCAATGTCATGTGGCATTTCAGGGTGCAAGCAAGATAGAAAATTCAACAATACGAGCAATCGCGTTGGAGTTTGTTTATTCTCTCAAAACGAGACAACTATTTTAGTTATGCAAAATTTACAGTTAGAGGTTTGACGAGACTTACGTCTTTATTGCTTGCTGTTAGGACAAATACAGTCGCTACTGCACCCAAAGAAAGCAACAATGATTACTTCCACCCTTAATTTGCCATTATTGTCGTTAAAACAGAACGTCTTTTTATAATTTTCTGTTGTACAGAAAAAACAAACCCGACACGATTTCTTGTATTGGCAAATAGTTTGCTCCCTGAGAAACCAGGTGGCATCGCTTTTATCTTACCAGTCCTTAAGCGTGTGCAAAGTTGGCGGGCATCGTGAGTAAGGTCTGTATTTGTAGACAACAAACTCCCACTTCCTACTCTTGATCTCACGGTTCGCTCTCGATCCAGGACGGAAGAGAGAGGAAACAGCCTTTTCATGCCAAAGAGTTTTTGCAATCAAGGGTAGAAACTTTATTTTTTGAAAAAAACAAGCAAGCAAGCAAAAGAAAAAACAAATTCTATTCAATTAATCAATCAATCAACTTTATTTAAAAATGAGCCGGGTAAACGCATAACAGCAGAAGCTGATAAACCAGTGGCCCTCGAACTAAACTAACTAACCTAAAAAGTACACATATATATTTACAATATTGCTAAAAAATTATTAATATCGATATAAGAATCAGTTCTATTCCTCGTGACTGGTTTTTTGCTCTCATTAAACAGTGGAATTATTGACCTGATGAATCAGTATGGAATATGCCTCGCGGCTCAGAACAACAAGAAGTGGTGAGTTAAATATAGTTTTGTTGCTAGATAAATCACTTTCGTTTAACCCATCATCTGTTGCACACACAACATGTGATGGCTGAATGAACGAACAATTTTTGATTGAATATAAAAAAGTAAGCCCACGTAACGTTTTTCGCGTATTACCGCTTAGTCTTGGCGAGTATTTGGTTTCTATGAAAGTGGAAATGTTCTTTGCAGTTGAATAAACAATCTAAGCGGTTTCTGATTGGTTGTTTTTTCACACGTGGGAGAAGTCGCAAAGCCGAGTAAACAGCTGTTCGTGACGCAAAATGTTGAATGAAACCGTTTGATGTATATCGATAATGGGAAACCATTTAGGGCGTGTTCTACTGGCCGTACATCTATGCTGGAATAAGAATTGATGGATTGAAATCTAGAAATCACTTGTTTTGGCATTTGTTACATTGCATTATTTAGAAATCTGCTTTAAATAAAATATTCCTATGTATGTAAAGTGTAAATTGTCCAAAATCACGGTAGCGGAGATTTGTAACAACAACTTTTGCGTATTCTTTTTCTGTAATACGTGGATCAATACACGACCACACCCTTACATGTGTTAAATCGTCAAGCATGCTCTTCCTACGCGATGTAGGTCGAACATGTTTCAATTTTGTCCAAAGGAAAGGCTTTTCCAGTGAGATGATCAGCCACCTCCTTATAATTTATGCCTGCGTTCCCAGGCGTGTATATAGATTTTTCAGAAAAGTGCGGGTATTTTATAGATAAAGTCAGCTTACGAATTGTTATCTTTCCTTACCTGTAATCTGGACAGCAAGCTACATGCAAGAGAATAAATGAAAATAACTAGGCTGTCCTCACACTCCCACGATAAGCTCAGTTTGGTTTCCATATTATAGGCAGGAAAAGTTATTGAAGGTCGAACCCCTCTAATCGCATGAAATATGGTGCTACTACTGCAGTAATTTACTACCAATTCCAATTTGCATGTTGCGTGGTTTTAAAACCGGCGACATTTCTCATTTTAGTTTATTGATCTAGTAATATTATCATTTCAGGCCTTCCGCCTTGGCTGATGTGTTCTTGAAAGTTTACCAGAGAATGAGAAAGCACGTTATTCTTCCTTCAGAATTTTGGTGGGTTAAGATAATTTTTAGATTGTATGATTTAAGTTAGCCTGTGAACTGCAGACGTTTTTCCGGTCGTCGCTTCTCTCCCTCCGAAAGGACCGGAAATACGTCTGCAGTTCGCAGGCTAAATTTAAGTGAGCAACGTAATGCTTAAACCTATAACGACAAAGGTCCGAATAATAATAATAATTATATTAATAATTGTAGTAATAATAATGATAGTAATGATAATAATTCCGTTATTTACCCTCGGCAGTATTTACAACACTAATGCTAGTGGGACCGAGCAAATGCCTGAAACAAATAATTGAAATTGAACTTAGCAGTGGTAAGGTTGTTCGATACAGTGTTTCAGGGTCAATACCTCCAAAGTTTGAGCACAAACTACGTCGCCATAAACAAAGATTTGGTAAAATTGTTACCACAGTTTTATTAGATAAAGATGAAAATTTGTTCTGATCAGGGTTGCATTGACATCGGAGTTGTCGGAGCAAAGAAATGACGCCATTACCTGTTTTACTTGAAGCAGTATTGCTCGCGCCCCAGAGAGCTTGCTTGCAGGCTAAATCAGTCTCATTCAATAATTTCTAATTCAACGATTTGCAAACACAGTCCTCATCACAGAAAGAGGGTGGTAAGCCTGTGCTGTCAAGAACAGAAAAAAATATCATATTTCCCCGAGTGGGGGGGGGGGGCACTTCCTTATAAGAGGCTAGTGGGGATGTGCCGCTGGATGGGGTTGCATTTTCACGATTGGATGGACTATAATGGGGTCGCATTTTCAACAGAGTTACTAGAATGGGGTCGCACATGTTCGGATTTTTTTGGGTAAGACAGTTCTTCATATTTACGGTTAGCAAACGTACCAGAATGTTTGTACTGTAGATGAAAAGTAAAGTGTTCTTCATTCAATTTAAAAAATGCGCCAATTCATAAAAATAGAAAGTGACTAGGTTGGGATCGGAAAATTACATATTTGCCCAAAAGTGACTAAGATGGGGTCTATAATTGGCCACAGAATAGACTATAATGGGGTAGGGGCTCTAAGAGGCCAGCGGCACATACCCAGCAAAAATTAACCCAAGTAGCCCCCCCGAGCTTGTTTCTCGTGAGGATTATCTCCCATGCATCGCGTTTCATCTCCAGACTGACATCGACGTTAATGGGTTTCTTTGTAATTTACTTTTATCATGTTTATTGTTGATAACTTCCTCATTAGTTGTCGGAGGTTTATATCTATTTTAACAAACACGAAACGTAGTTTAGCGCTGTTAGACTCGGTAAAAAATAGACGTTCCTATTTAGAAATCTCTCATTCTTGTATTTATCGTTTTGGATTTATATTCGCCAAGAAAATTCTCGGCCTTGTTTATTAAGTTTAAAGAAACTTGCTAAACCCTAATTTATTTTACATTTTCTTTATGGATTATTGATGTGTTTTTGAAGTCTTTTTAATCATCACGTTTTTCTTGAAAATCTTTGCAACAGGGCAGACTTTTTTCTCCGTTTTTGTTGAAAAATCGATTTGTCACCAAGTTTGTTATTTTCAAGTAATCTTCGCTATAAAGCTGAGAATGATTAAAGGGTGCAAAGGCCGTGTTTTTTTTAGTAGTGGCTTAAGTTACCTGATAAACACTTCAGAATCTTCTTTAATCTGCATTTGATTTTCAGTTATTAACACTTAAGAGTACTGAGAAAAGGAAACCTAAACAGAACAGGATAAAGAAAATAAAACTTTTAGTATTTATTAAATGTTGTTTATATGCATTACAATTTGATGTTTTAAATATTTTACAGCAACGGTTTTATTAAAATTGTGGTAGATTCACTTATCGCTATTTTTTCAAAAGTTGACAAAGTCTTAGCGTTTGATGTCTCCTGACAAGTAAATAAAATGTACCCTATGTTTTATCACAGACTCTTCACACGTTTTTGTTTATTTTTGCTGACGTTCAGATTTCTTAATAATCGCAAAAATTGGAATTATTGTTATCGTATTCTCTTGTGCTATTGGTCGAAAACAAGCGCTGAAAGTGACAAATGTGTAAAAGGCCATGCAGATGTTCTAAAAGTTAAAAGGATCTGAAGAAGTTGCACTTAAGAAAGCAGTCAAAAATAGGGTACAATACCATGGGGAACGTTGTAATAGAGGGCAATTCATAGCACTGTGGAATACCACGTTTTAAAATCGTATATAATCGACTCTCTAGGACCCACAAACTATTTTATCACGCATTACACGAAAAAACCTAAAATTTTTAGTGATATGAGCTGTTCTTTTAGTTTCTGAACGGTGATTTTGCAGTATTTCGTATCCGTGGTGTAGTTAACGTGCAAATCTGTCACCGAACCACCATGGTGCAGCAATGGCTAAAATCATTCTCCCGTTACCAATCTGGATTTATCCTTTAGAATTGCCTCTTGGTCCCATTGTTTTTATCAGAAAGTGTTTTTGTGACGGGTTTATGGATGATTGAGACCATTGGCCGTTGACCTTACTTGATCCATCTTACTTGGAGTAGTCTCAAAAGTTAATGACCTAAGGCAGGCTTGACCTTCGTTCATGTAATTTACTTTTTATTGCATCAAGGCTTAATGCCAAGTCTGATACTTTAGTTTCATGGCATCGAGAACTTGGTGCCACAGCTGTTGATGCTTTCAGTTTTACCTGGGCTAATTTCAATTGTTACGCTTTTCCTCAGTTTTAGTCAGCTGTCTCGACTTTTGGCCAAAGAAAAAGGTAACCAAAACGTGTCCTAAGCCGTCTTCGCCATCTCTGTACGTTTTATTTGCAGTCACTCGTAAGAAAAGCACTGATGTTATAAAGACTCCTTCTACTCACTGCGCCGTCTTATTAACGCCTGTTGGTTCGGATATCAATCACGGAATAAAAATAAAACAGCGCTGTCACCTATTAGGCAGCAGAATGAAGTGAAATGCCCATAGTAACTTAGTAGATGTCATGGATGGAGTCTTTCCTTCAAAAGAACCCTTTTCAAATAATGAATATCTGATTTTGGGTACAAACTTGAGTCGATGTAGATTTTCTTGCCGTTGGCAAACTAACAAAAACAACTTTTCCAATGGCTTATGAAGCCAAAGAAGGACGTCTTACCTTCTCGTTTTATGTGATAAAAAGGTTCACGCAAATATTTGTAAAAGTTAATTAAAAAATGAAAAATAAAAGGGTGTTGGAATCTTATTATAATCTTTTTTACTATCAGTTATCATCTTCGGCCGGACTTACTCTTCTCCGAAGCTACCCCTCTTCTATGAAGGGTGTTTTGAATTTTGTTATCAACGATGCAATCGATAATCAGTTCTGTTAAAGCTCTTTGGAAAGCTAAACTCCGGTGGTGAACAGGTTTCCAAAACGTTAGTTGTGCTTAATTATTGACTTAAACCTACTCTATCATGTCAAAAAATAGATTTTCTTTCCGAAAAATACACATTTTTTAAAGACATGTCCTTTTAATACTAACAAAATGAGACATGCTATAATTCTACGAAAAGAAAATGGGTCCTGCTTAAGTCGAATCGGCGTACAATATTGCTTGTAATCAAACTGATAAAATACAATTTAATTTCCTTTTAGTGATGTTGGAGAGATTGTCGACCCTTTAGTATTTTACGGCACGATTTTAAGTGGGTACCAAGGTCACACATGTACAAGATGATTCTTAAGTTAAATGGTAAAAGAGGGTCAAAAACGAGATTCACCCTGTGCAGATTCACCTGATCGTGATTCGGGATCGGCACCTGATCACAGTAGTATCCATAATAAAGAGGTTAAGTTTATAAGAAATTACTCTCTAGAGCCGAGATTTCGTGTCCGTTGTCCGTATTAGAGAGAGTCGGTATTATGGAGGTTTTTTTAAAGAAAATATATGAGAATTTCTCGGGACATTGGAAACTGTCCGTAATAGAGAGGAGTCCGTATTAGAGAGGTGTCCGTACTGAGAGGTTCGACTGTATTCTTTTCTAGTACTAATTATCACGTGAAAGGTTTAAATCCGGGAGTCATTTCAAAAGTAGGTTGAGTTTCATCGTCCGAGTAAACGTAGTCCTGAATAGAACTGTTGTTGTTGACATTGACTAATGTTTCGACAAACTGTGTGGTCATCTTCAGAGTCAAGGTAAGTTGTATCCCGTCAGTTGATGGTATTATACTCTGGTTATAGAGCAAAACTCTGCTGGTAAAAAGGTTACTTTCCAAAATGTTAGTTTTCTAATTCATTGACTTCAAAATACTCGGTCATTTCAAAAAAAAAAATTCTTTCAACAGAAAACCGTTTTAAAAGGCATCATTTTTTGACATTTTCAAACTGCGACATGCTATAATTCGTCGCTAGTACTCTCTAGGGTGGATCCCGATTTAGTTAAAGCGGCGTACAATGTTGCTTGTCCTCAACTTAACGGAAACACTTTAATAACTTTTTGCTGCGCTAATGATGTTGGACAGAGTGTGGACCCGTTTACCACGGCTTTCAGCGGATACCTAGGTCACGCATGTAAAAGATAACTGTTAATTTATAGCAACAAATACGAGCTAAAAAATAAAGTTCTAAAGAACAATACAATGAATGCTAACCTGAGAATAGTATGATGAATGGTAAAAGAGGGTCAAAAATGTGACTCTACGTACCGCGCCACGAAAAGCCTTTCCCCTTAATAAAAAAGGAGTTTTAAAGGAAATTGATCTTTCACAGTTTAGCCTAAAAAATTGCTACATTTGAATGTAAATAAGGTCAGTTCTCGTCGAAATATGTTTTTTATGAAAATCGAGAAGATAGCTTTGTAAGCAGCTCGAACGTTTAAATCGTTGTTGTCAAAGGAAGCAAAACGTTCAACAGACAGTCACTATTCTTTTCTACCACCGAGTATCATGTTCGGGCCTTATTCTTTCCCGAAGCCACCCTTCTTGGTGTATAAAGTTTTCATTTAAATTTGCTCCAAACTTACAGAAAGGTAAACATCGGTGGTGATTAGGAGTCGAAATCGTTAGTTTTTCTTTTTGTCGGTAGATTTCTTTTCACAGTTTCCAATCCTGGAAAGAATGTCCACACACCCACGTCACCGTTATATATGCGGATAAAAAGTACACGCATCAAAGCAAGTTCAACTTCTTTTACCTTCTAATAACAAATAAACTAAGATATGGATTGATTTACACAGAATAATTCAATGAATGGTGAAGGAGGATCATAAACGAGGTTCTACTAACCATGTCCATTGAAAAGCCTTTTCCGTTATTAGTAACAAATTTAAATGGGTTATTTTAAAAGATTTCGCTAAGAATTCACCAAACGTATACAAAAGAGAAATGCTTCTCCCAACACGGTTTTTCAGAAAATGGAGGAGTTCAGACGTTTGACTCGTTGAAACGGTTAAAGTAGAATAGAAAAACAGCATTCAACCGACTGTTCTATTTTACCACTAGTTATCATCTTAGACCGCTCGTATTCTTCTCCGAAGGAAACCGTCTTTGTGAGTTAAGAATTTTTAATGTTTATTCTCAACCATGCAATCAACAGTCTTTCTATCAAAGATAACAGAAAGCTAAAACCTGGTGGTGAATAGGTTACTTTCAAGCTGTTAATTTTCTTAATCATTGACTTCAAAAACTCGGTCATGTCGAAAAAAAGAAATTCTTTCCAGAGAACACCATTTTTAAAGGCATCATTTTTTGATACTTTCAAACTGCGACATGCTATAATTCGTCGCTAGTACTCTCTAGGTTGGATCCCGCTTTAGTGCGGCGTGCAATATTGCTGTCCTTAATAACTTAACGGAGACACTTTGATTTCCCTTTATGCTGTGCTATTGATGTTGGTAAGAGTGTGGACCCGTTTACCACGGTTTTCAGCTGATGCCAAGGTCACGCAAGCACAAGATATCTCTCTTCCGTTACAGCAACAAATAAGCTCACAAGTAAAGTTCTAACGAATAATTTGATGAATGGTAAAAACTTAAGAATAATTTGATGAATGGTAAGAGAAGGTCCGAAAGGTGACTCTACGTACCGCGCGCCACGAAAAGCCTTTCCCATTAATTAAAAAGGAGTTTTAAAGGAAATTGATCTTTTACAGTTTAGCCTAAAAAATTGCTACATTTGAATGCCTGAATAAGGTCAATTGTCATGGAAATATGTTTTTTAAGAAAACCGACAAGATAGCTTTGTAAGCTCGAAAGTTTAACTAGTTGTTGTCAAAGGAAGCACAACGTTCAACAGACAGTCACTATTCTTTTCTACCACCTAGTATCATCTTCGGGCCTTATTCTTTCCCGAAGCCGCCCTTCTTGGTGTATTAAGTTTTCATTTAAATTTACTTCAAGCTTACAGAAGGGTAAACATCGGTGGTGATTAGGTGTCGAAATCGTTAGTTTTTCTTTTTATCAGTAGATTTCTTTTTCAGTTTCCAATCCTGGAAAGAATGTCCACAAACCGACGTCACCGTTATATTTGCGGATAAAAAGTACACGCATCAAAGCAAGTTCAACTTCTTTTACCTTCTAATAAAAGATAAACTAAGATATGGATTGATTCACACAGAATAATTCAATGAAAGGTGAAGGAGGATCATAAACGAGGTTCTGCTAACCACGTCCATTAAGAAGCCTTTTCCGCTATTAGTAACAAATTTAAATGGGTTCTTTTCAAAGATTTTGCTAAGAATTCACCAAACGTATACGAGAGAGAAATGCTTCTCCCAACACGGTTTTTCAGAAAATGGAGGAGTTCAGACGTTTGACTCGTTGAAACGGTTTGAGTAGAATAGAAAAACAGCATTTAGCCGAATTTTCCATTTTACTTCTAGTTATCATCTTTGACCGTTCGTATTCTTCTCTGAAGGAAACCGTCTTTGTGTATCAAGAATTTTTGTATATTCTCAACCATGCAATCAACAGTCTTTCTGTTAAAGATTACAGAAAACTAAAAACTGGTGGTGAATAGGTTACTTTCCCAACTGTTAATTTTCTTAATCATTGACTTCAAAATACTCGGTCATGTCGAAAAAAAAATTTTTTTTCCAGAGAACACCATTTTTAAAGGCATCATTTTTTGATACTTTCAAACTGCGACATGCTATAATTCGTCGCTAGTACTCTCTAGGTTGGATCCCGCTTTAGTCAAAGCGGCGTGCAATATTGCTGTCCTTAACTTAATGGAGACACTTTGATTTCCCTTTATGCCGTGCTATTGATGTTGAAAAGAGTGTGGACCCGTTTACCACGGTTTTCAGCTGATGCCAAGGTCACGCAAGCACAAGATATCTCTTTTCCGTTATAGCAACAAATAAGCTCAAAAGTAAAGTTCTAAAGAATAATACAATGAATGGTAAAAACTTAAGAATAATTTGATGAATGGTAAGAGAAGGTCGAAAAGGTGACTCTACGTACCGCGCGCCACGAAAAGCCTTTCCCATTGATTAAAAATAAGTTTTAAAGGAAATTGATCTTTTACAGTTTAGCCTATAATAAAAAATTACTACATTTCAATGCCTGAATAAGGTCAATTCTCGTTGAAATATGTTTTTTATGAAAATCGACAAGATAGCTTTGTAAGCAGCTCGAACGTTTAAATCGTTGTTGTCAAAGGAAACACAACGTTCAACAGACAGTCACTATTATTTTCTACCACCGAGTGTCTTCTTTGGGCCTTATTCTTTCCCGAAGCCGCCCTTCTTGGTGTATGAAGTTTTCATTTAAATTTACTTTAAGCTTACAGAAAGGTAAACATCGATCGGTGGTGATTAGGTGTCGAAATCGTTAGTTTTTCTTTTTATCAGTAGATTTTTTTTCATATAGTTTCCAATCCTGGAAAGAATGTCCACACTCCCACGTCAACGTTATATGCGGATAAAAGGTGCACGCATCAAAGCAAGTTCAACTTCTTTTACCTTCTAATAACAAATAAACTAAGATATGGATTGATTTACACAGAATAATTCATGCAATGAATGGTGAAGGAGGATCATAAACGAGGTTCTACTAACCACGTCCATTGAAAAGTCTTTTCCGTTATTAGTAACAAATTTAAATGGCTTCTTTTCAAAGATTTCGGTTAGAATTGACCAAACGTATACAAAAGAGAAATGCTTCTTGCAACATGGTTTTTCAGAAAATGGGGGAGTTCAGACGTTTGACTCGTTGAAACAGTTTGAGTAGAACAGAAAAACTGCATTCAACCGACCGTTCTATTTTACCACTAGTTATCATCTTTGACCGTTCGTATTCTTCTCCGAAGGAAACCGTCTTTGTGTATTAAGAATTTTTAATGTTTATTCTCAACCATGCAATCAACAGTCTTTCTGTTAAAGATAACAGAAAGCTAAAAACTGGTGGTAAATAGGTTACTTTCCAAAATCTTAATATTCTTAATCATTGACTTCAAAATATTCGGTCATGTCGAAAAAAGAAATTCTTTCCAGAGAACATCATTTTTAAAGGCATCATTTTTTGATACTTTGAAACTGCGACATGCTATAATTCGTCGCTAGTATTCTCTAGGTTGGATCCCGCTTTAGTCAAAGCGGCGTACAATATTGCTTGTCCTTATGCTGTGCTATGGATGTTGGAAAGAGTTTGGACCCGTTTACCACGGTTTTCAGCTAATGCCGAGGCCACGCAAGCACAAGATATCTCTTTTCCGTTATAGCAACAAATAAGCTCAAAAGTAAAGTTCTAAAGAATAATACAATGAATGGTAAAAACTTAAGAATAATTTGATGAATGGTAAGAGAAGGTCGAAAAGGTGACTCTACGTACCGCGCGCCACGAAAAGCCTTTCCCATTAATTAAAAATAAGTTTTAAAGGAAATTGATCTTTTACAGTTTAGCCTATAATAAAAAATTAGTACATTTCAATGCCTGAATAAGGTCAATTCTCGTTGAAATATGTTTTTTATGAAAATCGACAAGATAGCTTTGTAAGCAGCTCGAACGTTTGACTCGTTGTTGTCAGAGGAAGCACAGCGGTCAAGAGACTATTCTTTTCTACCACCAATAATTATCTTCGGGCCTTATTTTTTTTTGAAGCCACCCTTCTTGGTGTATGAAGGTTTTACTTAAATTTATTTTAAGCATACGGAAAGAAAAACACCGGCGGTTATTAGGCGTCTAAATCGATCATTCTTTTCATAGTTTCTTATTCTGGAAAGAATGTCGACACTCCTACCGTCACCGTTATGTACTGATAAAAAAATACGTACAACAAAGCAAGTTCAAGATTAGTTGACCTTGTCACAACAAATAAACTGAAACATGGATTGCCTTACACAGAATAATTCAATGAATGGTGAAAGAGGATCACAAACGATGTTCTACTAACCACGTCCGTTGAAAAGCCTTTCCCTATAGTAACAAATTAAATGGGTTATTTTCAAAGATTTCGTTAAGAATTCACCAAACGTATAAAAAGAGAAAAAGCTACTCGAAACACGGTTTTTAAGAAAATTTAGAAGATGTCTTTGTAAGGAGCTCAGACGTTTGACTTGTTGAAACAGTTTGACTAGAAGAACTGACTGCATGTTCTAAATTTTTACCACTAGTTATCATCTTGGACCGGTCGTATTCTTCTCGGAATTGAAGCAAACCGTCTTGGTGTATTAAGGGTTTTTAATTTTTTTTCTCATCCATGCAATCAACAGTCTTTCTGTTAAAGATTACAGAAAGCTAAACTCTGTTGGTGAATAAGTTATACTTCCCAAAATGTTAGTTTTCTTAATCATTGACTTCAAAATACTCGGTCATGTCTAAAAAAAATTTCTTTTAAGAGAACACCATTTTTAAAGGCATCATTTTTTGATACTTTCAAACTGCGACGTGCTATAATTGGTCGCTAGTATTCTCTAGGTTGGGTTCAGCTTTAGTCAAAGCGGCGTACAATATTGCTTGTCCATAACTTAACGGAGACACTTTGATTTCCCTTTATGCTGTGCTATTGATGTTGGAAAGAGTGTGGACCCTTTTACCACAGTTTTGAGCGGATACCAAGGTCACGCATGTACAAGATAACTCTTACGTTATGGCAACAAATAAGCTAAAAAATAAAGTTCTAAAGAATAAAACAATGAATGGTAAAAGCTTAAGAATAATATGATGAATGGTAAAGGAGGGTCAAAAAGGAGACTCTACTTACCACGCGCAACGAAAAGCCTTTCCATCAATAAGAAAGGAGTGTAGAAAGTTGGTCTTTCACGGTTTAGCCTAAGAATTTGCTACATTTGAATGTGAATAAGGTCCTTTCTGGTCGAAATATGGTTTTTAGGAAAATCTAGAAGATACCTTAAAAAGGAGCTCAAACGTTTGACTCGTTGTTGTCAGAAGGAGCATAACGGTCAAGAGACTATTGTTTTCTATCGCCTTTTTCTTTTCTGAAGTCATCTTTTTTGGTGTATGAAGGTTTTATTTAAATTTATTTCAATACAGAAAGAAAAACACCGGTGGTGATTAGGCGTCGAAATCGTCCGTTTTGCTTTTCATCGGTAGATGTCTTTTTGTAGTTTCTTATTCTGGAAAGAATGTCGACACTCCCACGTCACCGTTATATACGGCTAAAAAATTACACGCACCAAAGCAAGTTCGAGAATAGTTGACCTTGTAACAACAAATAAACTGACACATGGATTGCCTTACACAAAATAATTCAACGAATGGTAAACGAGGATCATAAACGATGTTCTACTGACCATGTCCATGGAAAAGTCTTTCCCGTTACGGGTTATTTTGATTCAAACGTAAAAAAAGAGAAAAGCTACTCGAAATTCGGTTTTTTTAAAAATGGAGAAATGTCTTTGTAAGGAGCTCAGACGTTTTACTCGTTGAAACAGTTTGACTAGAAAAACAGCATTCAAGTGACTGGTCTTTTTTTCTTGTTATCATCTTCAGCTGATCGTCCGAAGCGACCCATTTTGTCGTCATGAAAGTTTTTTTTAATCTTTTCTCATCCATGCAATCGTTAGTCTTTTTAGTTAAATCTTACTGGAAGCTGCAATCCGGTGGTTGTGGGTTTTCAAAACGTTACTTTTCGTAATCATCGACTTTAAAATACTCGATCATTGCGAAGAAAGAAATTTCCTTTCAAGAGAACACCGTCTATAAAATTCGTGAACTTTTCTGATACTTTCAAAGTGCCACATTCTTTTCGATGTTACTGCAGTGGCGGACCCAGTTTAAAATAACATTTTCTGCTTTTCGAGCCTCATTCTGGTCTAAAATAATGGCCCAGGCCCCTTCCCTCGATCCCCCACTGTACTTTCTAGGTTGGGTCCTGCGGTATACAATATCACTTGTCGTAAAACTTAACGAAGACTTAAATTTCCTTTTATGCTGTGCTATTTATGTTGGAGAGAGTGTGAACCTTTTTACGTCACGGTTTTGAGTACAAGGTCACGCATGTACAAGATGATTCTTAAGTCATAACAACAAATTAACTAATAATAAAGAATAACAATGAATGGTAAAAAGAGGGTCAATAACGAGATTCTAGACAACACGCGCAATGAAAAGCATTTCCAATAAAAAAAAAAGAGTTTAGGAAATGTGTGTTACAAGGTTTACTGAGCCTAAGAACTCGCAACATTTCAATGTGAATAAAATCAATAGAGACTGAAAAATGGTTTTTATAAAAATAGAGAAAAGCCTTGTAACAATTAGCTCTAATGTTTGACTAGTTGTTGTCGAAGAGGAAGCACGACGTTCAACAGACTATTCATTTCTACCACCAATTATCATCCTCGGGCCTTATTCTTTTCTGAAGCCACCCTTCTTGGTGTATGAAGGTTTTACTTAAATTTATTTTTAGCTTACAGAAAACTAAACACCGGTGGTGAATAGGATCCCACGTCACCGTTATATGGGGATAAAAAAAACATGCACCAAAGCAACAAATAAACTGAAATATGAACTTTTAAAGAATAATAATTACAATGAATAGTAAAAGAGAGTCAAAAACGAGATTCTACAAACCACGCACAACGAAAAGCCTTTCCCAGTATTATGAGAGAGGTTAATGATAATGATTGTCAATGAAGTTTTATCTAAAAGTCCCCTGCTCTTAAAAAATAGAATATAGTCGAAAAATGGTTGCTTAGAAAATAAAGAAGACGTCTCTGTAAGGAGCTTGGACGCGCGAGTAGTTGTTGTCTAAGGAGAAACGACGTTCAAAAGTTTTTTTTTTTAATACAAATGAATACACCATTTTTTAAAAAAAAAAACGATTGATATTTATTTTTCTTAATGATCTTCTTTCATTAATCACTTTTCGTCTCCCTGCAACAAGAACAACAACAAATCCGTTATCAACTTCTCTGCTGTATGATATAGTTTAAAAGGAGTTTTAGTGATCGAAGTATTTAAGTACATTGTGGAACCTCGATTTGGAAATGTGTTAGTTAAGTGGAGGGTTCGCTATATCGAACACCTCTATATAACGAATGCTTGGGAAATGTTACATCGTTAAGCGGAGATGAGGTTATACGGTGTGTATGACTGTGTATATAAACACTTGGATAGTTTGCCAGACACAAGTTCACAGATCTTTGATCTCTTCATCTCTTTGGCATGTTCTAGCCATTTCTAATACGTTATCCCCTGAAGAACATCGGTGAGCAATTATTGATCAAACCTTTTAATTTCTAAGGCTTAATTTCAGGCAAATAAAATGAACTGTTTGTAAAACTTTAACTTCTAATAATTAAATCTTTTGTAATGGTTTTAAAAAAAATATTCTCAAAACAGAGAACGCTTTCAGATCATAGCTGTGTAAATCGAACTGAAACAGTGCATGGAACCTTTCGTTTCCTGTTTTTACTCTCACCTTCTGTATAGAATATGTGTGAAAATCTTTGATCAGGAATTGGTATATTTCAAAGAGCTACACAATGACCAAGAATACTATTGACCGACAGTATACAGAGGGGGTGGAGCTGTATTGTCAACTATTACTAGAAAAGATTTCTTATTTGAGGGAGGTGGTTAACAGAGGGATGGCTTTTATTCGAGGAAATAAAATATTTTGTATCATCTTACAATAGAACTTTGATTTCCACTTTAAGGTCAAATCCACAGAGCTAAACTTCCCAGGTTTCCATATTTGTATATAAATGTATGGTTCAGCTACATGTAAGAAAGACTTGCCAAAAAACTTATGAATTACTCAACTTGTTCAGATCTTAAGTGACATTTATATAACCTCAAGTATTTGTTATTTTTGCATTCCCTAATACACCTTGTCTGTCTGCCCCCTCCCAATATTGTTGCATAAACTTTGCTTTCAGTATCTCTCGCGGAATGCAAAATGGTGAATACTGCTCTTCAACAGATATCTTTCCATCATAATGAACAATTCTCTTCATCGAATTCTCATTAACGTATTGTCTTAAAAGTTAAATGACTAGAACGCCCAAGAGCAATGTGATCAAACATTTTAAATTAAAAGTAATAGAGAAATAGTGAAGAATAATTCTTCACTATTATTACAACTTCTAATCAAATCTTTGCTTACATTTTAGAATAAAACATTCTCGAAACTGAGAATTGTTTGATCTGAGCTGCTTTAAAATCGAACTGAATCACTGCATGAAACTTTTTGTTTTGTGTTCTTATCTATGTATGCAATATGTGTGAAAATATCCAGTATGAATCTATGTTTTTTAAAGAGCTACACAAACAAGAAGACTATTGACCGACCATGGTACATACAGAGTGGGGGCAGCTGTAGTGCCAACTATTGATAGATAAAGTATAAAGGAGTGCTGCCATATATTTATTTGTTATGGTCTACAGTTCAAGGTTGCTTTTTGATTTCCATAAACGGAAATCGGCTCATCCTCGGTGTAAGAACCTGTTAAACTCACAAGTGACATAAAACGGAGAAAACAAAGAAGTAAAAGCAATAAAACGCAGAAAAACAAAAGGTGCGAAACAAAGAAAAAGTTCACAGGTTCTTACACCCAGGTAAACCCTGGAAATCGACAGATTAGACGCCTTACACTACTACATGAAAATGACTGCAATTTGATTGGCTTAGAGCAGTGGTATTTCAGCTTAATTTGAAATACCTACATGTGAAAATTACAACCCTTTTGCAGGTAGAAGTATAAACAAATAATAGCATGATTTGTACGTGATATTTGGCATAAATACCACTCGTGATATTTCAAAATTGTCTCAAATTTGAAATTACGTATAACAATTTCGAAATACGACTCGTGGTATTTATGCCAAATATCACTACAAATCATGGTAGTACAAAAACAAAGCCCTTCATGTCATATGTCGTGGTAGCTTGCCCTCGATCATGGAAAAAAGAACATGTTCCCTTTTTAACGATGATCAACTCAGTAGTATAATAAATATGTTAGCTCCCTCGTGAATTAAACGCTTGTTTCATTCCAGAAAATCTGAGGAAATATTAAAAAGTTGAACTAGAAATCATATGAGCTTACCCCTAATAGGTGAAAAGGTGAAAAGCGGTTCCATAACAGAAAACAAACAGAAAGACCTTACCAAATCTTCATCCACTTTGCTGTTTGATGGAGAAGCACCTTCTTTGCTCTTTTTTTATTTTTCTCTCCCCGTTATCTCTAAAATCTCTCTTTGCGGGAGAACGTTTTGGCATGGTACAACAGCACCTACAACGCGACGGTTGACAACTGACAAGCGATCGACCAAGCGAGCTGCAAACAACCCAGCAAGTACGTCATGTAAGATCAACTATTGACCAATAAAAACGCGGGCTCTAGTATTGGAGGGTCATTTTTTGGCCCTCTATTACAATCTTCCCCATGGTAAAGTACCCCCTTTTTGAACGCTTTTATAGCTCAAAGAAGTTGGAGCCATCAAGTTTAACTGCGCAGTTCAAAGTTCTGAATTTGCCAATGGCCATCTGGTTTTGGATTCTAGGCTGGGTTCTTTCCATTCTGACGATAACTGGAAATGGATTTATTATTTTCCTCGTGAGCAGCGATCGACAACTCCGCACTAAAACCAACGCGTTAATTGTTTCTCTTGCATTGGCGGATTTTTTGGTTGGAGCAACCGTTGTTCCATTCCTGTTCCTCTGTATGATCATCCTCAAAAATGGCTGCATTTGGCCGCGAGAATGGCCGTCGTGGGTTTATCTGATGAGGTGGCTTTTCAGTTATGCGTCCATGATGAACTTGTGCAGTTTGGTGCTTGATCGCTATATTGCCGTCGTTAAACCGCTCAAATATGGAACACTTATGACTTGTCGCCGCGTCATTCGAGTAATTTTCTTTTCTTGGGCAATCCCTGTCGGTTTTGTGACAACTTCACTTTTTTTCGCTTTTTATGCCACACTAGATTCAATAATTATTTTTATATGCATATGCACAATGTTTTTCGAGATAGCTTCACTCTGTATGTTAGTATTCTTCTTCGCGTCCATGGTACATGTGGTGTACAAACACGATCGACTAGCTGCCAGTTATGCGAAACAATTAAGTTTCAACCATCGGGTTTTGACGTTCAACTCACGCGACAAGTCTGCAGTGACAATGATGTCGATTGTTGTGGGAATATTTGTGATCTGCTACGGAATATATCTTCGCTGTGGTTTTATATATATTTTTACTCAGAAATCGTGTGATGATTTCCAATATAAAACGCTTGTTTTAGTATTAAACTCCGGCATCAACCCTTTGGCCTACGCTTTTTTCAAGAGAGACTTGAAGAAGAAGATTAAGAGACTTCTTTGCCGGAGAGAGAGAAAATAAATCATTCATGGATTTGTTGCTGTAGAGTTGAACCCAAGAAAAGAGAAGAAAACAAAAGGTAGAAAGCTTTAATATAACCATTTTGTATACATTTTTCAACGACGCTACAGTTGGAACAATCTCTATGCCAGTCACCAACTGTCAATGAGACTAATGTAAAAAGTGCAAAATGATTATCGTTTACATTGAAGACTTGTCTGTGATGAGGCGGCTGCAGACCGTTCTAGATATTTTGTCTTACACCGAGAGTAGTTACATAGCCGTACAGAGGTTTTTCCGTCTCCGTGTCTCGCCCTTGATAAAGCTGGATATCACGAAACCAAATTATATGGTTCTTTCATTGTTTAAAGAAAGTTTCATATAGCCGCTAAGATGTACGGACTTTGTTTCGCACAAATTTACCTTTTGAACTATTTCGAAACCCTAGCCTATAACCGTAACTGTGTGGCTCTAGCTATTTCTTTATTACAAATGCGATAAAATTACACCAATTAGTATCGTTAATAATGTTTGCGAGCTTTCCCCGCATCGGTGGCCTTTAAGCGAAAAAGGATCTATTAATAAAACTTCCAGGACGGTTAATTATTTGTTAAATATATGTGAAATGTGTTAAATATGGGGGAAATTGTGAACTTAATTTCCTTAAAAAGTGTTTTACTAACATGTAGATTATTCAAGTACATTAAACGTTGTCATGGCATGCGGCGATATAACCAGATATGACGTTATTGATGAAAGCTTTTTCAAAATTATTTGTCTATTTTACTTCGAATTTCACTTTTAAGCCGATTTTGGCTAAACTACATACACGTTACTGAAAGCTAAAGGTTTTATCAATATTTAACGAGCGAACTGTTTATTCAGAGCACTTTTTCAAATCATTATATTGCATGTGAATTATGTTTAACCATGGCAAATCCCCCCCAGTGTCATAAAATGTAATAAACCTTGCAACTGACACTAAAAAAACAACGAAGTCGGGAAGTCGTTAATTTTTTTGGATAGTTTCTCTTTAATTGTTTGCTTTGTGGACCACTTCGTCGATCTGTGCAGATTTTGAAAGGATAAAAAATGGCGGAAGGCTCTTTTTTAATAATCCTTTCTGATAGCAAGGAAAGGAGAATCAAGTTTGCGTCATATTCAGAGAAACTCGGCTAATTTGTTTTTCGCCTCCTTTATTTCCCCAAACCAACTAAATGATGTTCGTAATTTAGTATTACAAGACAAGTCTTGGTATGAGAAAATTTGCTTTAATAATATGTCCTATTTCTTCAATAAGTAAGAGTAAAGCTCGTCAGAGACAAAACAAAACAAAAAATAAACAAACAAGAAGTTTTCCACCTTTCTACAAGTTTAGTGTCCTTCTCATAGATTGCTTGAAGATTAAGTATGACATTCATGGCTCCCGAAATAGAATAGTGAATCCCGTGTTTACTTTGTTAAAGCCCTCAAAGGGAACAACTACGAGTACGAGATTCGATTTACAGTTTTCTCGAATATTGTCAAGAAATAGACACCCCGGAATTCTTCGTTGTCCTTTTTTTCACCAGAAAAAAGGTTGAGACCTTTACCGATTGCAAAATGCTAAAACTTTTTTTTGATAACTTGTTCCCGCCACTACGACATTAGAGAGCTTTAGATCCCTTGAGAACGAGTACTTGTAGGAGATTTAACTTCAAGTTTTTGCTCGTGTTCTCAAAAAAAAAAAAAAAGACATCCCGGAAAGCTTCATTTTACTTTTTTTCACCTACAAAGATAGTACGGTTATTTATACCGAGAGGAGGTTAAGCCCTCTCCCGATAGTAAAATGACAAAACTTCTTAAATTTGATAACTTGTTCCCGCCTCTATGACATTCTCGTTAAAACTCGTAGTAGAGTGACGACGGCTATCACGTTTTCCCGCCAAAATGACGCTGGTACTCGTCTCAGAATCTAAGGGCGCTTTCCATTTACGAAAAAAACTCGGAAATTTCGGTGGTAGCAAAAGTGGAATTTCCGGTTGGTAAAAAGTTGTTCCATTTGGTCGTAAGCCCCGGTACGTGGCGCGGTGCCCGACCGTGGACCTGGAACTGGTACAAACTACGAGAAACGTAAATGGAACACGACATTCCGTTCGGAAATTCCAACCGGGAAAACGGGACCACCTTTTTAGATTTTCCACTTTTTCTGGGAATTTTCCAGTGGGACGAACCGACGAAACGTGTTCCATTTACCGCCGAACCGGAAATTCCGGAAATTTTGACTAAATGGAAAGCGCCCTAAAGCTCTTTATTCTCGTTAAAACTCGTAGTAGAATGACGACGGCTACCACGTTTTCCCGCCGAAATGACGCTGCTTCACGCGCGAGCACTACTTACTATTCAGAAAATGTCGTACTCGCAGTCGTTCTCGTCTTAAGGAATCTAAGTCTCTCTAATTATAGTACGTTTAACAAAGTGCGGCAAAGGTTAACTCAGTGGGTACCAGTAACTAAAAACCTGACTATATTATTGTGTTAACTACTTGTTCCCACAGTGATGACCAGGACGAGTTGTATCGGACAAGAATGGCAAAGGTAGAACACCTAAACATCTTGATAATTTGTTTACAGTGGAAGTGCACTTAGCTGCATATAGTTTGCAGGCACTCCACTCAAGTTATCTAATAATGTTTTTGTGAAGTGTTATGAGGCCTTAGGCCTCAACTGATAACAATTATGGAGGCTTTGATTAGTCCAGATGTCACAAAAAACGAATTTCGTAATTGTTTCTATTATACATTGTTTTCGACAAAATAACGACGAACGCACCGTATCACGGAACACAGTTTGATATTTCTCTTGGAAATCATGCTAAACCGCTTTGCACTGTGTAGTGTAGCAAGACTTGTCTTGGGCCCTGTCCACGCTGATGTCTTCTCAAAAGTATGCGTTTTCGTTGTCTTCGAAAACGCATCGATAGATTCGCGTCCACACTACCGTTTTGATGCGTTTTCGAATGTCCACACTAAAACGTTCGAAAACGATAGAATTAAACGATTTCACTTATGCGCATGCCCGAGTATGCCCGGGTACAACCCACGTGGTAGAAATGGCGTCATCGTTTTTCATTTTGATGCGTTTTCGACAGTCCACGTTAATACGATATGTCAGTATGCGTTTTCGTTTTGATCCACCTTCAAGAGCATTTTCAAATCGATGCGTTTTCGATGAAAACGCTCAGCGTATTAGTGTGGTCGGAAAGCCTAAACGCATCGAAATGCATGCGTTTTCAAAACGAAAACGCTCTTTTTTGGACAGGGTGTTATTCTCTGTATAAACGCTGTTTTTTTTTTCAGCTTGTGCTTGTGGCCAATGAATTAACACTGGACAAGTTGCTCACAGCGAAGTCAAAGTCCTCGTCCAGTCTCTCCCCTGCTAGTTCACCCCGAGGGTGAGTATGTGTGTATTTTATGTTGTTTTTATTCTTGCAAAAGATTAAGCCTAGTTTTTGTGCGCTATATGTTGGAGATCCCCAAAGTTGTGACAAGCATTATTTTAATTTGCGATGGGGAAGACTGAAACTAATAAGTTATAGGACTGGTACCAAGCCAAAACTATAGCTATGCCTGAACTTTCCCTCCCCCCTCCCCTTCATTCAAAGCTGGGGTGTTTGTTGTTTCCTATAGGTAGCCCGAACTGCGGCACAACATTGCGTGGAGGGGATAGGAGAGGAAAAGCTTTACTTTCCCCTCTGGAAGGCAGTAAAGTTTAGGGCGAAGTGTCTCAACTTATTTTGTCGCCGATTGTGTATTGCTGTAAGCGATCACATTTAGGGAATGTCCTACTGGACCTAATCGTGTCGTACCAAAATTATCAAATAACAATGAAACAACAAGTGCTTGATAAAACACGAAGCTCCTTTCGAGTGTTTTGTGTTTCCCATAGATTCTCAACAGATTTTCTTTTTTTTTTTGCAGTGGTGGATCAGTTGTGTCCCCTCTTCGAGGGAGTGGATTTTCCAGTCAGTATCTGGCCACTGATATCGAGTACCTTCACCGCATTAGCTGTGATCAGACTATCCATGGTGACTTCACATTCGAAATGGCTATAAGAGGTGCTTGTTCCTATTATGGTGGTGTCCACTGAGTTGATTGTTATCTGATTAACCAATCATAGCTCGAACCGAATACATGAACCTGTTGCCAAGCGCGGGAAAAACCGTGCGATCTGTTCCCGGGATCGGTATTGTCTTCTCTTGAATGGCTGGAAAAGTGGTGCCACATTTTTTTAACCAACTACAAAGTGAAAAAAATGCAAAATTGCTCTTTTTGACACACTATTGAAAACTGGTTTATGTACATGCTTTTGTGTTAGAAGGAGAATGATTTAACACCTGAAAAAAACTTTTACACGGCATAGTACATTAAAGGTGACTTAAACAAGATGAGCAATGGACTCGTAGAGTAATGGATTTGCTTACGTTTCTGTAGTGAATTGGATGAGAGCTAGACACCTGATGTTACAGGGACAAATGGATTATGCCATGATGTACTTGGACAGGGTAAGGCTCAGTAGAGACTTAGCGATATGTGAATTGTGTCTGAGATTTGGAGCTATATCTCGGCTCAAACACAACGTAAACTCATCTCCGTCCTGTCTTTACAGACTTCAAAGTTCCTGACTCTAAAGGTGAATTCCATCCAGGGACCTACCACAGTCAAGCTAGTGAACTGTAAAGTTGATAACCTTATTACACTTGGTATGTAAAGGTTTTAAAGTGTTAAGAGTTTCCTCTATGTAAAATTGAACCACTGGTAAACGAGTTACTCTCTAAGGGCGCCTCCCATTTGTCAGAACTGGCTAGCCAGACCAGTCCAGTGGTCAGGGGAATTCCAACATTAATCAGGACTATCCAGATTATTTCTAAATGGTGTATGCAAGGCAGTGATGGGTTTAATAAGCCGGCCAGTTCTGACTTTGGGAAAGCGCCCAAAGATAAATACCGATGGCAGTGTCCCTCTTAAGAATAGCTAATACCAACGTAAGATGTTCTTCTCATGGAGTGTCCGTTGACGGAGAGAGAGATTATGTATGTTGAAGACTTGAATGTTAGATGCTTCAAAGGAAGCGGAATTGAAATGGTGAATCCCACTACTTGAAGCCATAGCTGGTTGATTCTTGAGTTCAAGGTATGGAGCTCGTTTATGGTTCTGCTAGCTGTTCAGATCCCTTCTGCAATACAGCTGTATGTAACCTTAATAGGCTTTTTCAGGTGATCGATGTTCATGTTACTTCTCTATTCTGCTCATCAAAATTAATTCATCGTCGTCAATTTATAACGTGGTTTAGGAATTCTTTAAGCGCTGAGGTGAATTCAAATTGTGTTTGTTGTGTTTCAGATCAAGTTCAGAAAAAACTTGAATCGCTGCAAAGATGTCAGTCATTAGAAGAGGTAAATTATTTTCAGTAACAAAGTTTTTAATCCATAAAACTCGTAGAGTTTGACGACGGAACTCAGTTCAGGCTAGTTAGTTTGTTATCTGGTAACTATTTGGACAAAAAGAGCTAAAACTAGGAACTCAACGTCAACGCTTTGTTTCGTTTCCACAACCTTTCGGTCCCGGGCATGCACACAAAAGCTTCGTTAATACGGGCATCAAAAACGTGCAACTTTTTTTGTAACGTTGCTGCAAAACGAGTTGAATAGCGATGTTGCCCGTTTTACCACCCATGTTCAAACCTGTCAACAACCCGATTTGTTGCAAGACAGGTTTGATGTGGGTGGTGAAACGCTCAACATGGCTATTCAACTCGTTTAGTAGCAATGTTGCGAGAAAATTTGCTTTTTTTGATGCCCTCTTTACTGGACATTAAGCAGGAAATTATAACAGTCTTGATAGATTTTATTGCTTCACGTTCTTTTCGCTTCTCTTCTTCCCTGCACGTTTTCCTTCTCTAGGTTTTAACTAGGCATTGTTCCAGTACGATAGACATTTTGTGACTTTTTTTTCGTGATTTTTTTTTAGAAAAGGACTATCAGTGGGAAGGGAGACGAAATTTTCATCGAGAGAAACGGTCGGACGTTTACGCATATGAATAAGCTATTGTGTCGTACTATTCAAGCATGTATGCACCCTGAAAACGGCATAATACTAAAGAAAAAAAGGGCGTTTTGAGGCAAAAAAGAGACTAGCATCGTTTCAAAGATGCTGTTGTATTCTGTTTATCACTAACTTGTATGTTTGTTCAGGTGCATCGCCTTTATGAGTCAGGTCACTATGAAGATGTGGTACAGCTCTTGATGCCTACTCTCTATCAGCCCCAACCAAAAACGAAGGTACGCTCCTACTCGATAGAATATTTGCAGTATGATGCCTAATGTGTTTTAAGGCGTATTTTATTTCACGTTATGTTTGTCAACAAACCTTCTTAATTTGCAAACCTCCAATCAATTATCACAGTGACTCAAATACTCTTACGCCCATGAGCTATACATATCTTTGAACAGAATGCTCCTTGATGTCCCAGGCCATAGGTGGCTCGCCAAAAGAGCCAAAAACACAATGTATAGCTTTGAAAAAATCAAATGAACTTAACACTCTCGGCTATCAGGGAAAGTCACTAGTTTTCAGTCTTGAGCCAAATGTAAATCAATAGTTGAACAATTGTTCCTTCATTCCAAATATTATCCCCATCAAAGTGACCTCAATTATTTTGTTTTGTACATTATCTAACTATGTTACAAGGTCAGCGAACTTGGCATGTCAATACCTGAAAGACCGGCTCAGTTGCTGTTACTACAGGACTCGCTCATTAAACTCAAGGACTACGAGGTTTGTAAAGTTGTTCTCTTGTGATGTTTTTGCCTGCTTCTCTCGTGTAAGCAAATAACACATATTCATAAATTTAAGGTGAAATGTTACTCTCTAGACTTCCTAAAAATCTGTTTTGGGTGGGGCATTGGTCAGGAAGTCTTCAAAGAAGTCGACTTGCGGGCAAGTGCAGTTACTAACCCAAAACATAAAGCAAGTACAATTCAAACGTTGTCGACTCTCCATCCAAACTCAACGAAGTTCGTTGTGTTCCAAGGTGGGGGACCCAAGGTAGGTGAGGTAATTCGCTCAGGTGGGGTAACCCGCCTGTTCATATAATCTCTCATTTTAATTTGATCACGTTTACATGATAGGTGGGGTGACCCGCCAAGGCGGATAGCCCGGTCTAACAGACCGGGTTACCCTCTCAGCTGGGGTCAAACGGGTAACCCGCCTGGCCGGGGTCGTATTCGTGATACATCAAATTCGCGCAAAATTCACTTTGGCGGTGGCTTTGCATCATCATTAAAGTTAACAATAGAAAGCCATTGCACTAAAGGTTGCAGCAAGAGCAACAAGTGAGTGTAAAAGTGCATTAATCGCCAAAACTCGTGGTTTGCCAGTATTTTTCTTGTTTACGTGCTTAGCGACCATTCAATAATCTTGAGAAAGTGCACCCCGGGATGGCGGGGTTGTAAGATTGCATGTAAAGGAGGGTTATTTTTTTACCCCACCTAAGCAGGTTACCTCACCTACCTGGGGTCCCTCACCTCCCTGTAAACACGACCTAAACCTATTGCATTTTTGCCGTTCTCGTTGAGGTCGCCGTCGTTGTTGCTTCAGCTCCCTATTAACAAAATGAACTAGACAGCCGTGACACAGCCCCTTCAAGTATCTGAGTCAAGCGTTTTCTTCACTTGTTTTCTCAGCAATGTTTGACGTGTTCAGAGGTTGCTCTGAATGAGGCAGTGTCACAAATGAGTCCGTGCGAGGCCTGGTCCACAACTCTCTCTAGACTCTTTGCATGCATCGATAGGTAAGTCATAAAACCTTTCTGTACGTTTAAAGGTTTTAATACGTCGTGGCTTTTGTTACGTAGAAGACAATAGATACCTTCCCAACAGCCTTGATATTTTTTAACCATCTTTAATGTAACTTTTTGTCAGGTTCCTGATATTTGTCATCTCTTTTCTTTACCACGTGTTTTTCTCATTAAAAACCAAGTAGGACTTGCGTAGCCAATCCTGAAAGGACCGTATTTTTTGTGATTAATGCGGTTAAGAACAAGACAGGTTAGGGTCAAACTTCAATTGAAAGAGGCTTGGGCTCCTTTTGCAAATTACAGACAGCCGTGAATAAACAACTCTTGACTATGTTTAACTAAACTCTAAACAAAATAAACATACGGCGTTTATTACTTTCAATGTACAGCGCATTTATCATTTCTCTTTGAAATGAATAAATCAATAAAATATGGAAGAATTGACGTGAAATCTTTTTTTTTCCCTAGGAGTATTTTGGAGTGTAAGGATGTGTTGGATAAGATTTCTCAAGACAAACTCAACAGACTTACTCACAATATCGTCAAAGTGAGTAATGCTTAAACTTTCATCAAAAACAGGGACCAATAAAGACTACTAGGATATATGAAATTGAAAAGAAATATAGAACAAAATGATATCTTAATGCATGTACAATTTTCAAGGTCTCTCTGTAGTAAGTACTGGCCAACAATTTTCGACCTGTAAGATTTCAGTTTTGTTATATTCTTATGTATAAAATTTTAATTTATCAGGACCCCCATTGGTATCAGCTCTGCTGGAGGGGCAAATCCTGTCTGAATATCGGTAAATAATAATGAAAAAAAAAATACTTATAATAATGACGATGATTCTGCGCTCTTAGAAGCAAACGTGATGGTTTTCAGTTCGTTCTTGATCTTTTACGTGCGGAGAGATTTAATTCGTACTATTCTTCAAAAAGGTCCTAGAAGCTTCCATGAATTCATCTGAGAGCAGCTCTGAGCCGCCACTAGCAACTGCCAAACCCTGGGTTATACTCTACCGGATCATTAAACAGTAAGTGTTCGTAAGTGTCGCTTCACAGACTGGATTATATCAAAGGGCTTAGTATTAACTACAATCATGGACAAAAGTCCGGGGATAAATCTGTATTTGTGGGGCTTTTGTTAAATCACACATGCCCAACCTCTCCCAAGCTCCCAAACAACGTTGGACGCCTGTACCCAGGATTTCCCCGGAGTTTCAATATTGCATAGGGTTGGTGGGAAGGGAGGCGGGGGGGGAGAACTGCAAGGTATTTTCCAAAAGAAGGCACCCCGAAATTACAGATAGTAATTACGAATATCATCACCGCTTGTGCATCACCGTCCCAAGGATTTTTTTCCCAGGATTATAATTCCAATGAAATTAGAGTTTTTAAAGAGCCACGTGGCCACAGTTCACCAGAACGAAGTACGCCTGCGTACGGCTAAAACTATACGGTACAGGATAATAAGGGGGGGGGGGGGGGTTTTAGTCTCCTTCGTCTCACAGCTATAAAACAGTGTTGGACTGATGTTCTGACCTTCTGATTAAGACATTATCCGCATTATGAACAAGTGCATAGCAGAAGGGTTGATATGACACAAGTCGATTCCGTCCTCACTCTCTCTCAAATACCAGGCAGTTTTAGAATATGATATTTAAGAGTTCTAGTGCAAACATCCATGAGTGTTTCAACTTAAGAAAAAGTAAGAATCGAGCAAAACCTAGTATTCATTGAGAAGAGTAACTCGAGGTATTTCTGCTCAGAAGTGTTTTCATTTTCCTCCTTTTGAAGCCAGGAAAAGAATGCTGAGTTAGAGGATAAAACGACCAAGACCAGTGACCCGATTGCACCGCCATCCATTGACTCTCCAGTGCCTGAACCCACGAGCAATAATAACGTAAACAGCAGTAGTGTTATCAGTGACGTGCCTGTAAAGAACCTATCACCATCTCTAAAGTTTTTACGCACTGCGCATGAACATCTTGGCAGGTTAGTGGAAACCTCTTCTTCTTGCGCTCTGTTGAAACGGTAGGGAGCTTAAGCGTTCACGGCGGCCAGGGCAACGAGAACCTCAAACAAACAAACAAACAAACAAACATACAAATGGTATGGTAAAAAACCTATTACAAAACGTACATGAATATACGTACACATACGAACATTCCCTTAGAATATAAGCCAAAATTTAATGGGTTATGGCGTCTTTAGAAAACACCCATCATTATCCAAGACTCAGGCCTGTAAAAACGTTGAGTTAAATGTATCTAAAAATTGTGACGCGCTTTTCTACCTCATGACCCCCTTCTAGCTTCTCTATGGGTCCTTTGGACCCCAGTGTACGAAATCGTGATAAGAACACTGTTTTATGTCTTATTTGGAAGAAGGGTTCTAAGAATGAATTAGGCGTGCCTGCATTGTTGACTGTGAAAACACTGTCTTCTTCAGGCGTGGTTGGTGTTGTAATAACGAAGGAGCTTTCTTACTGCTTAAAGTAGAAGTTCTCACCAAGGAGCTTGCTAAACCAGTGGTCAACGCCCGAGAGGTTTGTCTTTTTTAGAATTCTTGTGTTGTCTCTTACATGTGTCAGTCGTCTTCATAACGGGCGTGCCACGGGAGCGCTAGGTGGGGAACAAGGGATGATGGGAAGTCGTAAGAGTAGAATATGAAGTTTTTCTCTCGTGCTTTCTCTCTACCCATCACACCTCGCGCTGGCGTGCCACGCGCATTAGGGACCTTGAGATCTGACAACGGCGACGAGAACGTAAAAAAAGCAATAGGTTCGGTTAGCAAAACAACAACTTTGCACGTGCATCACGCTTTTTGTTTGTACATTTCTTTGCCGTCACTGCACGACTACGACATGAAAATGCGTAGTTTCACGTTCTAAGGAGGACGTAAACAAGCCACGACGAGGCTTTCTTTTTCCTTCTGAACTTAGATATGGTTCTTAGGGATTCAATTCCAGAAGAGTTCGCCTACATTGCACAGAGTAAGTAGTTGGAATAATCGCAATGAAGATTAAAAGAACGCGAAATCACTTTTAAAGCGACGTTTTCGCCTCCGTCGCCGTCCTCAGATCTTAAGCTTCCTTTTATGAAGACGGCTTGGGACGAGTCATCTATGGTAACAATTGAGCACTGTATCATTTAGTAAGTGCGTTACTTTCATGAAACGCTTTGTTACCAACGTCAGGATTGGCAGGTTGTTACAGGCGTTCAAAAAATGGGTGTGGGCAGAAGAAAATTGTGACAAAAGCAAATAACACTAACAGGCAGCTTCCCGTTAGAAATATTTTCCGTTTTGGTGCTGGCGTTTGTTTTACCCCACAGTGTTAGAACCTACAAAAGGCTATAAACGTCCCGTATAACTTGAGTTGTTCTTTCCTGTTAACCTGTAAATGATTCTGTAAATACCGATTGTGTAGGGAAGGTCAACCAACGAATTCGTATAAATTCTTTTCAATTGTATTTAGAAATGGAGAAAGGGATATTTATTTCGAAATATTGAGGAAATGGAGAAGTCAAATTTGTTTTGTGAAATGTTTTATGTTTGAATAAGCAAAGTCTTGTCCATTTTTCTGTTTTTGTGAGGCATATTTGACGGCACTTGTATGGTATTCTCATTTGTTTTGTTTACACCAGGAGCTTGTCCGAGACTTAGAACAGTGTTTCTTGTGTTTGTATGGACATCCATCTAAGAAGGCCAAGGTATGCGAATAGTTCCGTCCTTTGTCAATTGTTTATTCAATCAATAGAGAAAAACGGTAGGGTTGGTAAACCAGTAAACCGCTGGACTGTAGAGCAGGATTCGTGGGTTATATTGCCCGGGGCCGGACCAACACTCAGGGTCTGAAGATAAAATTGTGAAGTGAACATTTTCATTTCTGCCTTTGCAACGCCACAGGAGAAATAAAACCTTCGTGCCAAATACAGTGGCCAAAACCTCAATAAAGAAGGGGTTTTGTTATTTGTTTTGTCTTTTTTAAAATTCATCTTGCTATTATTGTCTTTGGTGCCATTCGCGTGGTTGAAATTAAAAGGTAATATATTTACCTCATTTAAACTTTCTTTTCAATTAGGCTCGTGGTCTCTTGGAACACAATTCATCGCAGGTGAGCTTTTTCTCATCGATTCTTTTTTTTTTTAGCTCTTTTCACAGTTAGGTCAAAGCCTTTTGTGGCAACAACCTGTCGTAATCCATCACGTTCACTTGAACGCTATTCTTCTCATTTTTTTTTTTGGGATAGTTAAACGATCTCTCGCCCCTTTATTCAATGGGAGAAAGCACTTTTCTGATCAAACAAAAATTTCTTCTCCTGTATTAGAACTTACGTATTCCAACGTATTGTTGGAATTTCCAGTCTTAAATTGCGTTTTACTGTACAAATTTTCGATCAAAGTTTATTTCACTTTACTGTTGTAAGTGATGGCGCCACGTGAAGCAGTTGCTATTTTAGGTGGACAAGTTAGCATGAAAGGTTTTCATTTACCCCAAGTTTGACTGCGGCTGCTGAAAAAGTGTCTTGCCTTTTCAATGCCTGTCTTTTTACTTTTCGCAGTTCTTGAAGAAGTATTAAGTTTTTTTAATTTTCTATTGGTCTTCTTCACAGCTTCCTTTAACTTGGAGTAACTCGGTAGTAGTGTTTGATTACTTCAAGCCACCTGAACTACCCACTTTTGACAGCAAAGCTAACACCATCTCTGCAGAGGTGAGACTATTTGCTGCCTTCTGTTTAGCCTTTGGCGACAAACTAAATGGGCAATTTAGCCGGTGTGGCCAATGTCCCAAAGAGAAAGAGGAGGAGCGGAACGCCTACTCTCTCTCCTCCGCAGAAGGACTCCCGCTGGGTATTTCCAATAAAAAGTAGTAAGCGCGCGTGCCTTCCGAAATATTGGTGACAAAACATATATATATACTCCCGACAGTAAAATCAGCCTTGCTACTTTTGTTCAATAAGCGCGCGGTGGACGATGGGAAGAGAAAAACCTTCCCATCTCCCCCGCGCGCTTTCTTTTTTTCCCGCCCCAGCAGGAGCGGAACGCCTCTGTTAGAGACATTGTTTGGGCCGTTCTGGTGCGCCCCTCCTCTTTTCTTTTGAAACGCCTACCATGCAGTAGGAGGTAGAATAGTTTTTAAATCAGTAAAACCAAAGAAATAATCTGTAGTAATTAAAATCAATTTTTATCTCACTGACCGATCTCGTGATTCTCGTGTCCAATCTTGCAGGTGCAGAATCTTCTTCGAAGGATTACAATGGTGATTCCACAACAAGAACTTGAAGGTACTAAATTATAATAATCGAGAGGACTGAATGTTTTGGTCAATCATGGGATGTTGTGTGATATATTTTTTATGTGGCTAAAAATCATTTAGCCAAAGTTAAACTCGAGCGAGTTGGCCATCGGCCTTCTCCCACTTCAGTATGTGACCTACGGGGTGGCCCGCGGGGAATTGCAGGGCTCCTTGAGTGCTCTTTTGCTAGTGTTGCTTTGCATTGTAGCTTTGCTTGCTGATCGAGTTTAATGGTGTATTGCACTTTGCGTAATGGTGTCTTGTCTTAAAATTGGCTTTATTTTCTCCTTCCAGCTATTAGTTTCGAAAGTGTGCAATCGTTTATCGAGGGTGGAGATGAACCAGTCCCAAAACTGCCTGATCACCTTATTGGTGTCAAAAGGTACGCTATCATGCTATGCTTTGATTGATTAAATTTATCTTGTTGATCGTGTCCTTAAATTGGGGACCACTCTGATATATAAAGCGTTGTCATGACAAGAAGGAATTTGATTCTCTTCACCCTCAGGGCTTAAAAGGATAACAGCCCTGGAGGGGAGGGGATCTCCCATGTGGAAGGGGCAGGGATACTTGTCGAACATTTTGAACTAAACCCATAAAGGAGGCCATTCTGGGCGTGGTTCAACCTTTTTTGACCCCTAAAAGATCATTTAAAGAGGCGATTTGAACTTTGATTACAAGAATCGGCTAAATAAAACTAATTGAAGATATATAATTTATTAATATTTGTTCACGTGTAACCCTAAAAGAGACCTTTACGGCTAAATATAATGGCGTTTTGCCCAAAACACCCTAAGTGAGACCAAAATCCGAAATTTACACCCCTAAGCGAGACGCGAGCATCCTCGCCCCTTTCATGTGGGAGTCCCTCTCCCCCGGGGGTTAACAGGCACAATTTAATAAGAATTACATATAACAGAGCAACTGTGCTGTAGATTACACTTTATATTTAGGTCAATACCTTCAATTATTACACCAGCGTCTGTTATACTGACAGCACATCTTTTACTTCTCTTTTTTGCTGTAACTAGTCGTGCCTTGGTTTTTTTTCCAATACTCCTTTGATTTTATTCCATATTTTTGTTTATTTTTGCAGACCTGTGATTAGCGAAATCTTCTATTTACTGGCTGACTTCTATTTCAAGAACAAAGAATTCAGGTAATTGTCACATAGGTTATGTACTTGTCAATTTACGAAAGCTATAAGAGGGCTAAAAGTTTGTCGTTTGAACTCCATCTTCCCCATTTTAAATTATTCTTTGTTGTCTTTGGTTGATTTCACCTTTCAGGAAATTTGAAAGATTTTAGAAATCTAAGCATCTTCCCACAAAATATATTTGAGAGAATTCGAGAAACGACAAAATAAATCTTGAATGAGTTTGTAGCCAGTTTAGGAATATTCCTCAAGGTAGATATCTTAACCTCTGATATACAAAGTAGCTGTAACGTTTGAGTCATGCGAATGAAACGTCTTGATCAGAACTATTAACGTGGCAACATTTGGTGTTGAACTTTAGCACTAGCCACTCTTAGCATGGAAAGACGTATCGAATGATTATTCACAAATGCACGGAATTCCTGTCTGTTGTCTGATTTTCTGCAATACTCCAATTTTTACTAACTGTCTGAAAGACTCTCATTTGTAATTTTCCGAAATTTGCACATCACCAAACTTATACCTGCGCACCCCCCCAACTTACTTAGAGATCCCAGCTACATTACTGATGCTGTGCATCTTTGAAGTACTATCCTAGGAAAGCTTTCTACAGCTTGATCGATTTTGTTTGTATGTTTTCAGCAAAGCCCTCAAGTTCTATATGCACGATGTGTCAGTTCAGCCTGACAGAGCGGACACATGGGCCGCCATGGCTCTCGCTCGGAAAAGTAGACTAGAGAACAAGTTAAATGCGGTAGTTTATATCACTCTCTTTCTTCTTTCATCGTAAAATTCACTTCATGTCGTGTTCGTTAATAGAATGACACGAAGTAAACAACGAGTTTTCCCTGTGGTTGGCGGTATTAATATTTGCACATATACCAGAATAACATTTTCTCACTGCGTCAAATACGTTCCCGGAGCGTAGGCATACGTTTTTTTCAGAGTTAAGCTTATTGTAGGCCTCTGCCTCCATTGTCTTACCTTTTTTTCTACACCTTTAGCGTGAGACATGCATATTTTTTATTTCGTGCAGGCTCAGAGCCGGAAGTAAGGAGTGCTAAAAATTGTTTGGGCGCAACCTCGTCCCCAGGGTCCTCTCTCTCGCGCTCCGGGGGACAGGAAGGAGAGGAACCTGGAAACGAGATTGGGTTGGGGTGGTCTTCACCGAAGAGGTTCCTCCCAGCGCGAATTGCATCAACAATGTGAAGGTCATTTTTATGCTATGACGAGGGTTCCTGTCTAATATAACTGTACTCTATTTATTCCTTTTCACATGTTTCTGGTTTTTCAGTGTGAGCCCAAAAGTGAAGGACCGATACAAAAACTTGCAGTTTCTGCTCTTAGGTAAGTCCATAATTCACTTCTTCTAATCGCATGATAAAAAATTTACAGCCTTTGTTATCAATTGTAAGTTATGGCATGAAGTTAAAGTCAGTCAACCCCTGCTATGCGGCTTTAGTCGTTTACTTCCTCTCAGTTGCGTTAAAAAATAAAGGACAACTCAGGACAAGTTGTCTTGAGCCCTTATGTCTATCTCCTTCTTTTTAGTTTCTGGCTTGATACCTACTTGGTCACATTTTATAGCGGCCTGTAATGTTAAACGAAAGTTATGACACTTCTATGGAGGCTGTAACTCGAACAAAACACGAGAAATGTCTTATTCCAAGTAGCCATCTATTTTACATTTCTTTATAAAAAGGAACAAAATATAACAATATTTGTTTGTTCCATTAATTAGAAGATTACAATTTTGCACGAATCTTCAGTTCAATCATATCGAAAACTTCGACAAGCCAAAAAAAAAATTCCCGAAAGAACGTTCAGATCGAAGACCAAAAGCTGTAAATATTTAGATTTCAGTAGGAGAAATTCTTTTTATTTCTTTGGTTATACATAATGAGGTTTATTTTATACCCCTTTCTTTTCAGATGTTTCAAAAGAGCGTTGGAGATTGACGGTTCAAACAGCAGTTTGTGGGAGGAGGTTTGTTGAACATCTTTTTTTGCATTTTTCGCTGCTCTGACTAAAGAAACAACGCATGAACTAAGTATTTTAATCATACTGAATACTGTTCGATAAAAAAAAATCATTGTCTCATTTTTGTTCTACAGTACGGGACACTTTGCTACGTATTATATTCCCATGCCTCCAGGCAGCTCAACCAGGTACGTACTCATTGCTACTTTTGTACTCATTAATTAAAAACAAATACAGTATAGTTTTCTCGTAATGGCAGGATACAGGTAATAATTGATGATGAAAAGAGAAACGTTAATGAAAAAGAACTGGTAGTTTCGTTAGGGTTGATTGGTGAATTTTATAGTTAGAATGCGTGTCAAAATGTATGTTGTGAGAACCCGTTAACACGGAGAGAAGCGACGACCGGAAATACGTCTGCAGTTCGCAGGCTGCGTTTACACGGTTCCGGACAAATTTTTCAACGGACGATTATTTTTACTTGTGCAACCCATTTCCACGGAACTTTGCAACTTATGTTACAGATTGCAGTATTGTCTGTCGTTAAAAAACTAACACAGTTCCGCGGGTCTCGTGTAAACGAAAGTCAAAACCGTGCAAGTTTTTTGTCCGTTCAAAACTTTTTTCCGGAGTTGTTTTTATTTTTTCAACATTTGTTCTTTTTGTCTAGTTTGATAAAGACGAAATGTCATCAGACAGTCGTGCGGCGTTAGTCCAGCGACGTGACGAGATGTTGTTGTTATCCGAGCGATGCTTTACCTCTGCTTTGGGTATTGAAGATGGTGAAGCTTGGCTTCATCACTATATCTTGGGAAAGATCTCAGAAAAGCTTCAAAAACCTCCTGGCATCTATCTTGAGCATTATCAAAAGGTAAATGAACATGTAGGCATTTCTTAAGTCTGTCGGGTGCTTCACGAAAAATGTGAAAACTTTTTAGGCTCGAACAGTTGTATTATGCTTGGAGAGGGTGTTTTGCCGCCGTAAGGGGGCGCAGTTTTTAGAGTGCTGATCTGCTGAGCAGAGAAATCGTAAGGGTTAAGGGTTAGTACAGGCATTAACATAGAGGATTATTTTACAGAACTAAGGAAACAACAATGCCGCGGTTATTCAAAAATGTCTCAAACATCTCTTTATTAGAGAAAATGATGTTTACTTCTAACTCGTAACCTTAAAAGTGAAACTTAATTCAGTGGTTTGTTCACTATTTACATGACTTTTTCTTGTCTGTTCTTTATTTTTTAGAGTGCAAAATATTTGGATGACGATATTTCAAGTTACCCCAGAAAAATTTCTTACTACAGTCCACCTGATCATTCACTAGAAGCACTGGAGGTAACAGAAACTAACCTTTTTATGTTGTTGTTTTTTTGATATATATATATTTTTCTTTTCGCTATTGACTTCTTTCCCTTTCTTTCTACTTCAGACCCGTATCTTCTGCTTCGCAAGGCTCTGCGATTCACGTATTTCTGGTTAAACATAGAAAAATAGACCTCTCCGCGGTTTTTTGTTCAACTTTTGACGTGGACAAGTAAGGGAAAATCCGTCAACTCCCCTTGAAAGAGTGCGTTTAAATTAATAAAATGGCCAAATTTGAAAGTGATTTGTTGAAAACTAACGAAGATATAACTCCTAAAAGTCGCAAAATTTTACAGACGTCTGTATGGTGGGGGTGTGGGGCACAAACTTACCCCCCACAATGCAAACGTCTGTAAATTTTCGAACCTTTGCAGAGCTATATGTTCGCTCTCTTAAGACGCATCACTTTTAAACTTGGCAGTTTTACTAATTTTAGGGCGCTATTTTAAGTGCTGTCGACGGATTTTCCCTTGCTTGTCCATATCAAAAGTTGAAAAAACGGTGAAATGGTCTATTCCAGATAAGGTTTCTTTAGTGTGTAAGGTTCATTAGGTATCATATTCCCTTCTGAGATACAGTATGTAGACTATGCCATTTAAACCTTTTGCAGATTTATTTCCGCATCCATGTATCAGTTCTGAAGCTTCTTTTTAGCAAGTACCCGGATGTAGATGTGAGTGTTCTTGAGGAGCACCTTCAGCGAGCCTTGCAAGGACCCTTTCATCACCCTGAATTTGACTCTGATACAGGACCCGGAACCGTATACAGGACAGAATCCACTACTTCAGGTTTGTTAAGTCTTTCCTACATACACCTCAGGTCGGGTTGGAAAAATATTACTGTACTCTCCTCTCTGAGGAGAGTGGAAAGAGAGAGAGAAAGAGAGAGTGCTAATCATATGTCCTCTTCTTCTATTGTGCCGACTTTTTCGTCTCCATTTTCTTCATGTTTATTTTTTCGAGTTGCCTGGGAGGAGGCGAAGGTTTGTTGTTGTTTTTCCCTCTGTAGTCTGTTCACAGACCTTCTATTTTCCCTTTAGAAATCATCGAGCCCGTGTGCAAAAGTAAAAATGGCGGGGTATTTATTGAAGGTTACCGCGATATTTTCCTATTAATCCTGATCAGTCATGTTGCCGGGGTCTGAAGTTAGTTAGACTGCGAGCAATCTCTTATTTTCTTCAAAGTCGTTAGGGTAGGACGCGCAAGCTGCGAGCGACGAAGCCGCGAGCCGCGAGAAACGAGAGCGTAAGCCCGAGACGGAAGAAAAATAAGAGATCCGTATTTTCTCGTCTCGCCCCAGTCCCTTTGTGGCTTAAAGCGTTCTCTGTGCCAAAACGCACCATGGCTGAGAACTCGACGGATCTTAAGAGAAAAGACAGACTGCTCGCAGTCTAGAAGTTAGTACATGTTGTAAGAGGAACTGCCGGCACTGCATGACTTCCAGGGTTTTACTTTCAGTGCTGTCTAGTTTGAGATTAAAGTCCATTCACCCAACAATCCCACTTGGGATTTTCAAGAACACGATTGGGCACATTCTCGCTCCCAGGGACTCTCGTCCCCTAGAAGAGAGACCCTGGGAACGAAGCTGGATTAGGCAAAACATCACTTTTTGTCCTGAGTTTGTCCTGTAATCAAAATCCACGCTCGCAATCGTTTATTATTAAAGATAGTCTTAGCGGGCCAAATGTAATCTGATTTGGATAATTTTCAGTCGAAGCCTTTAAATGACATAGTGGGGGAGAGGATTTATGACATTCATATTATTATTATAATTATTTTTTAGAATCGTTTTTGAGCAACGTTTTTGAAGATTCAAAACATGGAGATACTAAGGCCTCCAAGTCAGTTAGTGGAGCGGATACAGTGACTCTATCAGAGCCCACACACAAAGAGGACCTTAGTTCTTCAAACGCTAAGAGTGATGTCACAGAGACAATAAAATACGGTGCCGCAGAAACGACAGAGTCAAGCAAGGCGTCATCTCCTGCTCCGATTCCAATGGAAGTGGAAATGAGTGTTCCGTCTAATGATGTGTCTTCTGTGGAGCAGACACCGGATAGCTCCCAGGCTCCCTCTGCACTTGTCTCCGAGGTGAAAGGACTGGGTACTTATCAAGCCGCAATTGACGACTCAAAGAAAAACACGGCGGAGGAGAAGTGCAAGGAAAATAAAGAAGCAAAAAGTTCTGAACCAAATGAATTATCAGAGAATAAATTCTCTAAGCCTTCGAAAGAGGAGAATTCCAATGCAAATGTTATTAAATTAGAGGAAACAACCTTATTCCAAGAAGAAACAGAGAAGTCAGAGACTCCAGAAGTTGAAAAACTTGCCTCTGATGAAAAACCACACGAAACGACTGAAGTGTTGGTGGATAGTACAGACACTGAAATGGCAACTGAGGAAAAAGATTTCAAGGAGGAAGTGGATACCAAAAGTGAAAAAATGGAGATTGACACGGTATCTACTGCTACTACAGAGAATATCAAAGCAGGTGAATCCACAGAAACACCAAGCAATCCTGCGACCTCAACTGCTGACAGCGAGTCATCGCCTGCTCAGTGCCCTCAAGCAGTGAAAAATAAGCGTCCGCCATTAACAGCCGAACAGCAGGCTAAAAAGAAAGAGCTGATGGATCGGTGTATTTATGCTTTGGGGTATTGCTTGCGAAGGTTTCCTCAACATCACAAATCACGCTATCGCCTGGCGTATGTGTACTATTACTCGCCAGAACATAAGGTAATCTAACAACTGCTTTGTGTCAGAAACATGTGTAGTAAGAACCATCGAAATGATGAAAAGCTCAGACAAATCATTTGAAGGTTAGTCTCCCTCGCGACCCTTTAGTTTCGTTACGCAACACTGGAGAGTTGCGTGACGTCAGCCGAGCGCCAGAATAGAACATGTAGTAGAATATGTAATAGAACATGTAATAGAGCGTGTACGTGTAGTGTGAAAAATCATGCTGGCAACGAGGTCGTGAAAAGCGCGGGAAATACGCGCCAGCAGGGCAAGGTAAACTGCGATTGGTCGCTAGTTCTGTTGGCGGTAAACCCGAAATAAATATTTGAGATACTTAGTATTACTTTTGCGGAAACGGAAAATAGATTTCTCAGTCCAGGTAAACTGACATTTTATTTTTGCGCAAATGTTTTTTCTCTTTAGGAGACAAGTGCATCTCGTGATTTGTTGTTTGGTAGCAGCACAAGACAGATCAAGAAATTTAACTTTCCCCATCAAGGGGTCTTCAACGAGAAAAGCAAGACAAATTTGTTCTCGGTGAGTACGTTATATACTCTACTGCATGTCAAAGATTTTTCTATACGTAATTAAGCATTTCCTTTTTAGAGAAACTTTCCACCGTTTTATCTCCTGAATTCCTATAGGATGGTTAAAAAGGAATTATGAGACAATTTGAGGTTGACACAGCATTTGGCTAAGATAACACATGCTTTAAGGTGAAGCTACCCAACAATGTGGCAAATATAGCTTTATACCTACTATTATTGTTTATTTCTCAGTTTTGTTTATTTTACAGGCATTTTGGAGAATTCCTGAAGAGGATATTGACAGGTAAAGCAATGACGATTTTTCTTGCGGATCCCTAAAGCTAACCCTACTATAGTTAAATCTATCTTAACGGAAACTTGTAGAGAAAGACACTTCCTTTAAGTTGACACCTACAGTTGTTCCTTGCCGATCTACAATCATTTTCTCTGACACACCACATGACACACACCCTGCTAAAACAGACACCTAGATTTGGTCCCTGCCTTTCTTTAACCCTTATAGTTAACCCTCTATAAGACGGACATCTGTCTGAAACGAACACTTGGAGTTTGTCCCTGCCTTACTTTTCTCGTTTCAGTTGACTTTCTCTAAGACACACATCTCTTTAAGACGGACAAAGTTGACCATATATCTTATTAGTCAATGTGACCTCTGTTGATACCATGCGGTTCAGCCGATTAACCACGCGAAAGAAGGTTCCGTCTAAAGTTTACCTTTTCTCTCAAACTTTCTTATAAGTCAACTAGTTTCTTTACTTTAGAACTCTATACCCACTAAATTTTGCATACAGGAATGCTTTTCTTTAGCCTGAGCTTTAGTAAGTTAACTATCTTGATTTTTGCAAACCTTACTGGTTTGACTGAAACAAGTTCAAGATTGGTTCCCTCCCAGATTTCTCCATTTCTAGTCGTTGTATAAAGTAGTATGCCTGTGACCATGTTTATTCTATAATTTCCCTACATTCGCCACTTTGAGGTTTCGCAAGAGACCGAGTCAAGATGATTGTCAAAGTGCATTGTGGGACTGTTTTGGGGGACGAATTTACCGCCTTATTGAAACGACGTCTCCCAAAACAGTCCCACAATGCACTTGAAAGCCATCTCGACCCGGTCTCCCGTGCAACTTCAAAGTGGCCAATTGATGGGGTGTATTTGTTATGTTTAGGCCGGGGTGCTTCTGTACTCATACGTACAAGTCAGTTGCCTTGTTACTTGAAGTCTTGTGCGAGTTAAACGAGTGGGACACCCTGATACTTACCCACAATCTTCTCTACAGAACACCGGAGCAGGGCAAGTAAGTAATGTTTTATTTCTTGTCGGTACCATTTCTTTAGGTCAACTTTACCAAGAGACTAGAGTAAACGACGGAACTCGAGGAACGAACTGATTGTACTCGATGTAATATGTCGAACGTCGAGTGGAGAGAGTTGAAAATAAGATGCTTATATCGCCTCTCAAGCAAAATGATTTAAGGGCGTAGTTAAAGGGTCGACAGGATGAGTATTAATGGGTTTAAGGAGCATAATTCACATGATTGGTGCGCTTTTAACTCCTTGCTTGAACCAAAGCCATATATGTTTTGTTTGCGCCTTTGAAATCTTCGAATTCCTCTACACAGACCTTCCTTACTTTCTACTTTGACCTACAAAATCTCGTTTTTCTTTCCTTTTCCTTTTCCAGGAAATACCTGAGAGATAACGAGCGTCACTATCTAGCAAGAAAGGTGAGAATGAGAAAATCACTATGAAGAATATATTGTAATAGAGAATAGGAAACTGTCAATATTTAAATCAGTAATATGTCCCTTCTTCCCAATATGAATACAGAAACCATGCCGTGGGAAAGCTTAGCACTATCCTAATGTGGTTAGGCGCAGTACTGCTCCGCGCTTTACGGTAGAAAATCAAACGATCAAACTGTTTTTGAAACAGTAATAAATTGTGGCGGTTTGGGGTAGCCTGTGGTTTGCTCCCAACTTTGTCTTTCCTACTTAGTATTAGGGAGTTTGAGCAACGACGTTTTTGAGCGACGACAGTCAAGCGGAAGTGAGTCCTCTTCCCTTTTAATAAGCCTTGATGCTACCAAATTTGTATGGCTAAGTGTCTTTACTCTGAAAGATACGATCTGCTAGAAAATTTGTTCAAAATCATGGCCTAAGACTGCAAAAAGTCCACTTCCGGTCGACGTGTGTCTCTCAAAAACGTCGTTGCTTAAACTCCTGTTCCCAGTACCCACGAGCATGAAGTTACTGTACACGCGCGAACGTTGCTTCCTTTCATGTTCTTGCACAAACGGAACTGCTGAAACGGCTTCAGTTTCTAATGATGGCTTGCGTCAGTGTATTTTGTGCCTGTTCGCTCACTGCTTTGATAAATGAATCTATTTGCAGGCTTTTGAGTATTCACTGAAAATCATTAAAGCACGAGTCTCCGATCAGGATCCCAAGGTAAAGTCTGTCTTATCGTTTTTTTAGTCCAGGTAGTTGTTTAGGGTACGAGTACTTGATCAACATTCTTTAGTTGCCGTTGGTCTGCTTACGACCTTTCATTTTCTAGCGCGGGTACGAAAATTGAAACCGCGGGGGATTTGTTGCCTGCTACCGCAAGGGGGGTGGGGTTGTAAGCCAGTCTTATTCTCTTGTGTACTCTTACTTTAGGCGGGGATATCTTCTCTTTCCCAGCTGGTCATGGACGTGTATGAGTGCTGGAAAACTGCACAAAAATACGAGCCGTCTGTAAAGGTATGTCTTAACTTTGGTAAGCACTTCACTTCCAGAGAAGTATCCATTCATAGCATTCATGGCACTTGTGTATGACAGTAACACGAGAGAAAAGTCGCCTCGTACCTCTATACTTTGGTCTTAAGTTCGACTGTTTTTGTCAACTTTAGCCTTTTTGATGCCAACCAAACCACCTTTCACTTTGGTTTGCCATTCCCCCCTCCCCTGTTTAGCCTGTCGTTAACACGTCTTGCGGAATTTTTATCCTACTTCTCACGCAGAAGTCAAAGCAGGGGGACTGAAATGTTACTTTATTTTTGTTCTTTTGCAGGTGACGGAAGGTTTGCTAACACAGGCGTTTGAAATGTTTGTAGCCTCCAAAGTAAGTGAATTTTTGTTAGAAAGCTGTTAGACTCCCTTTAGTTGCCGTTCCTTTTTCCTTCCATTTTCCTCGCTAGTGTGTTCGCCAAGCCGGTGGGCGATAAGAGCGAGAATGAATCACTTATCTCTTTCCAATGTTTCTGGTCGCAACAGTTCATACCTTGCCCTTCGGCGTCATAAGGTATTTTAAGAGGGAAGCAGAGTTCAAGCTATCTGTGAAGTATTAAGGTGATGTTACTTGGAACAATTCGCAACGACGATTTTTAGCGTAACACAGCATTTCAACATTGTTGCGACATTGTTTCGAATGGTTGCAACGTTGTTGCAACGTTGCAACGCTCTGTTGCGCTAAAAATTGTCGTTGCAAGTCGTAACATCTCCTTTAGACTGTCAGCGCTCCCTTAGGATTGTCAGGCGCGTGAGCAAATCACGTAAGCGAAAATACTGCTTACGAAGGGAAACGCCCGCCTCTTCCTTACTTCCTTGTTGCAGGGATGTCATAAATGGCTGGGAGCCGGGGACTTCCCCAACTAAAGTAAGAGAAAAGAAATAAAGAAATGCGTAGCTGTTTGATTCCCCACCTACGAGTTGTATAAACCCGGAAACTTGAAACATTAGTGACAGCCCTGCTGTTGGCCCGTTCGCTGTTTCAAGGTCTCTCCAAGCCTGCCCGTTAAGCCACGCGACTGACTGAGAATGAATTCTCACAGTCTACTGAATAAAGTGCAGTATCCTCGATCCTTGGTTCGCGATTGAATATACTGCTGGCGGTTTCTCGTGATGATGGATTTCTAATGATGCGTTTTGTTGTTTTTCTTGTTCGTAGTCTACGTCAGGAGAATCACTCGAATTGATGGCTGATAATTCAGAATCATCCTCTTCACTTTTGGAACAGGCTTTAAAATATTGCCAGCAGTACGTCAAACCTCAGGTGATTTTCTGTTCATGACACGTTTCGTCAGTGCATATGCTCTTGATTGTAGTGCCTTATTCCAACAGTAATTGGAAATACATTCCTAACGAACGGTCAAGAAATTTCTATTCCAAAGCATTTTTGTGAATAGTTTGCCCCTCCCTTAAGCCAACATTTTGCCCTAAGTGAGAAGTAAGTGTTAATGTTGGCTTAGGGGAGGAGTAGGTGAGCAGTTTCCAAGAAACGTATGATGATAGCTTATCGTGATCACAGGGCTCAGTGGAGTCCAATTCGGTCTGGAATCATAAGAGTTATTAACACTTTTATACATGGTACTTACTATCTGTCTTCTCATTGGCTTACAGCCGACTGTTAATTTTGGAAAACAGCGCAACCTTCGCATTAGTCGGTTATTTGCTAGCAGATTACTGACCAACCTGTTGGTTGCGCGCGCAATGCATGATTTCCAAGAGCAATGTCAAAATGTGTTCCATACAATGCTGTGTTCGTCCTTTTTTCTTCAAACAATGCTCCTCCTGCACTGCCCTATTAATGCCAATATCAGACCAGATGATAGTCAATCATATATGAGGATTTTGTGTTAGGTTATGATTAAAGTACAAACTCTTGCCCGATTATTGAAATACAATATCGTAGAAAAGTTTTGTATTGTGATCGCAGTAAACTATACTGATTAACTTTAACATCGTTTGCCTTACAAGTTTGCCATCCGTCTTGCGCCCTGCATTTTAGCGCGTCTTGTCAAAGAGGATGACAGAAGCGTCTTGATGTGCTAGGTGGTTGACAATAACTTTTCCTGTCCCTCTGTTTCCAGACGTCATCATCCAATACTTCAATCTTAAATCAACCGAAAGGATCATCTGGAACCGACACAGGTACTGATCTAACTTCGGGCTCCGATACCGAAGCCGCTCCAACGACGTCAGAGCAAATGTTGTCACCTCAAAGAACAAAAAATGAACAAAATAGTTTAGTAGAGGTGACAAAGAAAGAACCAGCAAAAAATGCGGAAGAATCTCTGAAAGATTTACCAGCCGATTCTCTTTCCGAAGAAGAACCGATAGACAAAACATCAACCGAAGACGTGTCTAAAGTCGGTGAAGCGTTACCTTCGGAAGAGGCTCGGGTGTCACAGCACTCGACAGGGGACTCCAGTACTGTGGTGCGTGAAAGTGAAACTATAGTCCTAGTTGATAAAGATGCCACCTCTAACCCTCCTGAGAGGTGCCAGTTGTCGGGGGAATAACCAAACTATTTAAGGTCCCCTCAGCTGCAGTCCGGTGTAAATATGTGGGTCAATTGCCCCTGTTGATCTTGGGAGCGCAGTTTTTATGGAAGGAACTTAAAATCAAGTAAATCATAATGGTATATATGTGCATTAAACATGTTGATAATAAACTGCTGGCGACTTTTCAAAGCCGTTTTCCTGCAACTAGGAAAGTGAGAAGCCATCAACTAAACGATAAGCGAAAGTTATCCTCCACCAAAAATCGATCCCAAAAAATTTTACGCTATATTGTAGATTGATCTATATGTTATCCATGCTATATGTTAGACTTACGATCAAAGTAAAGGTGGGAATACCAGAGAGCTTCAAAGTAGGATGGTACACTCACAAAGTAACTGGGTCGAGTCACCTTAAAAGACTGGTTGTTTCGCCCGTATAATATTTCTGTATTCAGACCTCACTTTGGAGTCTGCAAATCCCAGCTTGAAAACGTGGTAGAATACTAGTTTTAGGGCGAAAAAGCTTAAATAGCGTAAAATTAGATTAAAGCTTAAAATGCATAAAACGAGAAAACGGGCACTTCTTCGTGACCCGAGTGAAACGTCGTACAAAGTTGACCTCGCTTTAGGGGGACGGTTTAATTTAAATGAAGATATGATCGTCAAATTAACCCGACTGTTCAACTGCACACTGGATACATTTTACTAGTGAGTAAGTTAGCGTGACTGCGTGTAAAGGTAGAAGACAACAAGGTGGTAATCGTCGACACTATTAAGAAGCGAAATGTCGCGTGGAGAGGATGTTTCAGGCTTTAATATTGAATTTGAATCGATCCTGGTATGGAGAGGGCGAACAGTCAATCCTCCTCGCGTCAGGTTTCTAGTTTTGTCGAAATTGACAGTTCTCTGAATTTAAATTCTTTTTACACTCGACTGAAACAGAGGGGACACGTTCAAAAACATTTATCGAATAAGGGAAGGGATTCATTTTTCTTTTGCCAAAAAAAAGACCCTCATTATTGCCAATCAAAATTAGAGACGTGATGAACAGATCGTTACTTTTAAATGACAGTTAAATGGAGAGATTTCATTTTGAAGCATTGCGTTGTGTCTCTCACTCATTACGTAATACATGATTTGTGGGTGTGGAGGTGAGGAGAGATGGGGAGGAAACAAATATGGCCCCTTATCGAGATAAACGGTACCACACTTTAAGCAATGTAACTAGGAAGGCTAAAAACTTTACGTCCAGCCGAGGTAAATAGGCTGATTTAGCAACAGGACGGGAACGTCGGTTGACGACGGGAAAGCGCGCGGAAAGGACTAACCACGATTTCTGTGTCCAATTTGCCGCTCTGTCATTGGGCAAGCCAGTTATTTAATTTGCGCGCACCGTCGTCAACAGACGTCACCGTTCTGTTGCTAAATCAGTCTAATAACGTAATACAAGACGACGGTTGTTCATACACTCTCTCTTTATTTACCTTTTAATTAGGTGGGAAGAATACACGCGTATATGTCAAAGTAACTGGAAAAACATAGTAATCTTGAATACTCAAGTCGAAAAGCTTGTAGTAAACACATGCACCTACCTAACATTTCAATTATTATGGAATTACGTGCTATTTCACTAAATACGGGGTTCGTCAAGCCTTGTCACTAGCTAGTGCAAATTAAAGGGGACAACTATTATCCTAGTACTGCTACACAGCCGTTTTTAGTCTCGTCACGCAACGCTCCTCCCCTCCTCCTCCTCCTGTGGGGAGGAGCGTTGCGTGACGACACTAAAAACGGCTGTGTAGCAGACTACTATTATCCCGGCTTTAATTGCCAGTTTACAAAATCGGGCTCAAGTCAAGTCAAAAATTTGTAAGAAGTGAATGCAAATTACAGTACCATTCCCAGCAGCATGGTGTAGTCCGGGTGGCCAACTTCGTGAAGCCTCTACATTCGGCACTGATACACTCATGCTCTAAAGTCAACACGTACGAGTAGTGCGAGTTGAAAAATAATGGTTACCATTTGTGCAATCGGTTCAAGTGGTATTAAAATGTCATACGTTTGATTTAGATAAAACGAAGTACATTTTTTGGAAGAGGGAGAAACGGCGGGTATTCATTTTTTGGAGGGCTTATGTATTTTATGCCTTTTCTCTCCTTGATATTATTACCACAACCCCAAAATGCTAACTTGCCTGAGCTATGTTTACCGGGCAAATAAGACCACAATCTAACAAATGAAGTAAATTGCTAAGGGCAAAATTCCATTTATTTTAAAATACTAGTCAATCAAATTCTGCCCAGTTAAGGTGAGGGCACTGAAAACGCAGATGACAACTGATTATAAATAAAAGGAGTGGCTGGGACAAGAGGAGGAAGATGAATGACGGATAACTGGTCACATGACCAGAATCCTGTAATGTGAATAAACGCAACCTCAAGTCCCAAGCCTCCACGGGTACGAAATATCACTTAACAGGACTACAGCTATTTCAATATGACGTTAACGAGATTAATTTACTACAAAGAATCATTAGACGGGGGAAATAAAACTATTGTTACAGCTGGAATATAACCGCACAGTCCTGTTGTGTAATTATAAATTTGGCTCCCTCAAAGTCACGTCACTGATATCTAAAGTGAAAATGTTTCCATCCAAAGGTTTTGTGCAGGTAACATTGAAAAATGCTATGACATGAGAGCTGAGGGAACGCTGTTACGCTTCACTGTTATCCTTAAACTATGTAGTTGCTTCGTTTTCATATTGGATCTATTTACGCCTAAGTTGTGCCATTAAATGACTAGTTGAATACATAACAACCAGTACGAGTTAAAGGAAAGTAACTAAAGCTATGACAGACAGTACCGAAACAGTAACTATAAAGTAAGTTTGTGGCTTCAGTAGCACGTTGATGGGTTTTGGGCGGCTCATGGCCAGCTTAAACAGCAGAGGACTAACAAGAGCGGTCCATCCTGTCTTGTGACTATTGAGAGAAAAAAAACGTAATAATAACACCAATGTGTTCATAAGGACACTTAGAGGCCTAAAAATCATCACCACTATTCTTTTAAACCACTTAATGGGACACCTTTGTTATTCTCTTGCAAATATAACATTGTTCTTTGCAAAATCACTTTTCTGGCGACGCGACCGAGTTCTCGACCCAGTCCCAATCGGTTATTTTTTGGTGCGCGCGCCGTCCTGTTAGCCGTCGCGTTGTCTTTGGGCGTATATATAGAAGAGTACTTACAGTCGAAATATACGGTCAGTATACCAGAAAAAATCTCGATTTGCTTGATCAGGGGCCGCATGGAATCGTTGGATAATGATGACGTTTCTATTGTTTACGCCCGCAAGTGAGAGATGGGTTGATTTTGTGACAGTTATAGTACAGTCACACTTCGATGCTCTTTTGCGTTTAATACGTGTTAGTATATACACACTCAGTGATCTTGGTGATTTAAGCAATCTGATTGGTTCGCTATCTCGGACTATTCAACAATATTCACCTCCTAGCGAGTGGATAATGTGTGAGCTTAGTGTTTTTCCCATTTTTTAGAGAACGATCTTTTAAAAGTCGACAGAATCCTAGGGCTGACTTTTTTTAAGGCAAGAAAAGACTTGGAAGGATTCAATACGGCGTTTTTCAATTTACTGTAGCACTCAGTAGTAGCAGGAGTTTTGTGCTCGATGGATTGTTTACAACTCCCGTGTATTCGCGTAGAAGAAGCCGTTTCCGTTTTCTAAGAAGACAATTTTGGCTCAAAAATCGAAGTTTATTTATGACAAACAAATTTAAAAGGAAATGTTTGCAGAAATTCTACGTTTCAAGTAAACAGGAAAAAGAATGATACAGAAAGACGACGTCTTACCTCGAGCAAATGAGCCGCCATTTTTGTCAGCACTTCATGCGAAGAACGACACAACAAACCCTTTTGGCTATAAACGTGGCGAGTCAACAGAAAACAACACAGCTCTACTTTTCTTCTCAGGTAAGGAAACAGTTCAAACTTTTGGCGGTTCCATTTAAGCCATTACGCTGTTGTTTGCGAAATGATAAACTTGTGAATTGCCACGTTTGAAATTTCTGCAAAGATCTATTTTTAAACTTACGCGTGTTTGATCTGTCAATCAAATCGTACTTTTGAATGGTTTCCTCTCTGATTTTGTTGAGATCACTTCATGTGTATATACTAAAACAATTATTCTTTTCAATCTCGGTGAATAGTGGCTTTGGGAATATTTACCTCGCCGCTTTCGCGTCTCAGTAAATATATTGCCACTATTCACCTCGATTTCAAAGAATAATTGTTAATTATCAGTGACATTCCGTGGAGCAGCTGTTTTGAAAGTTATGGGCCAAAAGACACTCGTTTAGCGCAGATGAAGTTATAAGGTGCATATAACTGTGTATATATAAACACTTGGAGAGTTTGCCAGACACGAGTTTATCATTCACAATCTTTGGCTGGAAACAATTTGCCAGACATTCTTTCTCTCTCTCTTTGGGGGAATAAGCAAGACAAGTGAATAAACGGCTAGCTTTTCACTAGCAGAAAGATGGAAGATTACAGAAAATCGCCGACAATTAAATTCTGTGCTGACGTATTCCCTGCTCACAGATGTCCTTATTTAAAGTTTGAAAAAAGACTAGAACGCTCGAGCTTGAATTGATCAAACCTTTTAATTTTAAGGCTTACCTTCCGGCTAATAAAATGAACGGCATGTAAAAAGTGAAAGAGAAAAAACGAAAAATTCAAACTTCTAATCAGATCTTTTCCTATGGTTTAGAATAAAATATTCTCGAAATTGAGAACGTTTTGATCAAAGCTTTGTAAATCAAACTGAATCAGTGCATGGAACCTTGCGTTTCTTGTTTTTATCAATTGTTTTTTACCAATTGTATGAAATATGTGTGAAAATCTTCGTTATGAATCGGTATATTTCAAACAGCTACACAACGACCAAGAGTACTATTGACCGACAACACACAGAGCGGGGGCAGCTGCACTGTCAACTATTACTAGTCACATTGGTGCGAAGACAAGCTCTAGGGCGAGTTTTTGCCATCAGTCAAGTGAATGAGCTGTTACGTGCACAGGCAGCTGTAAACACACTCGAAATTCGGAGTTTCAAGTGTCAAATCGTATTATGATTTTCTAAATTTTGGACGTGTACATAACATTTGAGAGTGGTAGAGACCATACTTAATAGGGAAGATTGGCTAATGAAAGCAGGCAAACATTAAAGAGGTGCCACAATTTATGCTGGGGCTCCTGTGTCAAACCATTTTTGGGTTTGCAAATTGAGAGAGTTTTAAAATAAATTCTCCTTCAGAAAACGAGGTTTGTAGTAAGTCAAGATAAAACGATCTCTACATTACTTACCTAGCACCACACCCTCGTCCCGTTTCTGGATGGAAATACTCGTAAAACAATACCAGATCGCTCCAGTGTGGATCAGTGGCGTATCTCTCATCATCTCCGTGGCACGGCCTTCGTCCATTCTCATCGGGCAGAAACAAAGACACCACGCGCCTGCTCAGTTCAAGAGCAACATCACGCAGGCGCATGTGATTTCCCGACCGTGTGGGGCACTCTATCGTCAATTTGTCACCGTAAAAATGGTCGTAGAGTTCTAAGCCCCCTATGAGGAGGTAGTTCACTAAAAGTTAACAGAAAAAAACGTCGTTGATAAAGATAACATACTGCAGTAAGTTTAAGAAGGTGCGCACGCAAATCTTTTGTAATTTTCCATAGATTAGATTGAAGTGCGAAAAAATCTTCCGAAACAAACATATCAGGTGGCTCGACCCAGGATTTTTGTAGGTACACCTTCCATCTTTCAATCGCTTAGACTTAAACTAATTTATCTTTATTGCAAAACCATTATAACACATGTATTACACGGAGGTTAGTTATAGAACACTGATCGATTGTAGCACTGAAATTTTTTAAAGAAAATCTATCGAAGAATTTTGGTTTAATCGCTGTTTTCGCGAAAGTAGCTTTTGAAATTACAAAAAGAGCTCAGAACTGCGTTTTCCCTCATTTACATGTTTTCGTGTTTTTCGAAATCGCGCGAGTCTACCTGCGTTTAGCCGGTTGTAGGGTATATGAGGGTCATTTACAAAACGAATGAGTGGTAAAAACGTTTTGGAAACATCCAAAAAGTAGCAAATTTGTCTTCATTTCATGCATATTTTATACCCTTTTTGTAGAAATTCCAAGATATCCCGAAATTCCTCTTATAGATTTTTGTGAAACTTCGCATAACAGAAGACTAGCACCCAAAGTATAGGTGGTGTCAAGCATTTCTAAACAAAATGCCGATAAGGGCCAGCTGCAATTCGATTTACAGCTTAAACTATTGTGACGTCATTGTCACGTGATATTTATTCCGCTCTCCCCAAAAATAATGTCATGATAAAGTTTAGTCTATGTGTAATACTTGTGTTATAATGGTTTTACAATAAAGATAAATTTGTTTAAGTTTTAGAGATTCGAAGATGGAAGGTGTACCTACAAAAATACTGGGTCGAGCCACCTTAACTAATAAGTTATCGTTATTTTTACAAACTAGCTAATACGCCGTTATCACATTTGTATTCGTTCACAGATTGACCACTTACAAAAATATGTATTAATAATTGATAACTTAATAATGTGTTTTTAAAGGTTAGTGTACCCTCCTGAGAATTTTTGTTTTTCCAAGATATTTCACCCATTTTTTACGCCACGGTTTGCCCGATGCGTCAAATGTTTGTTTCAAAGTAAGCGTAGATCTACAAACTTCTTCTGCTCTGAAGTTCTCGGAAAAGGACGGAAAAACCAGAGCCTCGTCCCACAACACTTTCCCGATCTAACTGTTGTGGGAAATAAAAAAACATCTGTTTTGTATAGAGCCTCTAGTAGCTCATTGACAGAGCATCCGAACTAGAACTTGGAAATGTCGTGAGTTCCAATCTCATCTGGAGGTCGGACATTTTTTCTGAGGGTTTCGAGTCTTGATTTCCCTTTCTTTCAAAATTAATCTTAATATTGGTCGTGGGAATGGGTGCCGAAAGGATCTTGCCTGTTACCTAGTATTCCTGATCGAGTCTACAGTCATTTGACAGTGAAAAACATTCCCATCAAGAGTCTGAGATTCTTCAAACTTTGTTTCATTAAATACTGTACTTACTGCAAACCCAGATAGGTCCACGCCAGTTGCTGTTTCCCCCAAAAATGGGAGTGTCAGACTCCCCTGGGACATAGTGTACGCTGTAAACTTGACCGTTTACCTCCTTCGTATATGGATGCTTCTCGTGAAACTTGGACAATGAACGAATGCCATAAGGTGACAGAAATTCTTCCTCGTCTAACATACGACTTAGCACACGGATTAGCTGGTCCTTGGTCGGAATGGCGAGTAAATAATTGAAGTCGCTCTCTCCACCTGTATTCATAAATGATACCTATGACAAAAAGTCGGGAAAATTAATCGGCAATCGTCTGCAAAAAAAGTAAATGTGATTTGCTTAAAAAGAGTCATGTAGCCATCCCCAGCGTTTGCCATTGTTGTATGTACATGGATCACGCAGCGAGGTCGGTTGAAAGCTTGGGGGAGGGGGTCTAATCTGAATCGTTGGGTACGAGCGCACTGGGGCTGGGGGCATACTCCCCGGGAAAATGGGAAAATTGGGTTTTCTGAAATGCATCCTAAACTATTATCCTTGAATAATAGTTATGCACTATCGCGGCTTCGTGAATCGGAAAAGGTAAAAATGGACTCGGGACCTCAAAATGTTTAGGATTGTCTCTGCTCGACCGCTTGGGTTACAATCAGTTATTGGCAAATCCTTCAACATAGCGCTGTTCAATCTCAAAATTTAGTCCTTGGACAGGTTCCTTGTAAATCTATCTCGCACATTTTGGTTTGTAAAATTGTATATGTACTTAACCGTTTGAAAATTTATCCGTACTTTCAGCAGATAACTTTGAAGTCAGACGCAAGCTGTTTGTTTTTAGTTGTTGTCGAACCGCTTTGAAAGTCGTACTCGTATAATATAATTTAATTAAATGTTGTAAATGTCATGTAAGAGATTTTTTTTTCATAAACTCCGGGTCACTAACCTGAGAAGCTAAGTCTTTCCGATTTTTCATAAACCATTCAACCCGCTTTTTGAATACGGGTAGGGTTTTTATGTACTCATTATCAAGAACAAGACAAGCCATAAGGGGAACGAGGCCAACCATACTGCGTACACGCAGTGCCTCGGAGCTAGTGCCTGCACTCAGATGGTCGTAATAAAAGCCATCTTGCTCATCCCATAAGCCCAGACCGGAGGACATTTCGTTAATTGCATCCGAGATTTGAGTGAAATGCTCGAAGAATTTCGAAGCTAATTCTTGATAGGTAACGTCTTTCTCTGCCAGGATCAGAGCGATCTTTAACATTAGGATGCAATAAAAAGCCATCCACGCTGTACCATCAGCCTGCAAAGATATAGAGAAAGATCGAATGATTAGTCTTAAAGTATGATTTATTTCTTAAAGCAAAACAGAACAAACGCACCTGTAGGAGCACTTCGTTGAATGGCGAATTCTGGGACCGATCAAAGATTCCTGCCAAAAAAGGGATAGTTTTCAGCCTTTATTCAATCCAGTTAGACGAAGAAGGGTCTTCTGAGATCTACACCGCCTAAAGACGTGTATCGCCTGTTCTTTCGAGACATTCTCATGGCCACATAAGTAGATAATGAAAACAGAGAGAATCATTAACATTGGTTGTCTTGTCGTAAGCTTAACACAAATTGGAGTGAAAATGGTTCCATCTGTCACTTAGAACAAAGGACAGAGCTTCAAGTTAAGCCAGTGCTTCTCTAAAATTCCAAGTGAACTCAAATTAAGCCAGTGCTTCTCTAAAATTCCAAAAGTAGGTTCAGTAGGAAGGCTATTTAATGTTCAGTGTTTACCAGCAGAGAAAAGGGGAATGTATTTACAGAGTGTCTGCTCTATACCTCGTTTCTATAACAACACCTCTGGGATAATTCTGCAAATTTTCTGATCGAATATTCAGGAAAGTACACCAGACACTCTGTACCACTGTCTATGTTCTCTACCACTCGTTTTACAAGTTTTTAAACAAATTTACAAAAAAAATTTACAGAAAATTACAATTTTTCAATTACTTACCAATGTTATCAAGACCAAGAAATCCCCCGCTAAAAACGTTCTTACCAGAAGGATCTTTACGGTTCACCCACCTAAGAATTGAAAAATAGACTTAAGTACAACAAATATATATTTTTAACACCTGCATTCACCCACCTATGAATTGAAGAGCGACTCGAATTCAGACGTAAAAGCGTTTGTTTTCTGTGTTGCCTTGTTATCTTAACAGAATGACCAAGTGGATTCGCTCTATTGTTCAACTTTTTATTTCTCTTTTATGTTCATTACTAATCAGTATCATGTTTAGAATAACGAAACAACAAAACGTAAAAGAAGTAATTTGACTTTTTATAAAATCAAGAAACAAGAGTCTCGAGAAACTAATTTGTCTTACCTTGTCCGAATAACTTTAGAAAAAAAAGGGCTGTTGACCCTACTGCCTTACCAGGTGAAATTGATGAGTAGTTTCTGAAAACAAGTTTTCAGGAAGTTGTCGTCCCTTGCTCCATGGCGTCCTGTCATTTCATAGACCAAAAGGCATGCTAACGCGTGAAGAGGCGGGTTCACATCACCCAGGGCAAACTCACAAGCTGGCATCTGGCCATTAGGCGCCATGTACGTTTCTTGAAGAAACAGCATTAACTGCTCCTTTGCAAACTGAGGGTCTATAACGCTCATGGGAATCATATGGAAGGCTAGGTCCCATGTGGCGTACTGAAACAGTTGGAGAGAGGTTATCGATCATATTGCAATTCAAGAGCAAAGTTATACCGTAAAATTCCGAAAATAAGCCCCTCCAAATATAAGCCCCCCAAACCAGTAACGAAAAAAAACCCTTCGTTAAATTGCCCATCCAAATATAAGCCCCCCTCCGGGGCTTGTACTTGGAAAATTCCCCTCACATACAAAGTAAAACAAAGCAAAAATGGTAAATTTACTTCTAGCTATAAGGCTAGCCCTTTGGCTAGCCCAATCGATTTTGAAACGCAAATTTCTCTCCGTAGATAAGCCCCTCAAAAAGGGCCTTTGAAAAATATAAGCCCCGGGGCTTATTTTAGGAATTTTTACGGTATTTCAACTCGCATCTTCTCGAAGTATATTTTGGGACGTGATTTTCTACCAATCAGTAGCTAATCAGTCAAAGCAACGCAGTCGGGCTTATTAGAGGATGTCGTTTATGTCCTTCTTTTTCTAGCACCTTTTTCTCGACAGCTTTCCACATTAATTACATACAGCAATTGACATACGCTTGATGCAAAAAGCCCAGCCATTTGCCATCAAACCATAATGGCTGGCTACATTTCATCAGACAGCAAACGCCATCAATATGATAAAGTTTGTTACAGTCAATATAGAGTTTATCCAAGCCTAAAAGCGAAGCTCCCGTTAATATACTTATAATCAGTACTTAAAACAATACACTTTCAACCATTGCAAAAAAGTATCCCTAGTCTTTTGTTAAGAGCCAAAAGGTACAGTCTGTATGAATCAAATTCCATCAAAGTAGTAGGCTTGGAAAACAATTTGTTGCTCAAACTATATCACCTAAGCTCTTCCCCTATCCGTTTCAAAAGTGGAATGGTCAGCCACTAATGTAATGTTGAAAAGGCCAGTTTTAATACACGATACTCAGCGATAGCGGCGGCCAAGTGACAACTAACGATCTATCTGGTCTATCGTTCTGTTCCGTCCAAATGAAGAATCGGACTGATCGTTGTAAACCAGTTTTAAATTATACTCTTCGCTCGCGGGACAACCTCCTCTGTTCTTTCCAAAAGTCAACTCCTCTACACTTGGGAAACGTGCCTTTGTTTATGCTGCAACTGTTTTATGGAACGTGATGCCATTAACATTAAGAGCAAGCAAGAATTATTATTATAGATACTTATTCGCTTTTTACCCAAGATAGAGGACATACCAAAAAACCTGGTTTATCACATTGGACAGATGGTGCCCTCACGGTTTAGCAGGAAAATGTTTCTTGTAAAAGGGCATGGCAGACTTGGGGGAACAAGCAGGACTGCTTTTCAGTTTGTTAAGTCTTTATTTGCGAAAATGGTTGCAAAAGGGCAGAGCTAACTTTAAATATTCCAAGACAAGGGTGATGTATTGAAAGACCTAACAGTGTGTAAAACCTACCCAGGGATTCTCCCACTTGTCTGGCATGGATATAACATCTCTGTTAAACAACTGTCTCCACTCTGCTTCAGAGTTCCTACCATTGAACCTGTCAGTGGGTGGACAAATCATCTCCGGGTCACCAGTCAGCCAGTCTTCAATTATGTATTGGTAGAACTGCTTGCTCCACAGTAGGCCGGCATAGGACTGACGAGACACCTTGCTTTCCTCTGGAGTCAACTTAGCTAAAAGAATGACAAGAGTAACAACTGAGCCTGCCCAAGGGAAGGTAGCTCCCACCCTTCCGCCCCTTTACCCTTTGATCCATTTTTAAGGTGCTTTTTAGTGGAGCTCTCTCGCGTGCGAAGCGTGCGCAGAAGGATAGGTAAGAAACTTTGGTTATTCATGCATCTGAGAATTTTGGTAGTCACGTGACCGTCCGCCCGTCTGCCCACCACAGGGTAAACAATGTGAAATGCCTTTTTACTTTGTCCGGAGCCTGAAACCTGTGATAAACTTGAAGATAGACGTCCATGTTATGGTCATCTTGGCCACCCGGACGTTTAGAGAGAGGAAAAAACAACAACAACAAGGCCGAGTCTTTTACTCAACTATATTTAAATAATGTCTCCGTTGACGTGGATAACAGAGAAAGAGCTAGAGCTAGATTTGAAAAACAAAGGAGATGAATTTCGTTAGAAACACAAGCTGAAAATTTTAAGGTACGGTAAAGCGATGTTGCGCGTTTTACCACACACGAAAACAAACCTTGTAACCTTATTTGTTTCAAGACAGGTTTGATGTGGGTGGAAAAACGCGCAACATCGCTATTCAACTCGTTTTGCAGCAATGTTGCAAAAAAAGTTGCACGTTTTTTGGTGGTGAGAAAATGAGAAATGTTAGCGGCGAGTAAGGTGAAAATGAGCGGCAGTGAAAAAGAAAGCGAATGGAACAGGGCACAAGAAACAACAATTTTGTGAGAGCAAAAGACATAAAACTTGTAATTAAAGAGTTTCAATTTGTAGTAGTGCAAGAAAACGACAAATAAATGTACAAGTAAAGTGTGCTGCACATGCTAAGTTTTTTTTTGCTTATTAGACCTACTGACTTTTTTGTTGTTTCTTTTTCCTTTCTCTTTGCCTTTGCCGCTTAGCATTGCACGATTTTATTTTTGTTTGAGTAAACTACAAGTATAGAAACGAGAGCTTCGCTTTTAGCCCTGACTAAATCTATATATTACTGTGATGTTTTATGGCGCCAAAGAAAACGAAATTAAATTAAAAGCAATACCGCAGTTGAACCAGTTTTTTCAAGCTCTATATTTGTATTTTTTGCGCGTAAGGTATTGTCCTCGTCCAGAACGATCTGTAATAGATATTGATAATATTAATTTTTTCCTTATTGCGAGAATATAGAATTTAATTAATCGATTTTAGTAAAAAGTCTCTATCAAGGCACAGTTTTAAGGCTTACATGGTATGGCAACTTGGTAAAACTTGTTTGCTTCTTCAAGTCGCTTCTGAATTACAGCTCCGAAATTTTGTTCAGCAAATGGTTCAGTAACAACATATCCCTCAGCCATGAGTCGACACTGCAAGACTCGTTCTTCCCCAGGGGGAACAACCAGTAAATAATGAGGAGCCACTTTGGTGCCTTTTTTCTTGGGATTGACTGCATCTTTTTCACCATGAATGATATAACGATGAAAGGCATCTTTTGTGAATGTTGCAAAGTTGTCTACGCCATACAGGTGCTATAAAGATGAACAACAAAACACGTATCAATCTGAATTACACTAACAGTCCCCAATCTTTTTCATCATTTGATTGCGTGCTTGATAAACGAACTCTGCGCGTGCCGCCTTAACGAATCCTGCGCTAGCTAGATTAATGGACTCTGTCACTAAATGATTCGTTGTGACATTGATAATGCTTCCAGCAACGAATTGTTTAAGTTTTGTATAATAAATGTGCAAATGATAAGGAGACACCTGGGAGATTTTCTGTGCGCTGTGTACATTTACGCCCTCGCGGTCAAACGATCGTTGTGACATATTTTGGATAAACTAAATTTATAGCGTGTGCTAGCTTGAAAAACTCTGTGCGCGCTGTGATCTGCGTGCAAACCGTCGGCTACATGAGCTCTTTATGGCCTACTGGATTTGTCGTTCTTCCCTCCGCTCATTTTTTATGCTCAGAACATCAGTCGATCTTTTAAGTACCCGCCGTGGAATTGGTGTTATTAGGGAGCTAACACAACCACAACGGTGAGGGCGACGGCGGTGAAACGTCACTTAAAAAAATACTTTGTTTCAAACGTCATCGTAAATGAATTCCACCTTGTTGTTGCAATCGAAACAGGACACACAAGGTGCCCAAGGATACCCAACGATTAGTGTGCTGTTCGCATGGGGGCTCGCAGAAACTAGAATAGAATATCCTGGAATATTGATAAAATATCAATGAAACGAATGAGCAATACAGTGAATTTAAACTCAAATAACGATTGCATTAAAAAAACAGCAAAAAAGAGCTCTAAATCAACAGGAATCTATCAATTTATCTTTTATTACAAAGTTTTTATCTACACTGAGTTTGATTGCGAATTTCAACAGAAAAAGAAAACAGAATCAAACAATATCTCAGTTAAGCTTCATTCAAGAAAGGATAGAGCACATTTGCTTGTATCTTACAAACCTTTTTTTCTTTTCTTACAAACCCTATCAACATTTAGGTATTTCAGTCGCATCGAGTGGAAAAAATTACAAACAAATTTCTACCTCGTTGTTTGTTTCATTCTCAGTAAACAGCAGTTCTGGAGTCTCATTTTCGGGTCCAACATCAACAGCAAATGAAAACTTTCCTAAAGTTTCATGCCGACACTCCACAGTATCGTGAGTTTTCTGGATGATGCTTGCCTTCTTTGTACACCCTTCATGATTACAGCCCCAGATCCAGGTGTTTCGAAACCACAATGTTGGCAAGACATGAAGCCGTGCAGTGTCAGGACCACGGTTTGTTACTGTGATACGGATGAGAATGTCATCTGGCGTATTCTTTGCATACTCTGCACAGATATCCCAGTAACGACTCTTATTAAACACACCTACAAGATAGTTAAATTTATTTATATGTGTCAATTAAATGACACGTAAACTTTCATCACTATGGAAGGAACAACGCAGGTCGGTTACGGAGTTTCTGGGTTTGCCCTGGTTTCACAACTTGACATTTTGGAGGTATGACTCATTCCCTAATTGAGTGTTACTATATTATTGAGGGCTTATAACTTTCTACGATTGTTGCTGCGGAGCGACCGAAGGGAGCGAGCAGCAACATAATCAGGATTTAAAGGAAATATATAAGGGGCGACGAATTCTCGAATTCATCACTTTTTACCACAATGCATTGCATTTAACTACACTTTTTACCACAATGCATTGCATTTAACCAGAGTGCATTGCGCCATGAACAACTCAAATAAAAACACGGGGAAGTTCGGTGGGTGGGAGAGTGCATCGTTCGCTGCTCAGACTTAGAGTTTTCTTTGTGGCAAATTTTCTACAGCACGGTTAGAGGTCTTACCAAATTTTAAGACGCGCAGGAGTCTTTCAGATGAGTACGATGGTTAACTTGGGGATTGGATTTCAATTCAAGAGCCTGTGACTCGTCCAGGTGTTAAACCTGACGAGAAGATGAGCATTTGCTCTTCGACTCCGCAAAACGGGGGATATACAATTCTAGCTTGCTAGAAGGTGATGTGAAAGTGAGAAAATGTCATGCAATGCTATTCTTAAGAAACTGTATGAGCCGAAAATGGATGTGATTTTGACCATTCGCTTCAAAATAACAGCGGAAATCGAGATAACAAAACATATGTTTTGTGTCCTACTTTGCAGACGAGGACGTATATCGGCGTTTTGAATAGCATAATTATGTTCTTTCATTCATTCATTGCCATGGAAGATGCGTTTACATTGTTTTTTCACTGTTAATAGCTGGGTTAATGCGGCCGGCGATCATCTTGCCGGCGGAAGTTTCATGGAAAAGGAATAAAGTGAAAGACTTTTCCAACAGCTTACACAATCAGCCTCTGTGGTTTAGTGGTTAGGTGTAGTGGCGTCGAGTCGAAGGTGCAGGGTTCGAGTCCTACCGAATTATTTATGCCTACTTTCTTTTTTTCCGTTTTTTGTGTTGTTGTTTTCTATAAATATATAGCTAAATAACTGTTACTTAATAAAGTGCAACAAACAGCAAGAAAAGTATTGTGTTTCCAGGGAAAATATCGTGCACCGTATATTAAATATATGGATAAACAATCTGAATTTCTATTATTTCCTACAATTTACTGTGGGAAAACCAGAGTTGAGAACCACTTGATCATTTTCTAAACAACGTTCCCACGAGTTCTTTCTATAGACTGATAGTAATTATTCTAGTACTTTCCAACATGTAAATAGGACATTCAATGTCATTTTTGATTCTTTTAAGTCTCACTGCCTAACTAATGCCAGTGTGCCGCAGCATTACTATCTTTTAGATACCCTAGTAATAGGCTTATTTTTCTGTATAGAATTCAGGTGTGGCAAATATTAAACAGGAAAGAGTGTAGTTATACATTGAAGCGCCGGACGTGGCGTTTACTTGTGCTACATCAAGTTGTAAAAGAAAGATAGAGGAGGTGATAATCTTTCTAAAAGGTTGACTTTCCTTTCCTGTGAAGAAAGAACTAAGCCACACTGAAGGTGGGATTCAAGGAAAATACCAATGGACGTCCTTTAGTCTATTGGAAATTCCAAGCGGAAAGAATCTCTAAAGCTAAATGTTTCAAAGCATCAACGAAAGGTTTGATCTTGAACACTGGAATTTTGGGGGAATGAAGGAAGGCCGGTTTCGTTAAAAAAAATTCTGACCTAATCGAATAGTGCAAAAGTATTCCCCTACCAGTATCACACAACTCAAATTCAGGATCTTGAGGTGATCTTCTTCGATTTTCATCAACAAGCCAGCTATAAGGATATTCATTCTGAGGGTACTTGTACAGGGCTTTCATGTAAGAGTGAGTTGGTGTTGAATCAAGATAGTAATAGCATTCCTTCACATCTTCACCATGGTTTCCTTTAAAAATAACAATTTAATTATAAACTTAAGTAAGATGATCAGTGAAAAACTGAAGTCTCTAAAATCTAAGCTATGGTTGCAGTTTGACCTAGCCACATGGCTCTGCTCATATTTTCAAGAAAAATGGACAGAAAGCAAAATACAGACGGAAACGGCAACTCTAAGTACTTCTTTTTACGCCTTACACATACTTTTAGAAATTTGGAGCCTTGAATGTTGTTTTCTGTATCTTTCGTTCTACTTTACAAAGTTAAACTTCCTTCTTTACTAAGAGAAATATATAACAAGGTAGGTAGCAGCAAAGTGACCTGAACCCGCACCACTGAAGAGGCCAAACTTACACCTCCTCTCTCTTAAACTTAGAAATTAACAAGGAGATTTTTGGCTTTGCCCCTTGTTCTTGTCCAGCTTCTATTAAAGAAAACTTAATGTTTGGGGGGAGTTTGCTTCCCATTTTTCTGCCTTGAGCCATTTTCAATTTCTCCATATTACAAGGACTACAGTGAAGTGAAGAGTGGAAGGTAAGAATATGTCCTCTTTGATGAGTGAATGCTGATTTTTTTTTTCGGTTCCAATCGAGTTTAAATGTAGTTCACTTTTTAAGTGGCTACCTTTTGGTCATATCTGTGGCCCCCGAGTCTCTCGGAATTAACCCTTTAAGTCCCAATAGTGTCTAACATCAATTTTCTCCTAACGATATCCATTCAATGTCAAGAGAGTAGGTTATGAGAATTAATAAAATGATCACCTAAGAGAAAATACTTTGATCAAATTCTCTCAACTAATTCTTTAAGGAAATGTATTGAGATCAGTTTGGAGAATTTGTATGTGGATATTGGGGCTTAAAGGGTTAAAGAAATTGTCTAAACAAAAGATTCAAAAATGAACTCAATGCCGAGGTCAAAAAATATTATTAAATTGGATAGCTAGATATTCTAACCTTCAGGTCCAGTCAAACCAAACAGTCTTTCTTTCAGAATGGGATCTTTTTCATTCCACAAAGCCAAACCAAAACACAGCCGACACTCATGGTCCGTGATTCCTAGTAAACCATCCTCTCCCCACCGATAAGCACGTGACCGGGCGTGGTCATGCGGGAAATACTCCCAGCTGTGAAAAGAGAACTTGAATGGTTAACAATGTTTAAAAACAGCACCCAAAGACGAGTTTTGGTTTTCTTGTTTGTTTTGTTTATTCCAGTTGCAGGATATAGAGATTCCATTTTGCCGTTGGGCTTATGGCTTCTATCCTTCAAGCTACTCGCTTCTCTGGCAAGTGAATTTTAGGTATTGGGGGTTAGGGGTGTATAATTGACGCTACGGTTGATGAGTAACAACATTTATTTAAAACTGTGAAAGGTTTGAACCCAGGAGTCATTTCAAAAGTAGGTTGAGTTTTATCGTCCGGGTGAATGTAGTCCTGAATAGGACTGTTGTTGTCGACAACCTGTGCGGTAGTCATCCTCAGAATCAAAGTGAGTTGTACCACGTCAGTTGATGGTATTATACTCTGGTTATTGGTCTGATTGGTCAATTGCGTTCCGATGTTATTGGTCGTCTGTCAGTTAAGCCGTGATGTTATTGGCTGTGAAGACTCGTAATCAGTAATTGGTGCGTTTCGATCCGTCTATTGTCACAGTTAGACAGTCATCTATTGTTAGTCAAATTGTCAGTTCTCCAGTCGTTCTCTGGTTCTCTGGTTACAGTGATTAGTAACTTTGATTCAGTAATGTAGCAGATCATGAGAAGTTCCTCTTTCTCTTAAGGGTTAGGAGAGCAAGCAAAATATGTGAGCGCCCTTGAATTTCAGTTAATTCAGCCAACGCAATAGGATTCCTGTTCTTTTCGCGCTGTTAGTGCTAGAGCTAGAGTAAAGAAAGACAACAAAGGTGACCTCTTCACTTCAAAGTGGAACAAGCGCCAACCCAGTGAATTTTCATCTCAAACACACCGGCATCTGATTGACTATGTCTTCATGTCTTCCCCCATGTAAAAGTTCTCCTTCCTTACTCTCTAACCAGTGAGGTCAGTCGAGCTGGTCCTTATTGTCCATTGGGCATCCAGCACGAGTTACGCTCCACGTCTGTTGTCTGCCTCATACCCAGACGTCTCTCTCTCTCGATGAAAATGTGCGCGCAAAGGAAAGCGGGAAGGAGACAATGGGCCTTCTGTACCCTTCCCATGGTCCCTTGCAGTTCATCACCAGTCATATACCTTGCGAGGGTCTTGCGAAAAACGAAGCGCCTGAGGAGGAGGCCGGTCTGTTGTCGCGTTCTATATTCGGCGCTTAATAGCGCGCTGTGCAGAGGGTAGTCATGGATGAAGGGATCTAGCTTACTCCTCTCAGAGGGAGTAAACGACTCGAAGATATGTCTGAAATTCTGGTTACAGTGATAAACCTCGTGCTGTAAGTAGTTTGAACAGCTTCAAAGACGTCCCCGGAGTATTTCCTCTCAATAAGATTGCTAACCGAATAATACGTTGAACTCTTTACAACGTTTTGATTGAAAAAAGTTAAACAAAAGCGGCAAAAATAACAAATGTTGAGAAGAAATATTTATGCAAATGCACTATGCAACTGAAGTAAACAGTTTTTAAAACGTCTACTCGCCTTCGCAATATGGCTATCCAAATGAAAGAAATTTCACAGTTAACCGGAAAATTGCTCGGGTAAAGTGTCGCTAAATCTAACTGCAACGCGACGTAATGGACATTGATAATTTTTACAGAATTGCAAACTGGTAAGAAGTAATTTTTTTGCTTGTCACTCATTTCGCCCATTCCTTTCTGAAATGGTAACATGCACCGCGGTTTGGTGGTGCTTTTTTGGTTAGAAAACTTCGTATTTCGTTTTAGAATAAGTTCTGACCAGTCAACGGTGTTTTTGTTCGGTTTAACTTTTCCTGAAAGACAAATTTTGTCAAATTTTTGGCTTTTCAAAAGGAGGACCGTCAATATAAAATGTCATGTTTATTAGTATTTTGTGTTCGTTTTTGAGAAATCTTGTTGTTTTTGGCTGCTATTTTAAGATGAAACGAATCATAAACAATCCTCTTACTCGTCGGAAGCAAACCGTTTGTTTGGCCTCAAACTGTACTTTTATAACTAGAAGTTTTCATTTATTTTTCGCCGAAAATGAAAGAAATTGCTTCACCCGCTTTCTATACCAGTAATGTGTACGTAATCAACAGTTATATTTTTGCTTGCTTGCATAAAATGTTATTAATACCTATATACCCTATTTTATTTCTTCATTTCATTGCACATATAGACTCTTGTGCGTAATAAGGTTTTAAATATTCTGTTAATACACATCCCATTATGTCGCTTGGTTAATATTATCATTGCTGTTTACTTTAAAGGAAGTTTTAATAAAATTAACGATGCGTATAGACTTGTTGTAACACATTTATAGCATCGTAAAGTGACTTTTTCCGCAGAAAACGGACTTTTTTGATGAACTGAGAAGATGACAGTTCAAGGTGGTATACTTAATTTGTGAGCAAAAGTTGTAAGGCCATGTATCAATGTTTGCCCGAATCTCTGTTTGTCCCATCCCAAGTTGCCTACGAGTTGATTTTTTTGCTGTGTAACTCATGATGTACCCCAAAAACCCATCACATTAGGGAACTTGGTATTTCGACGGTCTTGTTCTTCATGCGGTGACACAAATAATACGGCCAAAGAAACATAATATTAAATACAAACCAAGACGCAGTGAGGGTTCATTCAGCAGGTGTAAGGATTTTGACGGTCACGTGATTACAATTAGTAGACTATAAAACCACAAATAACTTCTCTTGTTACTAATGGGCTTTTTTTTGCAACGTAAGGACGTTATTATTTTCCGAGTTTCACAGTAATTTGTCGTGGTGAAGAAATGTTATTAGACAGCCGAGTTTAAGCTTCTCGTATACGGCTAACGGCAAACGTCAGATTCAAGTTGAGCACTTTTTAAAATAGAAAATTAAATGAGCAGATTAAAATAGCTCAAAACAATTCTCGTGGATAATAAATTGCGTGAAACTACTAATTTATGTGTCGAAAAAATGAAAAGTAAACAACAAGTAAGTGAGAAACTTGGTCACGTGGTACAGATTGGCTTTTGCCGTTTGTCGTAGACGTGAAGCCTAACCTCTCTATTGAAAGGGAAAACACGCCAACCCAAGGCAAATGTCGGAAATCCGTAAAAAGTGGCGGTCTAGGTTCATGCTAGTAGTATACTTACCAAACCCAATCTTAAAATTCATCGATAATTTCAGACAATAAAACAATCTAACATTTTTGCGACTCAATTAATGCCAGGCCGATAGATAAATACCCTGGCTCCGGAAGTCCGTTTTCAAAACATCAAAGATTAAATGAACCGTTTTCCTTTCCTTTTTGCTTTAGTGAAGTTATTGTTTCCTTCAATGTTATTATATCAGGAATCTGACCCCGTTTGCGAGAGGTTTTTTTCCTCTTTTTGAGACAGGGCGAAGCCGTCACAGTGACACGGCGCTTTATAAATCGAGAAAAAAATTAATCCTTGTGAACGTTCTACTCTTTTGTAAGTTACAAAATAACTCATAAATGTTAAGTGGTTATTATCTTAAGTCTCTCGAAACAAGTTGCATTCCTTCACGTACATATATACAGACCGTAAACGGACTACAGGCTAACAACTTCGAATTCACGTGTAACCTGCGTGGCGGTAGAGAAATTCTTCCTAAAATAGCAAGCTCCTTTGCGCGAAATCTTCGTGTGCTATTCGCGTGCTAGCCGCTAAGCGTCTCCTCCCTATTCTCCGCGCGGCTTCGCAGTTCCTGGGCGAAATTTTTTCTCGCGCTTTCGAAGCCAAAACTCTCTGTCGCAAAAGACAATTCCGCCAACTGCGCAGGCAAACGCTCGGTGATTGAAGAGGCAGACAAGGAGCAAGGATTGGCGCAAATGGTTCAGGTGAAGGGCATCCTGTGAGAGACCTCAAAGCCTTTTTTCGATTTCTTTCTTTTTCGTGTAGCTTTAAGTCCCTTTAAACGAGGGTAAGAAAGACACCGTTGGCCTGGCTTTGCTCGTCAAATATTGAATATTTCGAGCTACTGATCGTGACTTAGGGGAGGACACTTTACTTTTACCTTTTGCACGGATCTTTCGCCTTTCCACCCGCCGTTTTGTTGCTTTCACCATTTTTACGGCGATACCCAATCATATTCCGACCTTTACAGGCTGTAAAGTAGTCTAATATTCAGCGAAATACTTAAAGGGACAGGTTCACGGTTAAGCGTATGCTCATTACCTAAATTACTTTTTTCCAATTTATTATCAATTCTATCGGTTAATAATCCCACTCACACGTATCTCGGCGATCTCAGAGTGAATTTCAAAGTAGAATTGTATTTCTGAGTAACATGGAGTAGGATGTAGGAGTACTAAACTCGCAGAACAAATTAGTAGATTATGCCAACACTACCAACGTTGAATTTATTGTTGACCAGAGGGTTTTATTCGACGGTTGATTAATTTAAAGCTATTTGCAAATATTTAAGTTGATCAAGTGCAAGTGACTGCCAGGGGAGTCTGTTTTCGTTTCCCCCTGCCCGCCGGAATGTTATTACAAAGGGAAACGAAAATTGAGCCTGATCGCACGTTACATTATGACATGATCATATTGCTTGCATAGACGATACAGCAGGCCCAGCAGAAAAACAGAATTTTGATAAATGAGCATGCGCTGAACCGTGAACCTGTCCCTTTAAATAGTGTCAAACGCCCAGCTTACACCCAGTGAAAACTAACTGTGGACACCTACTACAATGCAATGCTCCCAGCTAAAAAGGATATATTCCTGAGCATTAGCTGTTAAGCAGATTATACTTTACACGAATGAACGTTTTTTCTTTTAGGGATAACGTGTGTCAAGGTCGGTTCAATCAATGGGTACTGGAACGCTTGCTCTTCGGTAAAGTGGGTGACTACGGACTACGAACTACGGCTCGAGTAGTTTGGAGTATTTTAGGGTGCAAAAATACGATCTTAAGATCTTTAAGATGAGAAATGAACAGTTACGTGGTAGCGATCTTGCGCAGTTCCGTGTTCATCCATAAGAACTAACACAGGTGCAACACGAAGTCGCTCACGAATCAGGTAGGATCATCAAACTAGATATGATATTAAACAGTGTCCTTACCAATCTCCATTAAAAGAATAGTCTTCTCTTACAGTTGCCCACTGCCTCTCTGATAAATAAGGCCCCCATCTCTTCCAGTTCCTCTCTTGTTTTGCATCTTCTTCAAGCCTTTTAATTTCGGCCAAGCTTTTGTTCTCTAGGACAATTGTGGTCTGATACTTTGAGGGTTTCTTCAACATGTTGGACCAGCTCGTTCAATGAATCTTCACCTCAGTGTTTCTAACGAGGTCGTACTTGAAATCTGACAAGGTTTAAGATGTTGAATGAAAATATAAGTTAATTTAGTACAAGACTGCGGAAAATATGCAAATATATTTTTTTGATTATCCTTAAATGTAGTGCCGCTAATTAACATTCATGGATATCAGACTACTTACAGGGTGTAAACAGGAACATTTTAAGGAACGTGTCTTGGCAGACAAATTGCAAACTAGTATGGCTTGAATGGTCTAAGCTTGTTGTTGAAAACAGAGAGTTAAAGCCAACATGATAAAAATAAGCTTATGGGAAATGAACAGCTTCCCAATTAAAAACTTCTTCACACACGTTTTTTTAGATTTCGGCCGCAGAAATGACCTTGCTTCTAAGAATATGAACCGATTTAAAAGCGTACGTACGATTTGGTGCTTCCCAGTTATACATTGTCTATTGATTAATAAGAACGGTAACGAATATTAACCTCCGACTTTTATAAAAACAAAATATACGAAGAATGGTGACACATAAAGGCCGGGTACCCATCTAACTACGTAACCTAGCCTATCAAGGCTAGTTTTTGGACTGGAAAGGCAAGAAAATTAATCACTACGATGGTGGAAATGAAGAGCTTTCTTGTTAAAACTTGTAGACTCACTAGACCGCGCGACCACAATTTTGTAGTTCGCACCGTGGGCAAATTTTATAATCTTGCGCCAACCCTCGTTCATTTTTAGAAACATCTATTCGTATTCAGTCGGTGGAATTCTAAACAAAAGAAATAATCACTGATTTGAAACTGTAAGAGTATAATTTGCTTTAAAGGGTCAAGTTATGCGACCGGCACTTGAGCTTTACTGCTGCGTCCCGTGTACAAAACATATTTTGTATTTTTTGTATTTATTTTATACAAAGACGGACCTCTCAACAAACCCTACTCGGATTGACGAGTACCGTCCTATTACAATTTAACCTGATCATGAAATCAAGCTTTATTTTCGTTTCGGTTGGACGCTACCACGAAAGAGGAAAATAACATTCGGTCTGATCTCAGCTACACGGCTGATAAGTTTGAAACATTTTGATACACAAGTTGATTATACTTGCCAACTTCCAATTATTTGTTTATAGTTTGTTTCATGGCAAAAACTCTTAGTCGTGTGTCGATCCATTCCATTCATTTGCAAACACTCGTCTCTATTCATATTTATTCAGTGGAACGGATTGTAACAAGGTTCAGCGTTGTTGGAGGTGGAAGAAGGTTAAGTAAATAAGGTACTTGATCTCTAATGGTGCGTCCCGGGCATTAAACGTTGCGTTTCGGATGGATACAGCATGTCAATCATTTAAGCCCACTCGTGCCAATTCCCGAACCAAAACTCTCTTGTTCTATGCATTTACCGTAATCTTCAACACGTTCAACAACTCAAATCTCTCGCCACTGGAATTCTGCATTGATTCTAGGTTTCCACCATGCACGACTGGTTCTAACTGCTTACAGATTTGTGAAGGATAGTCAAAACCCCGACCAGTCACCGTATGACAACCTTTCTGATGCCGCAGCAACATATGCTGTGGGAGGAATATCTAACCACTGGACTGCGGCTGTTGCACGCCAACATCTGCAGTTGAAAGAAGTTCAATTATTGACCACGAAGAATGACAGGTCCTTTATAAAGAATCTGAGAAGCATTTAAAGAAAAGTGACGATTTGTTCCAGAATTCCATTCGTAATTAATACAATAGTAAAAGAAGTCTTGAACGAAACGTACAAGGAAGAGACAACTGAAAGTGAACGCCTCCCACAAAATCTACCTCTTGCTGGTGTTAGGAAGAAAGCGGAGTTTGTAATGTGGCCAGGAAGCGAAACAATTCTTGGTGAAAATTCAGTCAAAGGCATCAAATCTGGAGATTGCTCAAAAAGACAACTGAAGGTTGGTGAATGGCATTAGTTACCGGGGGGGACTCAACAAAATTTTACACGGGGAGGTTCCGCCCCGAGGTCCAACCCCTTACCCTTTTATAAAGCATTCTTGACAGAAAAGGTAGCCCATTTCGTATACATTTTGTTAACAAATGGTACCGCATACTAGTTCACAACGCTGAATGCCTTTTAACTTCTGTCAGGAGTACCCACCCCCCTGATTGGTTATCAGTGTTTGATAATGAAGATAACTGATAAATATATGTCTAACATTTTTTTCTATTGTGCTATATTATATGTAGTCTGAGTGGCAGTGTGAGGGGGTGGTCCCTACTGGTGATGGAGAAAGCATTTGGTTTACAATTTTGAAGGATCTCCTAGAAGGGAAGAGATACCGTGTTCATGTCAAAGTATTTGTCCTGGCTGGAGGTCCTATTCTTACACCACAAATCCTGTTTAATTCAGAAATCGAACCTCAGACCCTTGGACACTACCTCTGTGAGCAACCAATTGCTTTCTGTCAGATTGTTCTGAAGCAAGAAATTGTGGATAGCATCGAGAGGCATCCAGAATGGAAAAGGAAAGTTGATCAACACAAAGCTAAGAACCGAGAAGATCCCATTTCTATTCCACTCGAAGATCTCACATCACAGGTATTAGACTGGAAAAAAAATGATAACAAGAAATTGTAAACTCCCTGTTGTTGACTGGCCTAGATATAATCTTTCTAAATAGCTGGATTTCTCGTTTTCCATGAAAAGTCAAGGCAGTGGTTTATTCAGCTGTAGTATTTCTTGATCTAGACATCTGGCAAGTAAAAAATTCAACTATATGTCAATTTTAACCCCTTCACAACAGTCTTTACTTGAATCTGAAGGCAATCATGATTGTAACTGTAACTGTACTTATAACAAACAGCTTTGATGCGTAGTTGCTTGTAGGCATACATTGTACGTGAAGATTAAACTGTGCATAATTACTCACTCACTTTCTCTACCCTGTGTGTGTACACAGTGTTGGATTCCATTCTCAGAAGACCGTCCATGGCACTGCCAAGTCCACTGAGATGGCTTTCTCATATGGAGAGGTTGCTCCTAACATTGATACTCGACTAATTGTTGACTTGCGTTGGTCTGGAAGGGTCAACCCACGTTATGAAAATTGTGTTGAGTTCTCACACACGAACAGAAACACATCTGGAATTCCACCGCCAACGTTCCACTTCAGAATAACAAAGGAAGAAGGCGACGAAGTTCACAAGATGATGACTGATATGTGCAAGGCAGCAACTGCCCTTGGTGGGTTCATTCATGGCTCAGAGCCTTCATTTCAAAAGCCTGGCTTAGCCCTCCACATAACTCTAAGTACAAGACTTTTCTAAGCTTACCCTCTGCTTGAAATGATACACACACAGTCTACTAAACTGGTAAAAAAGGTTCATACAAATGACAGGTAATATCAGTAAAGATAGTATTATGTTAGGGGCCGGGTCTTTTTTTAGGGCGAAAGGAGACATTTTGAGGACGCAAGCGTGTCCCCCTTGCACACTTTAACCAACAAACCAACCTAGATAGCCTAGATATATATATATATGTGGTGCCTGCCACGCAAGCTACTTTAATGAATCATTTTTTATGAGCCCGCGAGACTGAGCACCCCAGCCAAATCCTTGTTTTCACTAAAACCGCTGGACGCCACAACCTGGTCGAGGTCATTGTTATCTAAAGTCTTCCACTTTAATGTCTATTATGTAAGCATAAGCACTTGCAATTGATTAGCATTTTTTATCTCATTTTTGCCTAATAGCGGCTACAACTATTTGCACGATTTTTCAAAATAACGTTTTCTAATTTCACGTCGCTGTTAAGCTAGAGATGAATTACTAGTAACAACTCTTGTAGCAAAAAACATCAGTCTTATATGAGAAATAGCTCAGGACATTTGGAATAAAGGATTTGTTTTTCAAAGAAGTGTGAAAAACTGTTAAATCAGATTCACATTTTCCAAGCTCTCACTGTTATGTCTAAGGTTGATATCAAAGAATATCAAAAGTAATAATATCAAAAGACGGTTTAATTTTTTACATTTTAAATGAATTATCTAATTTCATTTTCTGTAACTGTGCAATAAGCAAAGTCGCTGAACTAGAGTGTGCTCAATGCCTTGTGATCAAACACACTGATCAACTGCTACTGATGATGTAAAACTGTAGACGTAGATAATTTTACTATTATATACTACGTCGCATAATTTCAGCTTCACAGATCACCTTGTTTCAGTTTATGAAATAATTTGTAGTTTAAGCAAATTCTCTTAATTTACGTTACAGTAAGGTCGAAAGGCACATTTCAACTTCATAAATCTGTATTAGTATGATTATAAAGAACGGATGTAACGGTTTACTAATTATATACAGCTTTTGAAAAACGTTTATTTATTTATTCAAGAGGCATAATGGTTCTTGATTTATACCAATAGGGTACATGTCGTATGGGTGAAGAGCAACGGACAAAGTGTCGTGGATCCATACTCCAAAGTCTGGGGTTACAAGACCCTCTATATTGGGCCATGTGGAGTGATTCCCACTGGAACTGCCTAGCAAGCATTGACGTCAGCAGCGAATTAAAGTACACCAAGCAAGACACTGAATGTTTTGCTTGATGAATTTTAATTCATTGATGACGCAATCGTTTTTACCTTTCTTCATCAGGCCCTTTTCAATTTTGCTTAAGCCGTTAACCAAAGGCAAAAAAAACCAGCTAACCCCAGCTAAATTTAATCGACTTTTTAAAAATAATGTCGATTGACCCTGTGAGAGAGAGATTTTGGGAAACAACAGCAAAAAGTACCATTGAAGAAAGATGTAAGGCTATTTTAAAACAAGAGTTATTGAGCGATGTAAAATTTGTGTTCCGTGGAATCCAAAGCGGAAGTGAAAGCATGAAGATTGCAGCACATAAGTTCGTGTTAGCGGTCAGTAGTCCAGTCTTTTTCTCTATGTTTTATGGGCCTATAGCAGAGAGCAAAGACTGTGTCGAGATCTATGATTGTGGTTACGACAGTTTTTTGGAGGTCCTCTCTTTCATATACACCAACGAGGCAAACTTAACTTCGGAAAATGTGATGCAAGTGCTGTATTTAGCGAAGAAATACTTGCTGCCGTCACTAGCTAACAAATGTTCTGTTTACCTTCAAGAGAATGTGGACGTGTCGAGCGTGTTTCATGTCCTGCAACACGCACAGAAATATGAGGACAAAGATTTGTTGGAACATTGTTGGAAAGTGATCGAGAATGAAACGGACGACGCTATTAAATCAGATGATTTCATGACAATCGAGAGGCCAGTACTGGAAGAATTAGTACAGAAAGATTCGTTAAATGTTAAGGAAGTGGAGTTATTTAGGGCTGTCGATTGCTGGGCTGAAAGAGAATGTAAAAGGCAAGGTCTTAAAGCAGGAGGATCTGTGAAAAGGAAGATTCTGGGAGAAAAGATAATCAAGGGAATTCGTTTCCCAGTGATGAAAGAGAAAGAGTTTGAAAGTGTTCTGGACTGTGGGATACTGACCCATAAAGAAACTTGCGACTTGGAGAAGTTTTTCGACTCTGTACCAAATACTTCACTTGACTCAGACTTTTGTAAAGTAAAACGGAAAGTTTCTCCTTACCGAGTTTCCAGATTTCCATCGTTGGCGTATCATGGAAGTTGGGAACATTCATCCGAATATTACGATATGATAGTACTCTCCTTCGACAAAGACATAAATCTGTGCACAGTTCGTCTGTTTGGTAGCAAAGACCACGAATTTCGTGTGACCTTGTGTATAAAGGTAGAGGAAAATAAGATGGTAATCGTCGACACTAGAGAAGCCAAATTTTTGTCCCGGCACGTGGAGAGTGAAATGGGAAATTATCCAGGATTTGATATTGACTTTGTGCCCCCGATCGCGTTAAAAGCAAATACTAGATATGTGTTTCGTGCGGACATAAATGGTCCTCCATCCTGGTTTGGAGAGGGTGGACAGTGCTGGGTCAATCACTCAGGCGTTAACTTTTACTTTGACAACCCCTCGCGTGAGGTTTCCACTTGTGTCGAAAGGGGACAGTTTTCTGAATTTCTTTTTACACTCGATTGAATCAGGAGTTCAAACACAAAGAACAAAGACCTTTAATATTGCTGTTAGATAGTAGGCACGTTAACATAAACAGATCCTTGTTCAATTGAAATGACAGGCAATTGTAGAGATTTCATTTTGAAAGCAATACATAACAAACCTAGATCAGAGGAAATAGAAAGAGAAATCACAGCAGTTAATAGTATTAAAGGAGATTCGTTTCTTAACTTTGTTTTGAAAATTACAAATTTATGCTCTTGTAAAAGATAGGATGGACTTTCAAATAAATTAGACACTCCGGATCATTTTACGTTTCTGGGAAACTGACCACCTACCCCTCCCCTAAACCAACATTAACATTTAGTTCTTACTTAGAGCAAAATGTTGGCTTAGGGGAGGGGTAGGTGGGCAGTTTCACAGAAACGTTAAATAATCCGACACTTCAATGGATGGTCATACAACTATACAGTCAATATCCATAACTCATACTAATAATCCCCATAGCGCGTGCTGATATGGCACTACATCCCTTCCTTTTCTTAAAATAACCAAACCCTAACTTTTACAGAACCAGCACACAAAAATGTACAGAACTTTGGAAAATTAACGCGAAACCATCAAGTCCATCAGTCCTAAACCTCCTTCACGAGGCAACACCTGAAAAAAATAAATAAAAGCAATTTAACCACGACATTAACAAAGCCATCAAATCGTTGAGGTCTTCGATCCTGACACGTAGACCTACGAATACTCTCCTGCAGTCGATGGCTCTCTGTTTCCTTGTTGCTTTCATCTGCTCGTTTATCTTCCTTCTCATCTATCTCTGCGCTAAGTGATTCTTGGATTAACACCTTCTCTTCGCCAACACAAACGGGCTGTTTTTCACTGCCGTTTACAGTGGGACTCTTCTGGGCATGGTACCTCTTCACGAAAGTTGCATTGCTTGTGATCTTCCAACCTCGTCCATCGCGAAAAGTGCCCTGGGGACGACGTAGGTGATCTTCGATCCTGCGTAGTCTCTGACAGTAACCTCACTCCCGTCTTCCGGATAACTTCGAAAAGGCGAGGGCAGAAGTTACTTAACAACTTGTTTGACTTCTCTGCCCTCAGCAGCACTTCATCACCGAGTTCAATAGACTTCATGGAAACAGCGCCCCTCATTTCCTCTGCATACGCTTTCCCTTTCAACTTGCTGGACCAGTCTCTCTCATGAACTCCTTGTCTATTAAGATCAACAGTTTCTCTACTAAACTCTGGCAGTTTGGTCCTCATCTCCTGTCCAAACATTAGAGAAAAGTGTGTGGCCCCTGAAGTAACTTGCGCGGAAGCTCCGTCAGCAATTTTTGTTTTCGGCGCTCGCATCCTGGAGACACTTGAGCAGAGAGCGATTATGGCGTTCAACGTCTTTGTGATGCAACATCCTCCCTCCTTCCTTCGGGCGAGTGAGAAGCGCCAAGGGGGCGCAAATCTCCTTTCACTTCCCTTTCAAGCGCCTGCCACGCCGCAGGCTACAAGTGCACAACAGACGTAAAGACAGACAAGTGTAAACACGTGCTCTCTTTTTTTGTTATGGAGACAATGTGATGGTTTAACATGAAGAGTAATCCAAAACGAAAGGAGGAATTCCTAAGGATTATTGAAAGGTGTATAAGGTGTTCCAGTCATGCCTATGGATCCTGAGAGAAAGGAGTTTTGGCAAACAATAGCAAGAAGTACTATTAAGGAAAGATGTAAAGCTATTTTCAACCAAGAATTATTAAGCGATGTGAAATTTGCTGTTTGTTGTGAAGGTGGAAGTGGAAGCAAGACGATACCAGCACACAAGTTTGTGTTAGCAATTAGTAGCCCAGTGTTCTTTGCCATGTTTTATGGTGATATGGCAGAGGGAGATTGTGTTAAGATCCCTGATTGTGAGTACGAGAGCCTGTTGGAGGTGCTGCGTTTTATATACAGCGACGAGGCAAACTTAAACCCTGGTAATGTGATGCAAGTGCTGTATTTAGCGAAGAAATACATGCTGCCTTCACTGGCCGACAAGTGCTCTGTTTACCTTCAAGAGAACATAGACGCGTCAAGCGTGTTTCATGTCTTACCGCAGGCCCAGAAATATGAAGAAATAGAACTGTTGGATTGTTGTTGGAAACATATTGAGGACGAAACAGAGGAAGCTGTAAAATCGGACGGTTTCGTGACAATCGAGAGGTCAGTACTCGAGGAATTAGTGGAGAGAGATTCATTAAATGTCAAGGAAGTGGAGTTGTTCAAGGCTGTCGATAGCTGGGCGAAAATAGAATGTGAAAAGCAAGGCCTCAAAACAGAAGGATCTGTGAAAAGAAGGATTCTGGGAGAAAGGATCGTCAAGGGAATACGTTTCCCCGTGATGGAGGAGAAAGAGTTTGCAAGTGTTGTTCTTGACAGTGGGATACTTAGCCACAAAGAGACTAACGACTTGGTGAAGTATTTTAACTCTGTACCAAATACTTCACTTGAGTTTTCACAAGAAAGTAGAAAAGGTTCTCTTGTGCGTCGAGTTTATAGGTTTTCATCGTTTTTGGAAGGTTGGGAGGAATCATCCAAGTTCTGTGATGTGATAGGACTCTCCTGCGACAAAGACATAAATCTGTGTGCAGTTCGTCTCTTTGGTAACAAAGGCAAAGAATATCGTTTGCACTTGGAAATACAGTCAGATGGTTCTGATTTAATTAGAAGTAAAGATGCTCAGTATTTGCCTAGACAGATCAAGAGTGAAATGGGAAGTTATCCAGGATTTGATGTAATGTTTAAACCTCCGATCGCGTTAAAAGCAAACTCTAAATACTGGCTTATAGCGGACATATGTGGTCCTCCATCCTGGTATGGAAAGGGTGGACAGTCTTGTGTGCACTGCTCTGGAGTTACCTTCAAATTTTACAACCTCGATGGAATGGCTCAACGGGTGAAAAAGGGGCAATTCCCTGAACTTCTGTTTACACTCGCCTGAATAGGAAGTTATGGTCTAGAGCCAGAAGAAGGTGTTAGTCCCACAGCGTGGAATCCGTAATCCAAGACTGTCTTGGATTACCTTCCATGCAGCAAATAGTGCATGCGTCGTTTCTGACTAACTGCCCCTGGGTCTCCAATGTAAAATATCTATTTCAATGTAAGGAATGGATGTAAGGAATGGATATGTGAAAAATAGAATTTTACCCTCGTTTTATAAGTATAATGATCTTTAAAATAACCTAAAAGAAATCATAACACGATACCTATTGAAAATTAAAATTAATCATTAAATGAGATATATCACTCAGATTCATGAAACATAGTTCATCAAGCTTTAGCAGCTTTGCTACTAACCAGAGGGGGCGGGGGGGGAGGGTACTCCCTATGATGGTCTATACGGGGAGGCTCCGCCCAAAAGGGGTACCTTTTTCATGCTTCAGGGGTATGAAAAGATAGGGAATTCACCTGTTAAAGTATATAAAAGGGTTGGGAAATCTGTCATTTGGGTCTGTAAAAGGGCCGAAAAGGGCTAACAGATGAATTTTATGGCCTTAAAAAGTCAAGAAAACTTTCTCTTTTTGTGATTGATTCCTATTTAAAAGACTGCATTTACAGCAGTTAAAAGGGATGGAAAGTTCTAAACAAGGTATGTGAAAGTGGTAGCATTTGTCAATAGAAGGTATACGAAGGGGTACCTTTTTCATGAAAAATGGTATATAAAAGGGTAAGGGGTTGGACCTTGGGGCGGAGCCTCCCTGTATAAACATTTGTTGATTACCGCCTCCCCCCCTTTTAACTTCGCTATTTGATTTTAGCCTGCTGCTCTCCTCTCAATTGATGCTTTGTTTGCTTCTCGGTGTGTGTTTTTTTGTTTTGTTTTTTTTGTTGTTGTTTTCTTTCTTTTGTCACTTTTTACTTGTTTTTAATTTGATGTTGTTGTTGTTGTTAAAATAAATAAATAAATAAATAAAAAAAGGCTACAAGTGCACAACAGACATATAAAGACACAAGTGTAAACACGTGCTCTCTCTTTTGTTATGGAGACAATGTGATGGTTTAACATGAAGAGTAATCCAAAACGAAAGGAAAAATTCCAATTGAAAGGATTATTGAGAGGTGTATCCAGGGTTCTCTTTTGTTCAATATTTGTTCCAGTCATGTCTATGAATCCTGAAAGAGAGGAATTTTGGCAAACAATAGCAAGAAGTACTATTAAGGAAAGATGTAAGGGTATCTTCAATCAAGAATTATTAAGCGATGTGAAATTTGCTGTTTGTTGCGAAGGCGGAAGTGGAAGCAAGACGATTCCAGCACACAAGTTTGTGTTAGCAATCAGTAGCCCCGTGTTCTTTGCCATGTTTTATGGCGAAATGGCGGAGAGAGATTGTGTTGAGATCCCTGATTGTGACTACGAAAGCTTGTTGGAGGTGCTGCGTTTTATATACAGTGACGAGGTCAACATAAATCCATGTAATGTGATGGAAGTGCTGTATTTAGCGAAGAAATACATGCTGCCGACACTGGCCGAAAAGTGCTCTGTTTACCTCAAAGAGAATCTGGACGCGTCAAGCGTGTTTCTTGTTTTACCGCAGGCCCAGAAATATGAAGAGAAAGATCTGTTGGATCATTGTTGGAAACGTATTGAGACCGAAACAGTGGAAGCTGTAAAATCGGATGGTTTCGTGGCAATCGAGAGGTCAGTGCTTGAAGAATTAGTGGAGAGAGATTAATTAAATATCAAGGAAGTGGAATTGTTTAAGGCTGTCGATTGTTGGGCTGGAATGGAATGTGAAAAACAAGGCCTCAAAGCGGAAGGATCCGTGAAAAGAAGGATTCTCGGAGAAAGGATCGTCAAGGGAATACGTTTCCCCGTGATGGAACAAAAAGAGTTTGCAGGCGTTGTTTTGGACTGTGGGATACTCACTCACAAAGAGACTTGTGACTTGGTGAAGTATTTTAACTCTGTACCGAATACTTCACTTGACTTTTCAATAGAAAGTAGAAAAGATTCTCTTGTGCGTCGAGTTTCTAGGTTTTCATCGGTGGTGGAAGGGTGGACACATTCATCTGATTGGACAGTATAATATTTTCCTTTGACAAAGACATAAATCTGTGCACAGTTCGTCTCTTTGCTAGTAAAAACAATTATTTTCATTTGTCCAGCTTTTGTATAAAAGAAGAGGGCAGAAACATAATAATCGGCGACACCAAACAAGCCAAATTTTTGTCTAAACACGTGGAGAGTGAAATAGGAAATTATCCAGGATTTGATATTGTGTTTGAATCTCCGATCGCGTTAAAAGCAAATACCAGGTACGTGTTTGAAGCAAACATAGATGCCCGTCTAACCTGGTATGGAAAGGGTGGGAAGACCTGTGTGCAACACTCTGGGGTCAACTTCTACTTTGACGACCTGTCTGAAAATTTCACCTGTGTAGAAAGGGGACAATTCTCTGAATTTCTGTTCACGATCGCCTAAATCAGAAGTGATAGTTTAAAATCATTTTTTTTTTCAAACTATTTTATGAAAAAGTTGAGAAATTAATTTTCTTCTTCTTCTTCTTCTTTGACCTTGTTCAAAGTTGGGGCGCTCGCCTCAAATTCCGCAGGGATGATATGACGGTTTTGGAGGTACCTCTTAATCCGTTATTATTCATATTGAATGAAGTAGTTGATGACATCTACGTTACCAACAATATACGCTTAAACCCTTGTAAGTGCAACACCTTGCCGTTTTGGCAATTATTGAAATTCCCTAAATAGCCCTTTTTGAGCTTTTTTTTTCTTTTCAAAATAGCTTATAAGTTAGTGGTCTTAGCGTATGCATCTTGGGAGACCTAGGGGCAGCTGGTCGGCACGATAGAATGTTCGTGGTGAAAGTTTATACTATATGATTGAGAAGAGCTTTAAATCACCATGATCCCGACTAGCTGCCCCAGGGTCTCCGAGGATGGAGCGTATGTACCTTTGTGGCTGTGTGTGTTTTTATGTGTGTTGTGGGGCGATGAGCCAATAAGGCTGGAGTTGCTATGAGTTGATTCTAGGAACCAATGAGATTTTGGCTTTTAAACATGACATTTCTAAAGGTCAAAGAAGGGCATTTTTTTGGAGACTGCCGTTTTTCCTTGTTCTTCACAATTTTTTTTCTTCTTTTATTACGGCTAAAGGTGTTTAGAAGCATAACATTAAATATCTTTATGATTCAAACATTGAGTAAAGTGATGCAGCTGTTTAAGGTGTCTGAACACAGTTTTGGCAGTTTGTGAGTATATGTCATTTGCCAAATCATGGCAAGCAAAAGGTTCCAGGTCACAAGCTGAAACTTGGCAAGTGAAAAATACACTGATGAAAAATTTTGATTGGCAGCTAAAATTTGACGTTTTTGTAGTTTCCATGGCAACATGAACGATTGAATACAACCTTAAAATTCACATTTGCTCAGTTTACATAAAATTCGCTCATTAGATTGTCCTATATATTTGCACACAGCTTACTATAATTAATCATTACCATTTGAAACTTATTTGACCAAATTTTAACCGACGGGATTTTAGATAATCAATAATATAATGGAACTGTAATTTTTAAATGTGTCACAAAATTCGTCTGTTGAACTTCCATTTTAAAGTTCTCATTATTTAAAATACAATAAAAGGAAAAATTCTGCCAAACATCACAAAATTTTAATGAGTAGATTTTGAGAAATCATCTTGTGTACCATTGCTTTTTCGCCACTATGTTTGTTTGTCTAATTTAAAACATGCGCCGTCACACAAGTCACCGCTGACCGCCCGCAAAACTGTGTTCAGCCACCAGAAGGGTTCAAATTTTAGTATGGGTGCTTTTCGAGACATTTATGACCTAATTCGGCTATCGGCTATCGCCGTAAACGGTACAACTCACATGTTTCATAATTTATGAGTTTTGTTTCACCTGCTTCAAGGTTTGAATACTACCATAGCACTGAAAATAATGTAATGTTGCAAAAAGAATAAAATAATGAAATAAAATTCTAGCCTGTACTCCATGAATGCCATGTTTCAGTTAGAAGTTAACAGGCGCAGAAAGCTAGTCAAAGAGCCCTGTTGTAGCAGAAGCTATTTCTAAAGTAATTGGTTCGTGGCAAGGGATCAGCAAGCTTACTAAAATCTTTAAGATTATAGGAATTAAATATATCGCTGCAATGCATAAATTTAGAAGACAGCGAATCAGGCGCAAGGCGGGCAAGACTTTATACAACAGTCAACATCGTTGCGTAATGAGATCTAATAAATTAGGCGCTGGGTTTCAAGGGTTTGCCACAGGAAGTCATTTAATAGTATGCTTGCATCGGCATTATAATTGGAGTAAGTAAAAACGCGCTCCGCACGGTTCTAAAGCCAAGGGACAGTCAGACGGATCGGAAGAAACGGCGCGACGGAATTTTCAAAGCATGCACGAGCGGAAAGATGCCGACCCGACTGACACCTCATGAGCCTCTATGGGCGTAGAGTGTTCTGTCTAAAGTAAGGAATGCAGTGGAGACGTTACACTGAACACAAATTTATTCTCGTTTAATATGTACAATAAACTTTAAAATAAACTTGAAGAAGCTAATCATAGTAAACATTTCTGTTTACCAAACATGATTTATCAAGCTTTGTAACTAGCCAGTGCAAATTAATAGGTTCAAAGATTATCTCAAGTCTAACCTTCAGTTTATAAAGCTAACGTTAAAACAATTAAAATTGGCAAGAGGTGAATGAAAATCCTCCACAAAATGCGCGGTTTACGACGCGAATCTGAAGCTACTTGTTTGTTTGGAAATAAATACCTTTTTATAAAAACCTGCGAAAACCAGGAGAAAATATTACACCCTAAGATGACTCATAGAAAACCCTGAAAATATTTTAACCCTTAAATTTACGTAAATAAATTCCACGTGGAAAAGATATATACACGCTTCTTTAAACGAAAAAAACATAACACCAAGTGACAGTGGGCTGCACATGTTAACTGCAACATGTTAAATATACAAAACCGTGCGTGTATACACTTTTAGAAACCATTGGATGGAGGAATTCCACTGAAATGGATGAACAGCTAGAATTTTTTCTTTCATCTTGCGCTCTCATTAATCGGCTACCTCGAAGTCAAATGATTTCTAACGATGAACAAACTGATATCGCGCCAAAAGTCTCTGAGGGGAACAGTGAAAAATCTATGACGTCGCGGTTTCTCTGCCCTCGCCCGCCTTTATTACTTTGCGCCCAACCCAAACCGTCATGCTACGCAGGCTACCGCAAACGTTCACCGATGACCCCACTGTTGTTTTGGTTTGTTTGTTTGTTTACAAATCTATTAATGTTTAGTTAAATATATAACATTTATAAACACCGTACGTTCAAGGAAAGTAAGTAAAGTCAGTGCGTAAGTTTGTTAACTATGATGTAACTTTATGGGATCAGTAACCCAATTGGTACATTGTTAGCGATTCTTCGCGAGTTTTTCCAGTAGACGACAGACTAGGGCAGTCCAACCTGTCTGGTGACTGACGAGAAAGAAAGAAAATACAATTAGGTGAACATTCTTATTAAATGGTGTAGATATCCCCACCCCTCCCCCACTCCACTTCATGGCACGGTGAATGAGGGGAGTAAGGTGCGTAGTTTTGCCATATGGCGGTTGCGTGTTCCATGTAACAATAAACACATCCAACATTCAGGTTAAATCAAATAATGTCATTCTAAATTGTACTAAAGTATGGATGAGAATTTGAAGAGTGACACTCGCAGACCATGATAATATGACATCTATTGAGGGTATCGATTTTTCCGGGGTACCATTTATCTGACCATGCACCTGACCTTTTGTTCAATGTGGTAGTTATTATTGAAAAGTCGGTGAATGAATTTTTCTGTGGTAAAAGAGGTTAGTAAGGCAACATAAAACGCTTGGAACCTTATTACTTACCTAGCACCACACCCTCGTCCTGTTTCTGGATGGAAGTACTCGTAGAACAACACCAGATCGCTCCAGTGTGGATCATTGGCGTATCTCTCATCATCTCCGTGGCATGGCCTTCGTCCATTCTCATTGGGCAGAAACAAAGACACCACGCGCCTGCTCAGTTCAAGAGCAACATCACGCAAGCGCATGCGATTTCCCGACCGGGTGGGGCACTCGATCATCAATTTGTCACCAAAGAAATAGTCGTAGCGTTGTAGGGCCTCAATGAGGAGGTAGTTCACTGAAAATGAAACAAACACATCATTCAGTGACCATTGGATTACGTAATGCTGTAAACTGGAGAAAGGTGATAAGTTGTAGCGACTTGACCGGAACAAAGGTAGGTAAAGGCGCACACGAACCAAAGTTCCACACGGCCGGAGTTTATACCGGTTTCCGTAGCATGAAGCAAGCCTAGGAGTATTGCTACTCCCCCCTGGACGGGATGCTAGTCCATCGCAGGGTTACCCCCCAGCAGTATGTCGCCGCTACATTTGTTCACCTGGGTGAAGAGAGACAAAGTGGAGTAAAGTTCCTTGTCTAAGAAAACAACGCGAAGGACGAGGCTTAAAGCCCGGACCTCCAGATCCAGAGTTCGAGGTGTCAACCGCTAGGCCACACACGCCTCCTAACCGGAGCGGAACCAAATCATCTCATCTGTGTTTTTTTGCTCAAGTGGGAATTAATGGAGAAGCGGATAAGTCTCCAAACTAGTAACAACCGACATTTCAGTATATCAGTGTGTGATCTGATAATAATATAAGAGCAACGACTTTGCGCCGCCAGAATAAGCAATTACCACTCCCGAATAGTCATCAATAGGGCCATTTATACGAGGAAAAATAAGACGCGTCTTAAATAAGACGCGAACTTTCCGTATAAACGGCACATTTCGTCTAAAATAAGACGCGGCTTAGCTAAGACGCGTCTTATTAGATAAGACATGCTCGTATAAATGGTACAGTTCGCGTCTTATTTAAGACGCGTCTTATGTAAGACGCGTCTTATTTTTCCTCGTATAAATGGCCCTAATATGTCTCAAAGGCGGAATCTTCTTCCTTGGTGATTTTACGGCCCTGGGCATTTTTCCAACCGAAGAATAGAACCCATGCGCGATATCCCGCCCTGCCGCCTCTCTGCATTAATAAACTTGTACATTTATTGATAACAATATAAATCTGCCTTTTTAACTAGTTCAAAGGTTGTCAACCAGTTGGCGCATATTTGCGCCGAAATTCGCTTCTTCTGGAAATCTTGTTTCCAAACGCCACAGTCCGTCTAATGTCATTCAACAAATGAGCGCAACTTTCGGTACAAACACTACAAAATTCTTTAAACTTGGTGGTTTATACTACAGTCGGTACTTACTGCAAACCCAGATAGGTCCACGCCAGTTGCTGTTCCCGCCAAACATGTACGTGTCCGACTCCCCTGGGACATAGTGCACACTGTAAACTTCGCCATTTAGCTCCAGTTTATATGGATTCTTCTCGTGAAACTTCGACAGAGAACGAATGCCATATGGTGACAGAAATTCCTCTTCGTCTAACATATAACTGAGCACACGGACGAGTTGGTCTTTGGTGGGAATGGCCAGTAAATGATGGTACTCGCTTTCGCCATGGGATTCCATGTACGATACCTACAAAATGGCGGGAAAATCAGTTGGGAAGGAACTGCGGCTGGACATTAAGTTTCCGGTGCATGGCGGGAAAACACGCAGACTAAGCTGCGCGCCACTTTTAATTACAGTAGTTGACTGCCATGTTTTGTGTAGTTCAAAATAGATTTACGGTTTTTGTTTCAAGTATCACATGGCAACAGACTTGGCTTGGAACCTTCCAGGGAACATCATGTATGAATCAATACACAGACGAAGAAAAGAAGAACATAAAGAGGAAAGGGAACAAGCAAATATACTGGAACGATAACTCAAGTAAACATAACAAGACTTTTAGAATTTCACCTGGCAAGGGTAAGACTAGTTACCTACTACTTACAAGCATGGTCCGGGACAACCGAGGGATACAACTCCGTATGTGGTTAAAGTAGAACGTAGAACATAGACCTGACCTGCGGACCACTCAGCTTATTCTGCTACGTTGGAAAACTTTACTATGGAGAGCGAAAGCGGCGAACTAAACGGTTTCTCGAGCGTACTCAACTACTTGTACTGAGGGTCGCCATCTATAGTTTTTGCTAAATACATGTAGTGACTTTATACACTTATGCTTTCCATGTTAGATTCATTAACGACAGTTTCATGAAGGTCTTATTTATGTCAGTAAATATGTAATACAGGACCTTTTTCAAAGCACTCGAGCCACTAACCTGAGAAGCTAAGTCTTTCCTGTTTTTCATAAACCAGTCAAGCCGCTTTTTGAATCCGGGAAGTGTTTTCATGTACTCGTCATCAAGGACAAGACAAGCCATAAGAGGAACGAGGCCAACCATACTGCGCACACGTAATGCTAAAGAGCAAGTGCCCGTACTAAGATGGTCGTAATAAAAACCATCTTGTTCATCCCACAAGCCCACACCGTCAGACATTTGGTTAATAGCATCTGATATTTGAGTGAAGTGCTCAAAGAACTTAGAGGCCATGTCTTCGTAGGTATCGTCTTGCATTGCGAGATCTAAAGCGATGTTGAGCATTATCACACAATAGAACGCCATCCACGCTGTACCATCAGCCTTCCAGAAAAAAGCAGATTAATTAGTACACGTAGGATATGTCACATTATCCAAAGATGACAAAAAGATTGAGTAATGGCACCTGTAAGAGCAAGGCGTGGATTGGCAAATCCTTGGACCGATCAAAGATTCCTACAAAAGGACAGAGCAACCTTTAGTAATAAATCTAGTACGAAAGTCTACGCACAATTTGACTCGAGGATGGAGCGAGGTTTCTTACCAATGTTATCAAGACCAAGAAATCCCCCGCCAAAAATGTTCTTACCAGAAGGATCTTTCCGGTTCACCCACCTGAGAAAATGAAAAGGAAACTCAAGAGCTTGATAAGGTTTACTTCCTCTTCGCGCTTCTCCAAGGAAAATGTAAGCTCGCCATTTCTAATTTACACTTGTTGTGGTTCAATTTTATCTGCGGTTTCAATTTTGGTTTCCCATGTTTCTGGGTGTGGTAAAGTATAAAGGACAATTAACTCAAACAAAATATAGTTTGAACCAAAGGTAAACTTGAGAGCAATAACATCAAAACCCTGCTTCAGTACCCTGTTAAGAGGCAAGGGTGGAGAGAGCATTAAAAAGAAGTAATAATACTCGACCAAAAAAGTTGAGTAAAAGTTTTTGAGAAGAAAAATTAATTCTCGATAACCAAAGAAAATTTCGGATAAAAAAACTACTAAAAACCGATGCCTTACCAAGTGAAATTAATGAGCAGTTTCTGAAAACAACGCGCCAGGAATTCGTCATCCCGAGCTCCTTTGCGTCCCGTCATCTTGTAGACCATAAGACATGCGAGTGCATGAACAGGCGGGTTCACATCACCCAGGGCAAACTCATAAGCTGGCATCTGGCCATTGGGCGCCATGTACCACTCTCGAAGGAACAGGATTAACTGATCTTTTGCAAACTGAGGGTCTATTTTACTCATGGGAAGCATGTGGAAAGCGAGGTCCCAAGTGGCGTACTGAAAGAGTTGGAGTGAGATTAGTGATCATTGGAAGTGCACTTTGGTTCGAAAGCAACTTTAAGCATAAAAAAAGCAAGCACGATAGGGTTTCGACGTGCCTAAAGATATATCTTCCCAATGGAATCAAAACCTTTACAATTGATTACACCTCTCCAGCGACAGTCTCTAGCTTTCAACAGGAGACTGGAGTTTCCATTGACAAGATGAAGGTTTTTTTCCAACCGCGGCAGGATTAGCTTAGTCGGCAGAGCGCTAGACTGCAAAGCGGGAGGTTGGGGTTCGATTCCCGGGGCCGGACCAATACTCAGGGTCTTAAAATAACTGAGAAATGAAGGTACTAACTTACTTTGCCCTGCAAATGCCTAGGCCTTCGCGTGGCTCAGATGACCACGTAAAATGGGGGTCCCGTCTCCAGATGAAAACGTAAAAATAGTGGCCCCTATTTAGTGCTAAATACATTGACAACTCAAATAAGGTGTTTTTTTTCTTCCATTTTGGACATTTATTCGTTTGCACCAACGATGAAGATTCCAAAACGTATTTTAGAGCTGAAATATTTCACATATTTTAAGGACGGCGCGCAGATGATGCCACAGAGAAATTTTTAACTAAAAAAGCATAGCACGCTTGCTGGCTTTGCAACACTTGCACGAAATAACAGTATGGGAACTTAATCTACCCAGGGATACTCCCACTTGTCTGGCATGGATATAACATCTCTGTTAAACAACTGTCTCCACTCTGCTTCAGAGTTCCTTCCATTGAACCTTTCAGTGGGTGGGGTCGCCATCTCCGGGTCACCAGTCAGCCAGTCTTTAATGATGTAATGGTAGAACTGTTTGCTCCACAACAGGCCAGCGTAGGACTGACGAGACACCTCGGTTTCCTCTGGAGTCAAGCCAGCTGAAAAAAAATGAAGAGAATTAAAACTGAGGCTGCGCAAGTCAAGTTTACTCTCCCGCTCATGAACTCTCCACTCGTTCAGTTGAGTACAACAGTATTAAATCACAAACCATGGTCTTATCGATTTGGGTGGATCGTCTGTGCCTATTGATCTCAATGTCTTGAGTCTTCTAAGTGGCTTTTTGCGATTTTGTTAAGTTTGGTTTTAACCTTTCTGCTAGTGTAACAGTGCTTTCATTCGAGCAAAAACTTTGGAAACACAATTTAACCTCTCCGATAAACATGACGAAGATTTGTTCTCTTTTACTGTAAATATATATTGAAAATGTACCACAAGTGTTTGCATCAGTAGAAATCCAAACTTGTTTTTTCACGCTGTTGCTGGTACTGTTATAAAGTATTTTTGACTAGGCATGAGTGGAGGTGGACTACAAGTTGAAAAGTGAAGCCGACACTTTCCTAGTTTTAAACTGTTAAACGGAAAAATTCTACAAGTACTTCGTATGCTTTGCTTAAACCTAGAAGAAAAGATTTATTTCCGGCAGACTCTCGTTGTAACGCTTTTCTTATTTGCTTGTGAATTCGTAATCCCATCACCCAAAGAAAGCACCAGAGCTCAACTATAATCAATACCAATTGACGTTTAATTATCTTTTTTTTTCGCTTCTCACTGCGACAGCACAAAATATTTTTCTACCATGCCGGATGGGGTACAGAGCTACGAGGAGGCGAGAAGGGAGGGGAAAGGGAAAAAATGAAAGAGGAGGAGAGGGGGAGGTTCCCCGTTTTTTCTCCATGACATCGATTATCCATTCCTAGTATTCAAACAGAAGATGTTCTGCCAATGGCAATGAATCTATACTGTAAAGCGCAGTCAAACAGAAGAAAAAAGTTCACTATTTTTGATACTTTGCATGCAGTAAATGAAATTACTGAATTTTATCAACTCACTAAGTTTTAAATGTACGTAGGAGACGTACATAAGTAAAAAAATATGAACTGCGGGTATGAAACTATGAAAAGAAATGATCCTCGCAGTTTTGCTCAAATTTGCGTGTGAAACGTTGAAATTTACAGGCTACGGATTGTCAACAAGCAATGCTTTTCGCCCTGTTTCCATGTCACGGAGAATAAAGTCTTATGAAATAAATAGGAAAACTGTCTAAGGTGTTGAACCGAGGGAAGGGGTTAAAATACTACACACCAACATAGGGAACTGTTCATTTATTCACAAACTAGATGTCCATATCTCCTACTAAAAGCATGTACTACAGTATAATCATGCATAGTCATTCTTAGCTACAGTAACCTGTTAATACATGTTATCGTTCCGATTGTTATAAACAAGATACAAGAAAATCTGATAATAAAGGAACTTAAAATTCATAGGTAGCGTATTTCAAAGCCACGGGGGCAAGAATAACGGTTTGATTTTACTGATTTAGACCCTTCAACAAAGAGTTAGAATATTCAAAACATAAGAGCTGTCTGTCAAAGGAGGCTTAAAAACAGATGCTCCGTCTCCTGCATTAGGCAGAGGATGCATCTCTTTCTTGTCTAAAATTCTACTTATCTGCTGAGCCATTCACAGATATTTTTTGCCTGTAGTAGTTGTGCGTTTTGTAACTTATTTTTACCATAATAATGATAAGCTGGTTTTTCAACTTGCAATGAGTTACCAATGCTTTTTCATTACAACTGTGTATATAAGTGATGGCCTATAAAGCACTCGGCTTTGCGTTTTTGCGATGTCAGTCCTTCATACCCTCCTTCAATGGAAGATAACATAAGGCTGCGTTTGCGCTAACGTGTCTAAGACCTTCCCAATCACTCAAACAAACAGGATAAAGCTCTGTGGATGGGATTCTAATACCACTGTCGACAAGAAATTTGTTAATGATGAAATACACTTTACCCTCTATTTCAACAGCCCCAAGGTTGTTTGGGGGAATGTGATATTGGTTCTCATCTAACCACTCGCCGTTGTTCTCGTCATAGACAAAGACATGAGCAGGTTCTCTATCTGGGATGTCATGTCCCCTTCCCCCCGCAGCGTAAAGCTTTTGGTTTACTACAAAAGGGGTAAATCCATAGGAATTGAATCCGTTGGATCCTAGTATGAGCCACATATTGCATGGCTCCAAAAAGCTCTGCATTACATTTACCGTTTTTGTGCGTGTTTCTGGAGCAGGTAATCGTCTCCCAGTGTAGGAATGGTAAGCCAATTTACTGTAAGTGCATTCAAAAATTGCATGAAGCTTTGAATCAAACACTGCTGCTCCATTGTAACAAATTTTATCTAATGAAAAACCGAATAGATCATGTTGAAGGACAAAATTGGTATCACCCGTGCCCATTGAACGTACTCTTGTAATACTTTGCCATTGACGCTTAGCAAAGCTATACCTCTGCGGGTAAGTGTTACAATCAGAACTGACTGCATACAAGAAGTCACTTATCTTACACAAACTGTTTATTGAACCAAGGGGGCGTGGTAGCTTTTCCCAAAGATTTTTGTCAATGTTGTAGGTGTAAACATGGCTACTTTCGCAGTCATCAACAGCTACGTACAAGTTGTTCCCAACAACCTCTGTACAAACACAACGATCTCCTCCAGGCAGAACTGCCATGGAAGGTAAAGGCTTCCAGAGTTTGGTTTCCACATCAAAGTACTGGGCCTGGGACCTTTTAGGTAATATGGCAACGAGAACCTACGAGGTGCAAAGATGGTCAAAAATTAATTAAACAGCATTGCGCATGCGCGCCGTAACGCTATTGAAATAGTTGTCAAACAGAGTAAGTCCTTTGGTAAAAGGAATGGCGTGTAAATCATTTGATTAGCGCTCGTGCAAACTTTGGTAATCTGCTAAGAAATCCATGGTTGTTACAAAACGAATCCATGAAAACATTGGTTGGCTCTAGCCAACAAACCTTTCAGCAAATCTTTAATATTTCATGATCATTCTCCATCTCCTTATTAGTAACAGCTTCAAACTTTTCCTTTGAATACTTCGAAGGCAAAAAGATTACTATTTAGTGTTGAAAGGAAACCTTGGGGAAAGGATGAACAGTAGCAAATCCAAGCTGTCTTTTTTCCTTTCCCATTTTTCTTCGTCCTGCCTCCCTTATAGAAACGTCTGCCACGCAGAGTAAGCTTACAGACATACACTTCGATCTACAATCACTTCATTTTTATGTGCATCATGAAAATATCAAGCGCTCACAGCACAAAGATATTTGTAAAAAAAAAAACCGTCGGCATTGTTGCTTATATCGAAATGTTCCTAGCGCCGTACCCTGCGATCAGAGACCCTTCAGTTCAAGGCCCTGGCCTATCAAATAAAAAGATCGAAGGACCTCTGCTCGCTGCTCGCATAGGCTACGAATAGTCCCCATTTCTCCTCAGGGATAGTAGAGCGAGCGAAACGCGAGCGCGCGTGAAAATCATCCCAAGGGAGATATGCGAGACGCGGCGGGGAAAGAGAAAAATGTCTCCCCGCAGCGTTTCGCTGGCTCTACTATCCCTGAGTAAAAATGGGGACTACCCGGGGTCTACTGCTCGCTCTCCACGCCTGGCCGAGCAGGCTACAGAGAGCAAAAAGTTGGCATTTAATTTTTCTCACGTGCAATGTAATCAAACTCAGTTTGTGCTTTTGTATTTTCTGATCCTTTGCGTATCTTTTATTCGTTTACCAAGGGAATTATGAGGACAAATAAAGTCTTTTCCTTACCTGGCCTGGAGTTCGTGGCTTTGTTTTCTCTGCAAACTTTGACATTTGAGAAGGCGCATTGAAGTAGAGAGACGCATCGATCAAAATTTTGTGCATTTCTGGAACTTTCTGGATTTCCTCTGTGTTTAGCTCCTCAATTAACACTCCAACATCCACCAGGCCAAGACGGACCGCTTCAATAATTTTAGCAGCGACTGGAAGCCTTTCCTCCTTATGGTGATTTATCCAACGCATCACAGATTTGAAGACGAATGTCTCCGATGGAGCGCTGAGGTCATCTCGAACAAGAAGGCTCAATAATTGGTCCGGGTTAATCTGGGAAAGGAATGCTTCACCGCCGCAGATATCCTTATAAATTGAAGCCATCTTATGCTGTACATTTTCTTGTAATTCTTTCAAACCATGTCTATCGGCGACTGCAGACAACTGACAATAACGTTGGAAATCAAACCCGTCTTGAACGAAATGTACATTCAAGAAATCACAGCATTGGTGGACAATGTTTGTAATCTGGAGATGGTTAGCGGCGGCGAGAACATCAAATACGTTTTCCTTGTTGGCACAGAGTTCTTCAGTGTAGATGGAATTCAACAGAACACGCAAAGCTTCAGCTGAAATGCTCGGTTCTTTCAGCTCAATAACTTCCTGTTTCGACTTCTTCATTCCATTCGTAAACATGGCATGAAAATAGTCGCTATTTGCTGCGAGTACAATACGATGAGCTGGAAAGAGGGTGTCGCTTACTTGTAAACGCACATCGATGAATTCTTCTTGATCTCTGAACTGTGCTAGTTTGGACAACAGAGTGTTTGCCATCTTCGTTCCGTCTCGAAAAGTTGGCTGAGCTGCGATGCGATATTTTGATTACTGGCACCGCCCCAAATATTTGATGAACCACCGCTGCTGATTGACAACTACGAAAACCGGAAGTTTAGACAGCATCAGCTTGCCAACTCTTTCACTTACAATTTTTTTTCTATCTTTTTAAAGACACATCTATTCAAATCTTTTCTTATTAGCAATAATGCATTAAAAAGTAATATGGTATTAAAGCATTTCAATGATTTGAAATACTGCATGTTTTATTCCTCATGAAGACAAACCCAAGACTTAGTTTAATATTATAAAGCAAGCAGTTCCAAGTGACTCATTCAGACACCGAAGCAGAGGATCTCCATCCAAATTTTTGCTCAATCCCGTAATCCGCTAGTTACTTTCGGCATTCCGGATCCTATGCATACTTTCAATCTTGAATCCCGCCCCAATTTTGCTTTTAATCCTGAATCACTGCCTCGAAAGAAGGCAATTCCCGGATCCCGAAATACCCGTCTTACTCTCGTTAGGACTCATCAGTAAGGCATAGTCATTAGGCCCCTGTACACTGATGAGCTATGTTCAGGTGCCCTTTACTGCTGAGGCGAGTGCAAAACACTTTAAAGTGCCACCCTCACACAACACATGTTGCTTTTAAGGTTTTGTTTTTCCTAGTGTCAAGTGACAAAAACTGGGCTGTAAACAAGCAAGAGTCTACATCCTGGAACAAGATTATACTACAGTGTATATCGTAGAGTTCTCCTGACAAGTACAAGCAACTGATTGGTCTGTCACTCCCGTAGTGTGACATTTCTAGCCTCCTCTTCTAAAACGACTTTTTAGCACATTGATGATTCTCCAGAGGAAAAAATTCAAAGATGGGGTTGTTATTTGAGAAGGAGGGGCAAATGTTGGAGCGCATAATTTAATGTTGTTTAACTAATCTCTGTCATTACCTTATCAGCCAAATGAAAGGGTAGTTTACCCCTACTCACTCTACTTAGTTTAAAATTGAGACTATCTTTTCCATCTTGTCTAAAAACGGTTTTTAATTTTTTGCTAACTTGGATGTTCTTAAAGAATTTTTATTCTTTTGATCTAAAAATATGGTCAAGGGTGTAAAAACATCACTTAGAGCAAATTTGAAAAGGGCTTAGGGCTGACATGTAAGTAAGTCTCCTTGACCAAAAAATTAAGCCTATGGCAACCAGGTTTAAGTAACGATGTCAACGGAAAAACAGTGCTGAAAAAAATCCCTTTCAAGATGAAGATAAAATGTTTAAGCTTACATGGTATGGCAACATGATAGAATTCATTTGCTTCTTTGAGACGCTTCTGAATTACAGCTCCAAAATTTCTTTCAGCAAATGGTTCAGTCACAACATCTCCCTCAGCTACAAGTCGACACTGCAAGACTCGTTCCTCTCCAGAAGGAACAACCAACAGGTAATGAGGGGCCACTTTGGTCCCTTTTTTCTTGGGGTTAACTGCATCTTTTTCACCATGAATGATAAAGCGATGAAAGGCATCCTTTGTGAATGTTGTGTAATTGTCTATGCCATACAGATGCTGCAAAGATGAACAACAAAACATCCAACTGAAATACCATGACACTGTGGGCAGCTCTCTTTTTTCTTCCCTTAGGGACACAGAACACCAATTTTCTGTAAAAAAAACTGTTTTAAGGTGCAAATATTGCCTAGAAATTTCTAAAGCTTGAGAAGGGCTTAAAATTTCAGGCTAACTGTTCCATTTGTCTAAAATAATATAATTTGGGGTTTGTCTAACTTACCTACGATTTTAGGAGGTTGTGCTTTTCAAGGTATTGTGTGTCTTGAAAATTTCTCTGTTAAGACAAAACATCCCCTAGAATCTTCTAATAAAAATATGGCTACTCCATATCCTCAACTTTCTACCACACCATCTAGGTTTTAAGCTAACTGTTAAGGATGAGATGAACAGCCACCTAATATGTTAGGCGACCTACCTCTGTGTTTGTTTCATTCTCAGTAAACAGCAGCTCTGGGATCTCATTGTTGGGTCCAACATCAACAGTAAAATAAAACTTTCCTAAAGTTTCATGCCGACACTCCACAGTATCTTGAGTTTTCTTGACAATGCTTGCCTTCCGTGTACAGCCTTCATGCTTACAGCCCCAGATCCAGGTGTTTCGAAACCACAACGTTGGCAAGACATGAAGCCGTGCAGTGTCAGGACCACGGTTTGTTACTGTGATACGGATGAGAATGTCATCTGGTGTATTCTTTGCATACTCAGCACAGACATCCCAGTAACGACTGTCATTAAACACACCTACAAAGATATTTTTTTGTTTCTTTTTTTAAAAAAAGACTATTTTTAAAGTGACCCTAACAAGTCCAGAGCAATAGATGAAACAAAGGGAAGACCAAAACTTCAAATTGGAATCAGGGATGAGCAGGTCAGAGACTAATACAATAGAGGTCTAGTACAGGTGCAAACAACTTTGGTAGATCATTTTCATTTTTAGGGTAAAGCTAACTTTTGAGTAGTTAATTAGCCTACGCATAATCTGTACACCTTATGGGACTATACTAGGTGTATTTGTTTGTATTTGTTTGTGTGGTTTATAGGAATCATTAGTTGTTTAAATATTTGAAATTAAGTTGCCAAGTATTGTATTTTAGTTGTAAGTTTTTCTAACTGACCTTTTCTTTCTTGATCTAATTGTATTGTAATGATTTAAGTTAAAGCCTTCTTCTATTCCTGTAAATTCTTCACGTCTTTTTTTTTTGCTGACCCTAGGCCATTTAAGCCCCTGGCTTTGGCTGTTCTTGTGTATTTTTTTTTCTTCCAGGAGTTGATTAATTAAATGTAATTAATTAATTAATTAAACATAATTAATTAATTAAACTTCCCTTTGCCCTCGGGAAACAATAACATAATATGTACAAAGTTGTCAATAAGAGCTGGGGACTGGAGTTCTCCCCCAGTTACTTTAGTAGGAAACATATGGAACCAAAAGAACTTTATCATAGTTCAATTCCCTGCCTATATGTTACAGGTCGAAATTAAATTCAGGTGAAAATTTTTAACCTAGGTTGATTCTCATTTTCCTTTATCTCCTTCTCCTAGCCCTAATTCATGAATAATTGGGGTTGGAAGACAAAGGAAATAGAGAATCAACCTAGGTTAAAAAAATTTAACCTGTGAATTTAATTTTGACCAGTAACACCCCAGCAACTCGCAATCTTAGTCACAGCCCTGATGTAAAATACTTGTACATTGTAGCTGAGGTTCCAGGAGAATTTATACTTTTAAGTGGATGTTTATTAGAAAGTTTGAGGGGAATCTCTCAAACCATACATGTATACAAAAAAAAAAACAGTTTGATGCTAAACTGGAATCTTCACAAAGATGAAGGAGGGGGTGCACTCTAAATTGACTTGAGGTCAATTTTATGGGTAGTTTTTCTGGAACGATGAACAGTATTTTCTCACCAGTATCACACAACTCAAATTCAGGCTCTTGACGTGATCTTCTTCGATTTTCATCAACAAGCCAGCTATAAGGATATTCATTCTGTGGGTACTTGTACAGGGCTTTCATGTAAGAATGAGTTGGTGTGGAATCAAGATAGTAGTAGCATTCCTTCACATCTTCACCATGATTACCTTCAAAAATAAAAATCTATTTTATTAAGGAGATAATACTGAAAATCAGAAGATTCTAGAATAATGTATGCTAGTTGAAGGCCTACAAGATATTATACAGCTGCAGCTGTCTATATTGTAACAAAAATGAACGGAAAGTACAATAGTATTTTGAGATGTAGGCAGCAACTCTGAGCAACGACTTTCATTTACTTTTCAAATTTTGCAGCCTTGGATAACATTTCCTGTTTTAACTTGGAACAGTATTTTGCCTTGAGTTGTACTATTCAGGTCTACAGACTTGTTTTAGACACAAGTATATAACATGGTGGAAGCAGTGGACAGCCCTTCTTTATTTGAATGAAATTTATGAAGGGATTTTGAGTTTTGCCCTTTGCAGAATTTTGGTTTTCGTTTCTACAAAAAGGAGAGTGTTTTTTTTTTATTTTCCTGTTTGGCTATGTTGGTAAATTTGTGGAAAAAAAAAATCAGTTTTAATCAGCTACAAGGACTAGCTGTTATAAGTTCTTCTGAAAACTGGAGAGAAATATGTGAATAATTAGTCCTTTTTAAACGCTGGGGCCTTCAGTTTCCCCTGAATTTCATGTAAAGCTTAACTTTTTAAGTGGATTTCTTTGTTTTTCTTTTCTTCTTTTTTTTTGGCATTTTCACAGTTTTCAATAGGCCCTAGCCTCAGTTATCTATGGCAGTTATGTTATTTTATTTGTTATCATACCACATAAATAAAGAGATTGTTACATCAAAACAATCTAAAGAATCCAGAAAAAAATACATATATGTAATATTCCAACCTTCAGTTCCAGTCAAACCAAACAGTCTTTCTTTCAGAATTGGATCTTTTTCATTCCACAAAGCCAACCCAAAACACAGCCGGCACTGCCGGTCTGTGATTCCTAGTAAACCATCCTCTCCCCAGCGATAAGCACGTGACCGGGCATGGTCATGAGAAAAAGAGTCCCAACTGTGGAAAGACAACTTGGATTATTTTTAGAGCAAAGAATAAATTCTCATTTAAAGTCCTTTTATTATTGCTGTGTGAATAATTAATTAGCTATTGCTTAGAGCCTCTGATAGTACGCTTGGGTTACCTGTGCTAAAACAAGCAAATACTTGAGATACGTTGCTCTTGTTTTAAAAGGAATTTCATCCTTGTGATGAAAACTGAAATGAACTCTACATGATTGAAATCTTAATTTATGATGATATTAATGATATCATTTACACTAGGAGAAGGACCTGTTGCATAAACCTTACTGATCTTTTCCTTAGTCACTCATAAACAAACCAAGAAACTAAAATTAATATTTAGTTTACTGTCATATATTATAAATATAAGTGTAGGAGAAGTCAGAAACAAATTTAAATTAAGTTAGTGCTGAGACTGTAATCAGGACAAAAGTTACATAACTTCTCAAGTCTTACTTGAGCTGCATCACAAACAGCAATATTGTTCAATAATCCTGAAATTTAGGTAACAATCACAAATAACCAATAAAATCACAACCAATGCACTGTTTATGTCTTGACAGACAAACATATCATAAGATTGATGCACGTTCAGCTCGGTGAAGTCGTTCAAATAATGATCATCAAAGTAATCTTAGCTTAAATTAAAGGCTGTCTTACCATGCCCCATCAAAAGAATAATCTTCTCTTACGGTTCCCCACTGCCTCTCTGATAAATAAGGCCCCCATCTCTTCCAGTTCTTCTGTCTTTTTTCATCTTCTTCAAGCCTTTTAGTTTCGGCTAAGTTTTTGTTTTCCAGGACGATCGTGGCCTGTCGTTTTAAGGGTTTCTTCAACATCTTGAACCAGCTGACTCAATGAATTTTCACCTGACTCTAGCTGATTCTAAAGCGGTCGGGCGGTCGCACTTGAAAATATCTAACACGATCTCGCCCAAATTAAAGAAACCGCGGGAAATTCTTGCTAGGCGTCGAAAGAAGATGAAATTTAATACAGCTAGACCAAAAATATGCAAATATTGTCTTTGAACGGAGAAATAATAAGTCAGCCAATGAACTTTCGTTAACTTAAGTGCCTATAATTGAGTCACGAAATCACGAAATCAACACGTTCTTTTGACACTTGGCCAGTCGGCCAGCCTTGCATGTGAAAGAATGTCAGTAGGTGGGCAAGCAGAACATTGCTTTCATTTGGTGCCTGACAGCAGACATCATACAGATCACTCTAAATTTTAAAGGCTCCAGCTAGATTAACCAACCAGACAACTACTAGCTGTCAGATTCGAAGACAAAAAGGTGCCATACAGGGAACAACAAAGAAGCTGAAAGGTATGATGAACCGGGAAGGTCTGGTGCAAACCGTCCTCTAGTGCCCGAGTCGGGCCCAGATTCCTGGCGTGCATCCATTCATCATGGCGGATCAAGTGGATGAAAACACGGTGAAAGAACTTCTACCGTTTCTCTCGTTAGATGCTCGTGGCGATGTAAAAGCAATAGCACTAGATTACATCCTAGGGCTCTCTGGTTCCGACAGTGGCAAGAAATTTCTTAAGGAAAATGGCGAGTGTTTGAAACGCCTCTTGGATTTGACTAAAGATTCGGATTTAAGAACATGTGGGGTTGCCTTTTCAGCGCTAGTGAATTTATCAGCGGAACAAGTGATCGCGGAAAAGCTTTTACAATACAACTTCATTGAACAATTTTTGGTCTACATGCTTAAACCAAATAGCGAACACGCGGGAAAAGCAGCGATGATTCTTTCCAACATCACCAGAACAGAAAACGGGTGTAGCGAGGTCTTAAAAGTCACTAAAAACTCAGCGGCTTGTGGCTTGTACAAAATTGTAGAGGTATTGTGCAAAGAGAACTACAATCCTCACTCCAATTTACAGTATATTGCAACCTTCATCAATAATTTGACGCAGGTACAAGAATTTCGAGACCTTATTTTAGATAAAGATCGTTGCATCATCCAACGTCTTTTGCCTTTCACCACCTACAATGCTTCAGTCATAAAAAGAGGAGGAATTGTCGGAACTTTGAAAAATTGTTGCTTTGAGACAGGTGAGAGGAAGTGTCCTGTTAATGGTTACAGTTTCTCAGCAGTTTTAGTCATTTTTATTTGCTTACTTATTTACTTGTTATTAATCAAATAAAGAAGCATAACCTAATTAAAGTTAATGTATCTATTATTATTTATTTGTTTTCAACACATTTGCACCTTACATTCAAAGTAACACTAAAAGCACATACCGGAGGGTAGTAAGGTTCAACCCTGGGGGTTGGGTTACCCCTTACAAATCTTGGTGGAGGTGTGCCACTCGGTTCTCCAAATCCTGACCCTGTTTCGGATCAAAAAATGTCATTTTTCACACCCGTTTTTAGACCTGTTCTCTACAATCCATACCTGTTTTTTTTCAGACCTCACTTAGAAACTCGTTTCCCCTGAATAGTTTTGAATCATATTATAAATTCATGAGGGAAGAAATGACTGACATATATTGTGTCGTTAGTGGGGTGAAACATCACTCACTGTCCTATTGATCAGTGGTCATGACGTTACCGGTAGAATTCCGACAAGTGAATTTAGCGTCAAACAGGTATGAAAAGTCCTTTAAAATGGCATAACTAATCAGGAAAAAAAATATAGGACTTTTAGAAAGTCTATAATCTAAGAAGACTTGCCACAAGTCCACCTCACAAGTGGACCTTGAGACTTTGTCACTAGCTCAGTTGCTGCGTGACCTCATGCATTGAAGCTCGCTTAGCTCACTTTTAAGAACTTATGAGAGGTTGACTTGTAGTCAGTCTTCTTAGATTAGAACGCCAACAAAAAGGATTCCTTCAAATCCACTTCGAATTCACATATTTCTCTTTTTTAAAATTTCATTTGGAATTGAAATGATAAATACATTCATACACTCCTGTAGTTTCCTCAAAAACCATACCTGATTCCAGACCAAAATGAGCAAAATCTGTATAACCCATTTTCAGACCAAAACAGCCCAAAAACTCCTTTGGGGTAGAACGTACATATATGGCTTATGTACGGGAGTACCCCCGGGGTTTCAACCCCACTAACTCTGGAACAGCAGCAGGTTTATTAGCAAGAGAAAAGCACTGAATGATTGCCACACAGTTTTTGGCTGATTCCTTCTCCATCATCAAATGACAAAATCTGTCAAACTTGACTGGAATGCAGGGTGCTCATGAGGCATCAGAGATCAGAGAATTCTCACTTTACTACACAGAATTCTCCAACTAATGTTTGGTGGCTTATGACTATTTTTTATTTAGATGTGCAGCCTCTTTCAAAATATTCCACTCTGACATTACACCTAGTTTCTCCTGCAACTAGGATTCTTAATGAAAACCCAGGGAACGGCAATGCAATAGCAGCTTTTGATAATCTCAGTGCTTGTCATTTCATCAATAACGATAATTTTGTCATGATTTCCATTTCTTCAGAAATACCCCTTAAGAAACTCACTCTTTTGGAACAAAGTAACTCAGTATTTCTCAAATTTTCTTTTTCCTTCAAGAATCACATGAATGGCTATTAAGTGATGCTGTGGATATCTTACCACACTTGTTACTTCCCCTCGCTGGACCTGAAGAGTTTCCTGAAGATGACATGGAGAAACTGCCTCCTGATCTACAGTATCTGGGTGATGATAAACAGAGAGAAGCTGATCCTGACATACGTAAAATGCTGCTTGAAGCCCTACTACAGGTAGGTAAAAGCCTTGGGGGTGGGGGGTACTTTAGAAGTGTACAATGTGTTGCTGGGACCCTGTAACCCTTGGCCTATACCAGACCTAGTTTGGCTGAAGTTTGCTCCCCTAAACTAGACTAAACTCTCAAAATCCCTCCCTATCCTTAAGTCGCTATTTTCTAGAAATAACTGACGTCAACACTTTCTTTGTGGATAAACTATGATTTGCCAATTTCAATTTTTTGAGTGTCAGTTCCCTGTTTCCCTAGTCTAGACTTAGATCAGTTTCCTGGAAAATTATGTCATATTCTGACCCAAACTCTCTGATTCCTACACCCTATCGCAGACTAAGGTGCATGAAAACCATGATACCCTTCACAACAGCAAATATATATGGCAGTACCCTCCTCCCCCCCTCCAATCATACTTGTTAAATCGTGATCCTTGATATGCTGAAGACTTACAACAGCTTTTAGATTTATTGATTTCAATAAATTTAAAATCATTGATTTTAGAATCATTATAAAAGCAGTCATTACTGAATGCGTGAATGAGGCCAAATACCGATCTCGATCAAAGAATGATTTTTTTGGCTTTATCTGTGCATTTTAAGACTTTTCATCTACTCCTGTGTAATTCAAAGAGAACATGTACTGAAACTAACTAAACACCACAAAAGCTAACTATTCTGATTATTTGAAATGGTCTTTAAGTATGTCATTTGTAATTTGAAGGAAAATAGGATTATTGTTGATAGTGACTGATTTTTTGACAATTTGTGCAGAAGACATGATCACAGTGAAATTTAGTTGTATTTTATCAGTTGATGGTATCAATCTCTAGTTATTGACTTGATTGCTGCACCTGCAGAGGTTAGGGTTCCAAAAATTATCCTAGTAAGCCTGATTTTTTCCAGGTTTTCTTTTGCAACTGCCCAAGTCGAGTCTTTAACAGTGATGATTTTCTTTGCATTTATGTTGCTGTATTTGGCAGTCAAATGAGTCAGATTTGTTCAGTTAGTCTATCGGTGTTAGTTTTGCTTGAGTTTATGAATGAGTTATTATTGAAAAGCTCAGGAGTCATGCTGGTCTGACTGTATCAGTCCACCTTGATTTTATTCATAGCTTTGTGCCACCAAACTTGGAAGAGAAACAATGAGAAAGAATAATGTTTACATTATCCTCCGCGAGTTAGACAACTGGGAAGAAAATGAAGAGGCAAAGGAAGCCTGCCTGAAAGTGATTCACGTTTTGATCGCAGACGAACCTCATCCAAGCAGGCAAAACCTGAAGGAAGTCAACATACCTGCTGATATAAAGTTTGATGAAGAGCTTGAAACCAGCTCAAAAAATGATCAACAGTAAGGGAAAGTTTAACACTTGGTTCTGCCTTGAATAAATCTTTTAATCATAACTATAACAAAATTCTCAAATCTGATTGGCTATCAGCTGTCTTGATTTCAGGGCTAATACTAAATAGAACAGTGTAATAGGATGTATCTAGTACACGTCATGCCTAAGAGATTGTACTTGAATGTTTTTTTTCTCTTTACTATCGAATATTTTGTGCGCTAATTTTAAAAAAAAATTAATGTTATAGTTATGATTAACTGGTAACAAAACTTCGTGTCATCCAATTCAGTTTGTAATCATACTCGTGATTAAGTTGGTAATCACTAATATGATTACAGACTGACTTGAACTCCACTCACTTCTACTTTCATTATAAATTGTTTTCTGTCAGTTATAATTTTATTCCTGAACCTAGAGATCCTCGGTATTATAGATGATTTTGTGAACAATAATATTTTATTTTTAATAAACATCACTACTCCTCACTACTGGGAATAAAATCCAAATCTATAATGATCTGTCTGTAACTGTCATACTTTGGGTGAAATGTAAATACTAGAAAATGAATATTAAACTTACAAGTGGTGCTTTTGGGAGAGAAATTAAAATTTCTAAAATTCTTCTCTTTTAAATTTCATGTTTTTGATAAAAGTTAACTATCTTGCGAACAAGAGCAAAGAGGTTATGCCATCAAAACAGCGAGTGTAGATAATCCTGACATGAGAAAGACAAAAAAAGAGTTTTAAAACTTTGTAGTAACAAAACAATTTTTTTAAAAAAATCTGTTAAAAAATAATCGCTGTCTATTTATATTTATACTTTTGCTTTATTCGGGGTGAGGAAGGTGGGGGGAAGAAGCTGTTATTCACCACAATAAGTAGGTTTTGTTGTCTTATGCACCTATCAATGTAAACCCCGTGGGGGGGGAGTGCGGGCAAGGGGTGGGGATTTGACAAATTTTAAAATTTTTTGATCAAATTCCCCAGGGTGGGAAACGAAAGGTCAATCAAAAGTGTCAAAAAGCCCCCACCCCAGGGGAAAAATCTAAACAAACAATACTATAATACTATATAAAATAAATGATAGAACATTTCAAAAGTACGTTCTTACTACTTTTATTTAAGGTTAACGTAAGTTCCGTTAAATTACTCGCTGTAATTAAGTATTTTCTCTCTCCACTAGCATCTCTTATTTTTAACAACATAATCACTCCAGAAAGATTGACCGTGTTATTATATTAATGAAACGTAAAATGCTTTATAACAGCGGCTCAACATGTCGGAACAGGTCGGATCAGTGACCTGTAAAAAATCCTCTGACTTTCATGGTAGAATTCGATTTCAATCGAGGTTTACAATCAGATGGGAACTTGAAGATAAAAACTTTCTCAAAATAGACATTATCTGTTTAGATGACAGTGTGCATGTAAAGTATCGGATTATGGCAATTAAAACGAATGAAAACTTCATAACTTTCTCCAACAGCGTGACTTTCAGAAAGCCTCGAGGGACGGACTTGGTTACCGCTTCTGAATTGATACCAGGCTTCTATCGGTCAAAGTCAAATGTCCCGACCCCGGGGTCGCTTCGCATGATCAAAAGCCCGACATGGGGATAGCCTCAGGCATCAAATCCCCGCCCCTTGCCCGCACTCCCCCACGGGATTTACATTGATAGGTGCATTAAGTATAAAGAAGTGAATCAACCTCGTCCCAGGACGCAGCCAGCGAAAAGCGCCCTGGGGACGAGGTTGGAAGTGAATCACACAGATTAATATACCACCTAGGTTAACAAAGCGTTTCTATAAATGGTCAAGTCACTGAAAAAAAGAAAAGTTCCTGCCGAGACCCGGGATGATTCAGAGCTCATGTGAACTCTCCGGATTTGAACCAGGGACCTTCAGATCTTCAGTCTGACGCTCTCCCAACTGAGCTATCTCGGCAACTGACAATTTTTAATTACCGTAATGTAAATAGAACAGTCAACAAATTTCGAATCCTAGCGGTAACGTATTGACTTGAAAGAGCTAAGTGTTATCGGCACTCATAGAAAGGTGTCACTTCAGACATTGTCTTCCCCATTTCTGCTACATTATCATATTTCGGAGCTTTCTTCGGAAAGTAATCGAGGGTGCTTCTGAATGCAAATTAGTTTTTTGCTAAAGTTGTATACCTGCGTATCAAACTTGAAAAACCTTCCCATAGAATTTGTTAAATTTGCCATAATCGAGGCAACTAAGGGAGGTACAAGCTACCTTAAGCGATTTCTAGAAAAAATTTCCTGGTACCAAGGAATAGAAAGGCAAGTAGAAAATTTAATGGCGTCATTACGTTGCCATGGCAACTCCGAAGTCAACAAAACATGGATCATAACAGTTTTTCATCTTTATGTAGTACAGCTGTGGTAACCTTTATCCGATATCTTTGTTAATGCCAACGGAGTAAACGCTTAATTCCCAAAAAATCCAGTCGAGCCACCTTAACTCGCGGAAGCCTCCTACCAATGAGGCAGTATTTTTTATTATTTTTGACGCTGTAACACTGATATGATTGGAAGGTGACAACGACTTTTTATCAGGGCCATGATAAGTTAGTGCTTTGTTATCTCCAAATGAGAAGTTTGGCTTACAAGCCCTGCCCTGAGAAAATAATAAGCGCCTCCGCGTGGCAAGCAGGACGCGCCCGTGCGTGCGAAGCTCGCACTACATTTCCCAATAAGCGTCCGACCGAGATCATCCGATGACTTGACGAAATGCTCCCGTCTCATTACGAATTTAGGCTGTTCCAAAGGCTGCTTCGGGCATAAGAGCAATTTAGCGCGTCAGAAACGTTTTTCGTCGTGAAACCCTACTCACTATTTAAATCGCTCTTGTACAGCCTCACCTCAATTACTGCAGCGCGGTTTGAGGAAATTGTGATAAGGGCCTCTTCCAGAAGCTCCAAAAACCACTGAACCGCGCTGCTCGTATAATTACTTCTTCAAATTACGATGCTAGCCTAGATGAGCTCTTTTAGTCACTCAATTGGCATACGTGAGCTGCAAAGTAAGGTCGATTTATCTAATCTTATGTATAAGGCTCTTATACTGAAATAACGAAACTCCTGAGTATTTGAGCTCGAAAGTTTTTAATCGTATGGACTTAACGCCATATAACTTAAGAAATACGGTAAACAAACTGGCAGTACGTTTTCCCGTACTGAAACCTTCAAAAACAGTTTCAGTTTTAGTGGCGCGGTATTGAGGAACCGTTTACCGGACCGTTTAGGGCAGGCATCGTCACTGAAAACTTTCAAATCAACTATTCGTTGCCATAATTTCCCATAGTAAGGTATTTTTTTTACACGGCGTCCTTGTAAAGGAGAAAGTTTTCTTTTTTGCGGTCAGTGTTAGTTCAATTTAAGTAGATTCATTCTTATATTCTATTGTATAATATCATCAGTTGAGTTTTTCTTTCTTTCAATTTCTTTGTATTTGATTGCCTGAAGTACTTTACCGTGCCTAAATAAAGTTATCTTAGGTCTATCTTATCTTATCTTATCTAGTAGTCGTGAGTAGTATTCAGGTATTCTATTTTATGTAGGGATACCCGTTGCCGACATAGCTCAGTTGGGAGAGCGTCAGACTGAAGATCTGAAGGTCCCCGGTTCAAATCCGGAGAGTTCGTAAGAGCTCTGAATAATCCCGGGTCTCGGCACAATATATTTTATCACGTTTTTTGCATTTCCCTGAGACTCTTATTAGCTTTTTATGCAAAAGCTCTGAATAATAAATAATCCCTGGTCTCGACAATATTTTTATCTTGCTTTTCTCCTTGAGTCTTTCTTTTTTCCGGCCCATATAACCAGTAGTCCCTGAGTAGTACAAACAATTCAAAACATGAATTAAAATCTTTGCATGGACTTCTTCTATGAAGTAAATAGTCTGCAATGGTGATACAAAGCCAAGCAGGCTTTGACTTCACTCAGTTTCCAGCTCATAGCCTGTTCCAGGCGTTTCAGATCGGCAATGGCACGAAATGGAGAGCACTGTCCCCACTATCTCAACGTCTGGTAGAGCCTACACACACTGCCTACAAGAAATCATGGTGTTAAACATAAGCAGTTCCTGCAAGAAATGTGCTATCTTTGTTCTAGTTAATTTATTTCGATTCTTACACATCAGTTGCCGAGATAGCTCAGTTGGGAGAGCGTCAGACTGAAGATCTGAAGGTCCCTGGTTCAAATCCGGAGAGCTCGCATGAGCTCTGAATAATCCCGGGTCTCGGCACAAGATATTTTATCACGTTTTTTGCATTTCCCAGAGACTCTTATAGCTTGTTATGCAAAAGCTCTGAATGATAAATAATAAATAATCCCGGTCTCGGCAATATTTTTATCTTGCTTTTCTTCTTGAGTCTTTCTTTTTTCCATATTTGCTTTATGAAACAGTGCGCTTTCCGAAACTAACTCTTTGTTCCTGATTTTTATCCGGCCCCTAACCAGTAGTACAAACAATTCAAAACATGAATTAAAATCTTTGCATAGACTTCTTCTATTAAGTAAATAGTCTGCAATGGTGATTTTCCAGCTCATAGCCTGTTCCAGGCGTTTCAGATAGGCAGTGGCACGAAATGGAGAGCACTGTCCCCACTATCTCAACGTCTGGTAGAGCCTACACACACTGCCTACAAGAAATCATGGTGTTAAACATAAGCAGTTCCTGCAAGAAATGTGCTATATTTGTTCTAGTTAATTTATTTCGACTGTTACACATCAGTTGCCGAGATAGCTCAGTTGGGAGAGCGTCAGACTGAAGATCTGAAGGTCCCTGGTTCAAATCCGGAGAGCTCGCACGAGCTTTGAATAATCCCGGGTCTCGGCAATGTCCTTTTTATTTCCTTTTCTTTCTCGTTGTTGTTGTTGCTTCCTTTTGCTTGCGAACATACAAGAGCGGCTTTTCGGAGCAGTTTTTTTGTTCGTTGCTTTTGTCCCATATAGTCATTGCCGTAACTATAAAAGACATTTAAAACAAGAA